GTCTAATTCTTAAAGAATAGCTATAAATCTTTAGCTTCTTACTATCTCTCTACTAATATTTTATTAATCTTAATATACTATTACTACCTATAAGTAGAATCTATTTATAAAATAGTAGTAATAATTTTAAATTTATCCAGGCTATATTTCTTTAGGGCCCCTTAGAATATATATTCTATATTTTAGAGCTATTCTTCTCTCTTTTAAAGTAAATACTTAATAGTAAAGATAGGAAGATTCTTAAATTTAATTTCCTGCTTATCTTCTGTAGAAGAAAAGGTACTATTTTAATAGTAAAGTTATTTAGAATTATTAACTTTTTAGATTTGTTAAAGGTGCTTAAGTTTAGTAATTTATTATAAGATTTATTATAATTCAGCACCCTTTAACTCTTAAGGTTAATTAGTAGGAGTAGAAGAGTTACTTAGATTAGAAGATATTTCTTTAGTAGGATTATATTATTCTACTAATAAAGGGGTAGAAGTAATAGCTTTATAGTAAAATTTAGTAGGCATTATAACTAATACTTAGGTAGTTAAAGAAAGAAGGATTAGAAATTATAAGGATCTATATATCAGGGTAGATAGCCTATTAACTAGGTAAGAATTAGTAATAATAATTAATAGAGGAGAATGATAGAGAGTAGTAGATTATATAAGAATAAAACTAATCCTTGTCTTCTTGAACATCAGATAAGGGAGATACTATTTATCTTTACTGCCCATCCTAGATGCTTGCAGCGATGATTTGAAAACAGTTCAAGGTATAAAAATAGGAGGCTAAAAACAATTAGGAAGCAAGGGGTAGCTGCATAGCTGGGTGGCTGGGCTATAGTCAAGCCTTTACACTAGGCTTAGAAGGGATTCTCTTTATCTATTTAGATATTAAGGTTAGGGCATTCTAGATAGTAGTTAAGAGTCTACTATAAGATTTTAAGTATATACTCTTACTCCTTATCTAGATAGACCCTAAGTAGATAGCCCTGATCCTTATATAAGAGGGAAATAGCCTAGAGGAGGAAGTATAGAAACTATTTCTAGTACTATATATATTACTACTCTATCTCTAGCTACAGCTATCCTAGGGGTTATTTCTATATCTATTAACTAGGGATTTAGTACCTAAAGACCTTCTAGATTAATATATAGGTCTGCTCTAGCATTACCCAGGCCTAATTAAGGACCTAGTCTATCCCCTAGCAGATAAGGGTAAGAATATAGTTATATTAGTACTATATCTCTAGCTCTTCTATAGTAGTAGGGGATAATCTCCTACTACTACCCTACTATATCTATAGTATAGATAGGACCTATAAGGTATCCAGGGTCCCTACTATATAGACTAGGCTAAGTAGTAAGTACTAGTAGAAGTATTAGGGCTATTTAATAAATATTAGCTATAAGGTAGTATTATCCTACTACTAGTACTAGATATTATAGATAAAGATAGAGTTATCTATAGTAGCTAGCTCTATAGACCCCTCTAGACTAGCTACTAGCTAAAGCTAATACTACTCTACCTAGAGGATCTAATACTCTTAGGTAAGGGTATTCTATACCTATTCTAGAGTAGTAGATATAGGGAAGGTAGTTATAAGATCTATTATTAATAGGGTAGATAGCAGGGGGGATTCTAGTATAATAATTATAGATAGACCCTATAGGCTAGACTCTATACCCCTAGGACTATTACTTACTATTAGACCTTCTAGTTCCTAGTAAGGTATAAGAGGTATTACTAGGCACTCCTATATAGAGGGAGATATAAAAGCTATTAGTAGACTATCTAGATCTATTATAGTCTATCTATTATTACTAGTTAGGACTATATCTAACTAGTCCTCTTTATTACCCCCCTCCTCTACCCCAACTCCTTTAGGCAGTGACTAGGCTAACTATAGATAAGGTAGTCTACTAGAGGTTTACTTCTTAGATTAGCTATTACTACTCTCTAGTACTTTACTAGTAGGTTATAGAATAGATAGCTTAGTTAGGGCCAGGATAGGCTATATTATCTAGGATAGAGATAAGATAATAATAGTAGAGGTAAGCTATATAGATAGGGGGTCCTATAGCTATACACTAGGGACCCCTATAATCTAGTAGTAGTAGTAGTAGCTATTTATAAACTACTATTAGGTACTAACCTACTAGGGTAGGGGTAGGTAGATTCAGGGATAGTCCTAGTAGTAATACTTCTAGACCTACTAGGTACTACTGCTAAGGTAGGTCCTATATATAATATAATACTAGATATAGTAGATAGAGAGCTAGGGGATTAGTTTACTATTAGGGGGCAGGGGTAGAAAGTCTATATAGTCCTGCCAGGGCTATATACCCCTAGGTAGTATATAGAGCTATAGATAATAATCTTAGGCTACTAGCTAGTAGACCTCCTAGAGATATCACTATACTAGGTAGCCCAGGACTACTACCTTATATACCTAGCAGATAATAGTATTATAGTCATAGAGGTAGTTATATAGGGGTGGTATAGTTATAATAGATAGAGGGTTATCTAATAGTAGTAGTAGTATAGCTATATATTAAAGAGTAGAGTAGTAATAATATAGTAGGAGTAGAAAGGGAGGATAGATATATTAAGGATAAAGCTAGCCTAGCTAGTAACTTTAAGGGCATATCTAGGCTATATATATCCCCCCTTTTTCTTCTTCCTTTTAGGGCAGTAGTCTAGGTAGCTAGGAAGAGGAAGTATTACTTTTTCCTCCTTTTCCTAGCCCTAATTATATCCTGTTTTATTAGGGGATCTAGTAGGATCTATTAGTATTAGGTCCTCTAGTTTATGGCCCTAGTCAGCCCTATTAAGGGTCCTTAGGTGTGGCCAGGCCTAGCTTAGATTATAGGCTATATAGACTAGTTAATTTACTATAGACTCTTTAGATCCTAAAGTAGTCTAGGGCCTGGGACTTTAGTATAATCTAGGTTAATATTTATACTTATTAACTAATTACTACTACTAATAGGCCAGGGGCACCTATAGTACTATATATAGATTAGCTTATACTATTACTAGCTACTACTATTATAGAGGTCTAGTATAGTAAGTAATCTAGGTTCTTACTAGCTGTAGTTACTAGTAATAGCTAGAGTAGGATATTACTAGTAGCTACTATAGGTCTAGTAGATCCTGTACTTACTATATTAGGCCCTAGGGATAGGATCCCTGTAAGAATTATCTAATAGGGACCCTAGTAGTAGGGTTAGCTATGTATAGTCTAGGAGAGGGATTCTAGTGAATACCAGGTAGTTAGAGATAATAGAGGTAGCTAGATTACTAGGCTAAATTATAGATTTTAGCTACTAGGGTAAGGGGACTACTAGTATATAGGCCCTAATAAGGTGGGATATAGAGATATATATTACTATAGTAGTAGTATACCTATGTAGTAGGATCCTATACTCTAGTAGGTACTAAGTTTAGAGTAGATGATTGAGTAGGAACATAACTAGGGAGGGATTAATTAGGTGATCTAGATAGCCTAGATGCTACTGCTGGTAATATAATATAGCCTTAGTAGGGAGCAGTGCCCCTAGTAAAACTAGTTAGTAAAGCTAATCCTAATAGGTACATACTAGTTACGCGGTCCCCCTAGGGGACCTGGAATCTATAATCAGCATAGTCAGATGCACTGCAAGGAGATGAATAGAATAATACCTAGATTGTCCCTCCCAGACCACAGGGGCGGGGAGCCGGGCCCAATGTAGTCGCCGGACTGGGGGGTCCTGGATCCCATAGGAAAGGGCCCGGCGGGGTGCGACGGAGCTCGCACGTAGAAGGGTCTACTAAAATCATGAAGAGCTTTACTGCTAATTATAAAGCAGGCTTGTGCTCTGTCATACAACACTGTTTGACAGTCTCAAAATATTATCTGGGATGGGGCATAGCCCAAGAATATCACTAAATCCCTATTGCAATGCAAGTAAAACCAATCCTGAATATCTTGCTATTTGCCCAGGTGCGCGCAACTATAGTCGTCTGATCCCTTGTTGTGTTCCTGGCAACCACTTCAACCCGGGTCCATCTGCTGCAGTCTGCATCGATATATGTAAGAGCGAGGAAACAAGACGGCGGACTGTTGAAATGTCCCACAGGGAAGTCCAGTTGGAATTCCTGGTTCTGGCGTGCATAATCAGTTATAGTCCTTGGAAAGCAGTAAACACCCCTGCGTTGATAACTAAATGCCAACCACCCCGCTTCGAGCTCATGCACAACTGAGTCGCTCCATGTGCAGAAATCCAAGTCGAAGCCCTCTGTACTGATACTACTTGCTTCCACTTTCATACGGTGGTTTTTAGACCTGTGTGAGTCAATATGTGTCAGCCAGCAGGCAACTGTAGGGACACTATTATATGGCCTATAGAAAGTAACATGTCGGCGGATTCGAAATTGGCCAGCGCCGCTTCTTTCCATACATCTTCCAAAGGTGTTCTCATGGCCGCTTTGATAATCCAAGTCTGTTGAGGGTAATTCGAGCCAGGAGCCGCCAATGCGATAATTCGCCGAGTCCGACCAATGTTCAAGAACTGGTCTGAAGCTTCTTGGTGTGACCCGAGCAACGCTAGCATGCGCCCGAAGGTTTGCAGTTTTACCAAAATCCAAAGCTCTCAATCCAATAAGTACTATTGGTGGTACTTCGTAAGAGGGTGCGAACTTGATGTCGTTTGAATCTGGATCATCCCACAAAGATTTCCAGCGGTCGGCTGGACGATATCTGTTGCGCATATTTAAAGGCCCGGCTTTGATAGTAGGAGTTCTTCTAGGAGGTCTTCCAGGAGTAACGATCCTTCCCGCAATGTCGAGAATATGTGTCCATACTGGCAAGTATTTGTGTTCTTCCCGATCCGGATCGAATTTACACATTGTTATGTGGTTGGAATCTGCTACTCCAATGGAAACTTCATTCCCCAGTCTAGCTGACTCCTGTCTAACTACCTGCGGCGAAGTCAGTGGATATTCAGTGGAAATGATACTAGAGGATATCACACCGCATAGCCGTTTGTTGTTTCCGTCTCATAGAACGTACGGATCTGGAATGAAGGGATCTGTGGCCTAAACTGCTCAGAGATATCTGTCAGGGCCCTTGATCCAGCTCTTAGAGCGTAGATATAATTCCAGTTGGTGATGTAGCCAAGGAACGTATACTGCAACAGAAAGTCATAATAGGTTGCGAGTATAGCTCCATGATGAGGCACACCGAAGAAAGCTAGGGCCCTCATTCGTCGACGTAAGTCACGATAATCGTCCCGTTCGTTAGCGTTAAGGATTGCCTTTAAAAAGTAAGTTTCACGTATGAAATAAACGATAGAAAACAAAGAATTATCTAACTTGTTCCACAATGATACCACCAAGGCTATGAGCAATGAATAAGAGTGGCCTTTCGAAGAGTGGCCTTTCAAGAAAGTTTTGTTCCATGTTTAACCTGATGAGTAGATCGTTGGCAGTGTCGTTAATATTAGCCATTGACTTGCTAAAGACAGTGTTTGCGTTGTATCCGTAGGACATCACTCTCGCGTTTACCCCCCCATCACTGAGCCGCCGAGGGAGATCATCTTCTAGCCAGAGAATTCCGCTATCGCTCGTCCAGGTACCCCTCCAATCTCCATGGAGTCCATGGACGGCCACGATACTAGACGACTCAGAAATAAATTAATAATCGATACTGGTTTGGACATACTCAACTGCCACATCCACATTTGGAGGCGGATCATGCAGAGTAAATAGACCTGTTCTCTGCATTTTGTTCTGCCGCTAATACCAGTGCGTTTCTTTCAAATTCTGAGCACCGAAGGATAATTGAAAACTAACGCAGCTAGAAAGCCGAAGAGTTGCCCGGGCGTCGTCGCTAATCACCGATAATCGCGGATTTATATAAATGAGATATCAAGATGTAACATATCATATATGCGGGGTGGCATGACTATGAAGGACCCAAAGTGGCCACTATGATCAGCCCGTCGTGTTTCTGGTCTAACCAGAACATGCCATGTGTCTATGACGCAGATCCATAGTAACCTCTTATTGTATTCTGCGCTCAGCTGTGTTTGCGTTTAATGACTCGTATACAAATGGCATGATTAAAATCAGCACTTTTAAGACCAATCCGCAGTACGGAATACAGCCAGTCACCTCGTAGCTGTGGTAAAGCTTGCCACAATCTGCTTCCATTTCCTTTGGACGGTATGGAAGAGAAGTAGGTCGGTCTCGTTCTAGATCTCATTAGGTTCAAGAACACGTACCAAGAATAAGCTTAAAATGAACACATAATTCTAACAGTGCCGACCAACCGAGTGGTCGCCCACCTAGACCTACCGCGTGCGGTAAAGGATATGTCAACCCTTCTAGAATCCCCGGTTTGACGAATCAGGTCATGAGGATGCTGTGCTCAACCTTGGAAATGTCTTCGAGCTGCAATGGTCACTGTCCGATCACAGCTTTCCTTGGTACAGTATAAATGCTAGGATCTAATGAAGACTAACGCATTCCAGACCTTCATTCGTTTATGTTCAGTTACATACATCTTGCAATATAATTTCAATCAGCGCACCCAAGGATTGTATTACAAAATGTTGCTATTCTGCATGTGGCTACACTAGCCTTACCTTAGTCATAGTTAGGAGTTGCTTTCGATCCTGTATCCTCACTAATAATTCGGTAATTTCACCATACGGTGCTGGCGAAACCCAGACAAGGTCGAAGCGCGAGCCGGGGTAATGAACGCCACCTTGCCATCCACTACTCGGTGCAAATCTTTTAGTGCCAATGGCCTTAGCAATATTAGAGAAGCTTCGATGTTCCCAGCAGATGACGATATTGCCAGTTCCTCTATATCCTTTAGCAGCCTTAGCAACACCTTCAGCATCATCTCTGTCAATCATAATGTTGAGTCTCACACCCAAGTCCTCGGCCAGAGGTCGTACAGTTCCATAAGGGCGTATTTTTGAGTTTAGAATTGTTGATTAGCTGTGAACATCCTATTTCAGTTAATGGACCAAGGCTGAGCAGAAAACCTTCCCCTGCGCGTTCGGCCATGATATAGCCAATATTAAATGGGCTGCTGCTTCCAAAAAAGTCTCGAAGACGCTGTGCTCTTGCCAGTCCCTCTTTAGAGAGACTATTCTCACCATTATTTGGCTTTTCTCCGTGCCTAATCATGTAAATAATTGGTGGAGCCTGTATAGAGATTGGTATCTGTCAGGTAGAGGTTTCTGACAATACAGACCTACTGGCAGCGGAATGCTTACCATTATAGTTCCTTTATCTCGATTAGGGTGCGATTGAAAGAATACCTTGTGTCGGGCAATTATTACTTGCGATTGTAAAAAGTCAATTTGATTATACCTCGAAAAGGTAGAAAGAATACAATTACAACCAAATAGTATCTCAAAGGGTGCTTGACGATATCTACCTTTCATTAAGAATTCAGAATTCCGTTTGTCCTGTGTCAAACTCGGAGGATGGGAAGGATGAAAGGATATATGGGTTCAGATAACAACTTTGAGCAACACGAGAGCACCTCTCAGACCTTTTGGAGCTGTATCTGTTGTGATAGAACTATATAATGTAGTGTCATTGAAAACTTTATAGCAGGCCGCGGTTAGTACATGCATCTGTTATGAACTCTATTCTTCAGTCAACCGCTGAGTGGCATCATATTCACGTCAAGGTCTCCCGACAATCCCAAGCATGGAGAATCGGGAAGCTTCACTATTAAGGGTTCTAGCCTAAGCAACTTAGCGTACGTTTAGTGCTTAATCTACTGAGTTTCCAGCCTAGTTGTTTCTTTGTATACATGTAATGACACTGGCTTGCAAGCTACGACAATGGGTCTCTCCAACTGTTATGATGGTAGGAACGTGCGCATTGGTTATTCGACCTCGCCATAACCTGATACAACCAAACCGCCTTTTTGGGTTTGTCCTAATAAACAATGAATAGGTTATCTCTTGGCGATGGCCAACCCAACATACAGATATATTTAATTGGATCATGGCTTTTGAAATTCGTAATGCTTACGCTTAACTAGCAACAAAGAAGAGGTTCCATGAGGTCAGAGGGTAGTAGGTATCTTTTTGGTGTCTACTTGGTTGACGTATGACAGTTTTGGAGAAGTTGGGCCACTCATTGAGTTTATGTCATCTTATTTACCATTGCAGAAGCCCAGACTCATTTTTGGTGTAACCATAGACTCAGGGAGAGGTCACACATACCTTAATTTAAGTCTAGATTACGTCCATGGACCCTTCAAGCCATTGTTCTAGACCTTAAAATTTAACCACAAAGCCTCCATAGACTAGTTATTAGAGTATTAGCAGCCAATCTTTATCTTTGCAGCACGGTTTTTCTGCAAACAGCTGATTTGACTGAACTTTAGAGGATGATTTTTGGGTATGTATCCAGGGTATAAATAATAGTACTGCTATTTGTTTCTGTTCAAGTCCATCACGTTTCCTCCATCGCAGGGTGCCTTCCAAAGTCATTTTTAAGTATATAGTTTTCCAACAACAGGTTGATCCACATATACTCATAATGAACCTTTTACTTCCATTTCTAATTTTTATTTACTCCGTCCAGCCAGCTGCTTGCTGGGGAGATCTTGGTCACCGCACTGTTGCCTACCTTGCCCAGAAATACTTTAGCAATGAGGCAACGCAGCTTGTAGATGATCTCCTGTCTAGCGATGATGGGAAAGATATTTCAGACGCGGCAGTTTGGCCTGACAGAATAAAGTTTCACATGCCAGCCACCAAACCATGGCATTTCCTTGGTATATTACAGCAACCCCTCCAATTCCAATACTAAAAACTAACTGTCCCAGATGCTGAGGACCATCCACCCGGAACCTGTCAGGTTTCCTTCACATCGGATTGTGGTAKCAGCGGATGTATAGTATCTGCTATTCAAAACATGGTAATATCAACCCGACCGCTGCTTAAATCCTGGTCTGTAGAGCTAACTGGGCCACAGACAAATCAGCTTAGTGATCATAGTCTGGCCAAGGATGAGCAAGCTGATGCCCTCAAGTTTCTCATTCATTTTCTGGGTGACATACATCAGCCATTGCATGTGGAAGCTCTGGAGCGAGGAGGAAATGAGATCCATGCATGCTTTGACCATCGTTGCTCTAAAGAGAACCTCCACGGCATCTGGGACACAGACATTCCTCATAAAATGAATGGCATCAAACATAACCAAAAACATAATAATGAAAAAGAGCCGGCGGAACGGTGGGCAGCAAGTCTCTTTCAGGCAAATCAGTTCAGACCTTATTATGCAGAATGTTCAGATGTTCAGAATCCTTTGGAATGTGCTATGCTGTGGGCAAAGGAGACAAACAGACTGAACTGTGATTATGTCTTGAAAAATGGCGTTGACTGGATCGAAGAAAATGACCTTGGTGGTGAATATTACGATGGTGCCGCCCCTATTGTGAATGAACAGATCTATAAAGCTGGGGTCCGCTTGGCTACATGGATAAACGCTTTGGCAGCTCAGAGGTCATCTTCAGTGGGCTGCCTTGTTACACAGGGCGGGAAACTGGGAAGATACTTTTAGCTCTGGATCTCAGTCACGTCAAGTCTGCAGAACTGGGCGCATATGAAGCCTCTCCTTGAGTCATCCGACGATTTTCTGTTCCTGATCTAAGGGAAAAGGGAAATAGGCAAAGACAGAGAAAGGGATGGAGAACAGATAAAAAAAGTTTGTGAGGGTGAAGGAAATGCTCTTGGTTTAAACAGTGTTTTCTCTTTTTGAAAAAAAAAGTGGCTTGCAGCTTATCTTTACTCGAATTATGTTAAGTAGCTGATTACCCAGGAGAATTCTTATATGAAAATACAAATGTTCTTTGCCTTTGGATCATTAGCATAGCACCTAGCCCACGGTATCCTGACTAAGTACTCTGGTAATTTTATCATAAGGGGCTGGTACAACCCAAACAAGATCAAAATGTGAGCCTGGGTATTTGACCTCGCCAGACCCACCACTACCCTCTGCAAAGCCTTCTATGCCAATAGCCTTTGCGATATTGGAAAGGTTATGATGCTCCCAGCAGATAAGAATATTGCTGGCTCCTTTATACTTGTTCACAGCACTCGCAACACCTGCAGCATCGTCTCTGTCAATTTCAATGTTGAACGGCACACCCAAATCATCAACCAGAGGTTTGACGGTTTCGTAGGGGTGTAACCTGGAATCTAGATATGAACTTATTAACTTAACGCACAATGCAGGATGAGGCGAGGGTCTGCAGTAGGTTGATACTGTCTGAAAATCGAATCTAAGGTGAGTGCTCGAACCTTGCCTAGGATGCTCGGCGATGATATAGCCGATATCAAACCCGCTGCCCTTTCCGAAATATTCACGGAGGTGCTCTGCTCTTGCTAGCCCCCGACTAGAGAGATGAGGAGAGCCATCATCTGGCTTTTCGGCATGCCTAATCATGTAGACAGTTGATGCAGCCTGCATGGATGATACTAAGCCATCACAAAGACTCCTTACTATAGAAATATATGATAAAGAGGTGAACTGACCATCATAAGCTAACTTTCCGTGTAAAGCTGACAGGCAGAAGAGGTTGGGTCCAGCAAAGAAATATCGTCAGTAGGGACGGCAGTGCGCAGTAAATTCTGTTTGTAAAGGGAGATGGATGTATGTTATCTGGAGGTCAAAGTAGCAAGAATCTTGGGGTAGGGGAGTTAGTCAAATCTATGGAATCGTAATGCTGATTGTCAGCGTCTGTTGTCCTAAAGTTTAATCTTACACACAAACCCTGCTTTCGGAAATAGGTCACCCTGCCATAATAATGTTAGGTGGGGGGTTAGTCAAATCTATGGAACCGTTATGCTGAGTGTCAGGGTCTGTTGTCCTAAAGTTTAATGTTTTACACCAACCCTGCTTTCGGAAATAGGTCACTCTGCCACGATAATACCAATTATCCTAATGAATCAAATTAATTGAACTATGTAGTTGTCCATGACGACTTAATTACCAAATGATTGGAATCAAGAGTTCAGAATCAGGTGATTTAGACCAGAATGAATGATTACTCCGCAAGGAAAAGTGTATTAAAATAACCTTAAAGAAAAAATAAAATAGGTAGTCTGCGTTAGGCAGCCTTCTGTTCTAGGTAAATAATGCTTCCATGGCTCGTTGAGCTCTCTTTCACTCAAATGTACTTTCCCACACCGCGTTCAAATATCAACTTTTACCAGATTTCATGTGCCTAATTATTGAACACACTGTACAGGCGACTTTTAGGTAAATTGGATGCCGACACCAAGAAACATAACACTTTCAGTTTTGATAGGCAGCAATGTCTTATCTACCTTTCAAGAAGTGATTAATCTGGATTGTAATTGATCATCAGATTCAAACAGAACGAAAGTGATATCATCATTATACGCCGGAATCATTGGTTAAAGAGGTGCGTGCTATTTTATTAGAAATTATAGATTAGGACTCTATCCCATGACAACTGACTTGGTAAGTGTTTAGCCTAGTGCTGCCACTCGTGCGTGCTTAAATGCTGAATCACATTAACTGGACTATATACACAAAACGCCATAGCTTCATGTCAACTCTTGTGCTTATTTAAGCAGCTGGCTCTGCGAAGAATCACTGTCCTTAAGCATGCCCACTGTTTGCACAGGATTACTCCCTTAATTGAGTAGATGTTGGCAATGAGGTTTGCCCCCGCCCTGTCTCCCTCATCTAACAATTCGTATATCCAATATGCCTAATATATGAGAATTTGCTATCCCTATTCTATTAGTGTATAATATTAGTAAGTATCTTAGGCGGTTGTTTATAATCCATATCTATAGCTGTGAATAATGTGGCTATATGTTAGCATGGTAAAAGTTTATGAGTTCCTTTTTTGTATAAAATAGTCTACTATAATTTGGACCCTCTGCCCCCTTCAGTCACTATAATGGACCTGCTTTAGGCTGAAACCATGACCCATTCAGCATAAACGTCGCCCAGAAATATAGCTTCTTCTTTATAGCCTTGAGGCTGAGCACTGCTTTCTGCATTGCTCTTACTAATTTAATAGACTTATCCTTTATGTTTTCTAGGCTCTTAGTAATGTTCACAGCAAATCTCCATACTGAACACTATAGTGGACTGCCATTAGGTAGGCTACAAGGTTCTAATAATTAATGCTGCCCTAGTACATATAAATAATAGGATGAAACCCAGTAGCTCCTCCCTAAATGCTATTTAGTAAAGGCATACACTATTAGCACAATAAACAGGGCTGCATTAGGTGGAAACTTAAGGGACTTAATAATTTTAATGCCAAACATTTATTCCTAAGCTGCACATAGTGCTTGCTGAACAGACTAGTAGTATTTTACTAGTGGCCATGAAAGGATAGGATATTAGTAGAGGTAGATGCATTATAGAGAAATTGGGTTATACTATTATCATTGCCAGTACTGGCAGCACCATTAAGCATCTTTACAATAAAAACTGATTATAAATGTAAGTATTAGTCTCTGACTGACCATCATAGACCCTAATAATATTGGTAGTGGTGCAACCTGCTGGGGGATCAATAACACTTTTCCTAAGTTGTGCCACAGAATGGTGCAACGCCCCTAGGCTAGGGGTGTAGAGCGTAGGATTTCGGTCCAGAAGATATCGCCAGTCCTAGACATCAACCTTACCTTGATTTCACACCCCGGAAATCTGGGAAGCTTCTTCAATTACTAAATCTGGCTCTTTCTTACAATGGGGGACGAATGAGGGACAAGGGGTGTTAGAATCCAAAGACATATGATTTCAGATTGGGGTACCGCTACAGAATGAAAAGTGCTTTACTCTTGTAACTATATTATATATGGGTAAGTGCGTTTGATACAGTGCTACTAGTCATGGCGAGCATTTGATCCAACAGTTGTCCTTATTCCAACGGTTGAAGTAACACATCAGTCAGATTGACCCCTGCCGAGAACGATGCAAAGCCCAAAGTCAAAGAGCTTATGGTAGTCACGTCCACTAAACCCTGAACCCTAGAACCCTGAGCCCCCGATGAAAAACTTGTTTGCCACTGCGATAGACGTCGGTATGGCAATTGGGCTTAACGACCATTTCATCAACATCCCTTGGTGCAATAGGACTGCTTCGATTATAGTCCCTATAGAACTGGCCACAACAACCATTTCACATTAGAAATAGAAGAAATGATCCACAGGTGTACCATAAGGAGTACCTATCAAAGTGTGCATTCGTGATGTGAATTTTATCGTTTAAATCATCCTGGATCAAGATATCGACAAACTAACTGAATGGATGGCTCGCCATTATGAACTGATTCAAGATTTAAGTCAGAAGAGATTTCACATTAAGAGGCACAAAATGATTATTCTGCCCATCATGATAAAATAGCCTATAAGGTGCTTGTGAGGGCAGTAAATCTGTAGGTTCCTGCCTGAGTTCTAGGATGATGTATTCATGACTATGTGCACCTTCGCCCTCGCAAGCTTCCGTTTTCATCTATATCTACTCTGTAAATTGAAATAAGGTTAGCAGCCAAGTCTCTCATTAAATGTAAAGTTACTATGATTTTCAATCCCATTAGTAATACTGAAACCTAATGATGAGATCATCCATTCCTAAACCTTGGATGTTCAATCATTTCATAGTACTACACACTAAGGCATTTCCCTTTAGCAGCCAGGTAGAGCCACGATGAGGATGTAGGAGAATCATTGAGTGACTTAGATCAGATGATATTCTCTAGATGCTCTAATTCTAACTGCTAGGATTCAGGTTCGTCAAAGAAGATATTCAGACTAGCCTCTAAGTGAACTTTTCAGCAATGCTCACCCCTAGTTGTCCGTGAGTAACAACTGTGTCAGTATATTACACCTTATGTCTTCAAGACTCCAACTATGGCCATCTCTGCCCTCAGTAAATCATGAGGGTCGACCGAGTATTGCACTCTGAATATCGTCTTCTCATTGAGCATTGTGGTTTTATTTTTAGTTATCCCTGCACATTCTGAGGAAAGTGTTCTCTATGTTTCTTCCAGGTGTATCGTTCGATACTTTTTGGCTAATCAGACTTTTACTGATTTACTTTATCGCTTGAAGCCATGGGCCTAGGAAAGATACTTCTACCAAATATATGTTAAGAGTCTTTTGACATTTGAGTAGACGGTAACGACGGGGGTTGTCAATTGTCTCAGTTATCGCGAAATTTGGTCCTGTTCTGGACCGTTATGATTACACGCCCCCCGGGGCGACTTTTCCATAATTAGTCATAAACATACGGCATGACCTGGGTTGGCTTGAAATCCCAGTTCAACATTACCAGATGAATGCTGAACAAAATTGACCAACTAATCCCAAGACCGTCCCCAAGAGTATACAGTGCCGGGATATGACAATAGGTAAATTTGGGAGCAGGCCGCAGCCATCATCAATGAGGAGGAGATAAGCGAGTAGGTTGTCAGTTTGTCAAGAAAGCATTTGATAGTGCATTGATTATCCATTTCACTGGGATAATCTGATGGTTTAGGCCTCGCGCAAATGAATACTATCGCTAGCAAACATTCCTTCTTGACTTAATAGCTGCATTGGGAGGCGGCATAAAAACAGATAAATGGCGAACTTCAATAAAGATAGACTGTGGATAGCACAACACTATCCGACACACTAATTTCATTTCAATTGCCCGTCAACTCCAGACTGAGTCTGGGACTAGCACAGGCGTTGAAGGAACCAGCGTCGACACTGAGATATGCGGCCAGGTTATACCGTCGAAGTTCATAAATACTACCTGGGAATACTGGATCTGTGTTGAAGTGACATTGATCGTTTTGGGCGACGTGATCTCATATGGTGGGCTGACGAGGAACACTGGCCGCGGCTGGCCTGATAGTGACTCCGGGGCTGAGATTTCCATAGGTGCTTGTCCAGGTTTGAATGCTGGAACTGTGAGAGAATATTCCACTGTCTCAACCCAGAAGGTAGCTTGCATCTGGAACGCATTTGCATTTGGAGCCGTGGCCCCAGGATTGCCTAATAAGAATGCAATGTTCGCCGCCCCACCACCGAAATCGGGAGGCGGAGGGTCCGTGGACACTGTAAAGGTGATGGTCTGTGTAATATTTTGCCCCTTGATGCTGTTGCGCAAAACGGTATTTGGGTCGTCCAGGACATCTTGGGTGATAGTGCCAGCATCATTAAACCTTGAGAGATCCTGTGGGAGCCGAGGAGTAGCAGAGTCTTGAATATTTAGGCTATTAAGCTGAATTTTTGAATTCACGTTGCCCACGCCGAAAGGCTTCAAGCTGACTGGTGATATGTTTGGTGCACCTTGGAATGTGCTTGTAGGCTCTAGGCATTGAGCATTGATAGTTGTGCCATGTGGAATGGATCCCATGCGCACAAGCGAATCTCCAAGGGCTGGATTGTCTGTGGCCGGGATTTTCATCCACATTCCAGTCTCAAAGTGAATCCCAATGGGATTGCCATCACCCCTTCCAGTCTCCATGTTCGATACATCATTGACAGCCTGTATGTAAGGCACGCCATTGAGGAAGATGTCATTCTGTGACCCAAATCCACGATTAGCTACAGCAGAAAGTGGCTGAGAGAATGTTATTGTCTCTTTTGTCAGATTCAACTCCAAGACATTGTCGCTGGGGAACGCTGGAGGGGTTGGAGAGATGGAATTGGGAAATGATGTTCCTAGTGGTGGTGGTCCGCTGTTTGGGCGAAAGATTGTATTAAGGCCTGTTCCAGTGAAGCTTTTTTCACTGAGCTTTGCCAGCACACCCAAAGGCGCGGGTTGTGTGCGTGGCGCACCTGGCTTGGCATGGACCTGGGCATGATCGATCTTGAAACCGGGCGGAAGATTTATGGTTGCCATAGTTACCAACGTATTTTTTTAGATGATATTAACCCGCGCGATTGTTTATTAATAAAATATAACATCAGTTAGGCGAGTCAGAGAGATTATTTATGTGTCAAGATTTAGGGTGGCTTAGATGGCTATTTATAAGTGCGACTAATGGGAGAGCCTCCAGTATGCCTTACCTATCCCATGCTTGCTTAGCATATTCAAGTGCTGGCCTGTCGCCTCATCGCATACTCTATTACGTCCAGTCTTGCACACTACGTAATAGTCGCATCATAAATTTAAAAAGAAAACCCCAGATTGACTTTTAGAGCTGGCTATCATGACACCGTAAATTATAGTAGAGAGTTGTTTTTGCTTGAAAAATTTGGCGGATCTAAAACAGCCTGGAAAAAGAAACATCATATGAGCGGATTCCACTAATGGAAATCTGTGTCTTGTAAAAAAAAATATAAGAGATGCATCATGATGATGAGAGGTATACTTAGGGAACTTGACTACAAATCCGCTCTTAGGCGATGTAATTACAACTGGAAACAGGCTATGTCAAACTGAAGTTAATTAATGGTTGTTGGATGTGGTAAAGCCGTGGCTCCAGGCAGTTAATGTATTTATTTCACTTATTCATTCTTTTTTGGCCTAGATCCCCCAAGACTCACTCTCAGGCGAATTCCAGTGATCGCCAAGGTGTGTTGCGGAGTCTTTACATCATATTATAATCAGTTGAGCAGAATGTCCGTTTGCAATGCTTCCTCGACCGGATCATGTCACGCACCCTTCAATGGCCCCAAATGTTCCAGATACAAGACTCCGCTGCAACCAGCTCAGGGATATACTAGAATTTCTCCCTATAGAGTGGTCAGCGCTCACCCACTTATTTGTACACCGAGAAGACTAAATCACAGTCTGAGTAGGCTTTCAGCAAATCAAAAAAAGTGCTGTACAAGAGGGAAATAAGTAACGTTCCCGTATGCTGAGCCACCATACGTTAGATAGCCCTCATCAACAGGTGCTGATTGTGCCTTGATAGCCGTCTGGTTGCCAAAAGAAAAAACTGTCTGCATGCCCATCACCATATGCTGAAGAATATGGCAATGCATCATCCAAACGCCGGCATCTGTAACCCGGATACGCCACGCTCTCCAGCCTGATGGCGTAAGAGGAGTTATTTGGCTTCTATATGAGTACAGAACCGTTGTGTCCCTAGGCATTGGACGTGTGCCATTTAATCGCTTCTCATTCTCCGTCAGGTTATACAACCCATCCCCGCCACCAATGTCATAGAAATGTCTGCCGTGTCCATGGAATGGGTGGTTCTCCACATGGCCAGTACTAACAGCACCTTGATTCTGCCAGACAATCTCAAGGACTTCGCCCATCTTGGCAGGGAAGAGGCGGGTCTGGTTATCAAACCCATAGCCACTAGCAATTGCACGGCTGTACGAGGCGTCAAGGTCAAGTTTACCCTCATAGACATCAACCAGGTATGGCGACTTGGGAAATGTCTCCATCCAGTCATACCCGCTCTGGAGCCAGATGATATGATCACTAACATTTTGGTGAACATTAATGATAATGCGCCGGGTTACTTCCTCAACGGTTGGGAAGTCAGGATCGGGGTAGTAAGACTCTAAGGCATAGTCCTGCCAGCCGTAAGTGAGATTAGCTACAGGGAGGGGAGGAGTGGCAGGGACGGTGGTTAAATCAGTTGTGGTGGGAGACGGGTACTCTAAGACTGCGAATGTGGTCAGGACAGTTGGGCGGCCCATCGTGGTGATCTGGAAGTAGAATTGTAGGGACTTTGCTTCGTGCAACTCAGCCTCAGTCTTGGCCTTCAAAAGAACACTGTACCGCTGGCCGCTAGAAATCTGCAAGTAACTCGTCTTCACAGGCTTTGTGTAGTGACCGTCCGCCTCGATGATTTCTAGCACATCATGGCTCTCGATGGCCAATGAGACAAAAGATAGAGCTGTTGCCCCAACGAACCGCAAACGGTACGTCATCCCAGGCTTAACACTAATAGCAGCCAGCTTGCACGACCCGGTAGCATTAGTGGCCAGTCGGCCTTGGCCGTTTACTAAGACAGCATTGGTCTCTCCACTCCACATGAAATTAGATGATGTGAGACCTTGCTCAATCTCTTCATCCGTCTTTGTGAAGAAGTCTGATAGAGTAATAATGCGCTCTTCATCATACTTATATGGTGGCGGCTGGGCTGACTCAACAATAAGGGTGCCCGTGGCAGTGACTGCCTGGAAGCCAACATGGGAATGATAGAAGTATGTACCAGCATAGCCGACCTCAGGACAGAGTTCATAGTCAAAGAAGTGACCAGGCGGGATGGGCCATTGACTGGCGCTGGGAGTCCCATCAGAGAAAGGCGCGGTGAAGGCAGAAAGGCCATGCCAATGCTGTTATCTTTGTAAGCATGACGGTATCCTTTATAAAGGAGAATCAGTGACGAACCATTGTGACGTTCAAATCCTCCATGTCGTTGTAGACACGAATCCAGCTCACGTTACCTTCCTGGAGACGCAGCTCTGGTCCGGGAGACGACCCGTTCACCAGGACTGAGTACCGTTCCATGCATGCTTGGTAATAATTCTGACTGGTGACATGAATGATATGGTCAGGCTGGAAGGAGTCGTCATGAAGAACGAGGAGCCCTTCACTTGCTGTTGCCATCCTCAGGATGAGGTAGATGATAGACGATATGCTGAACATTTTGGAGAAGACTGCCCCGTCAACAAAATAGAAAATCGATTGGATCAGCATAAAGAATCGAACAGATCAACGGAAAATCTACTTCCTATATATGGATCCTTATATTATTGATGCAGCAGCCGTACCAATTCTCTCCATTTCGCCCAGCGGCGATTTGCACGGCATTATAGGACAATGGGTAAGATTTGAAGTTACGCAAACAGACACTATCGCCACCCGCCTAAACCTTCAGAATAATCATGTAAGCTGAGTGAAGCTGCAAGTAAACGTAAGGGTTTCCAAATCCATCCGCAGTCGCTGGTTTTGCTATGCTTGTTCGAACAAGCGCTATGTTAAAGTAACAAATAGACCTGAGATTAATTTCCGTTGAAGCAAGAGACTCAACTATACGACATCCATCAGGTAAACCCTGAAATCAGACTACATTTTAACAAAATTTCCAAGTGAATCAAATTGTACAGCATTTGAACCAGCCTGCTCCCACTCTGCATTTCCAGTCGGCAGTATATCTGTCTATCAACCACCAAATATTAATCCATATCTGTCGTCTTTGTAATACAACGATTCACACCTATTGCCGACGTAAACATGTAGGCAGGAATAGGGAACGGGCGTCGCCATTCAGATTAGCCTGGTATGAGAGGAACAACAGTTTCTAGCTTTCTCCAATGTCGTGTCGAAGTCGGAATAACCTACAGCTTTGCCGCAGAGTAGACTGCCATAAATAGGCACCACTAAGAATCCTTTTGATTACGCTTTTCAAGGCCACCCACCTTCTTCTAGTTGCCCGCCCTCTGGCCCAGCGATATCACGGCAGGTGACGATATTCATACAATATTAGAGTTCATATAATATTCGAGACTAATTATGCCGGTGCAGAAGCTGCTAATACAGCCTTTGCTCTTCGCTTCCTAACTAGCTACAATGCTTCGCCACCAATATCAAAAGAATTTGGGCTCTGGATTGAAACTGGACAGGTACATTCTCGAACAACTGCGGGCCATCAGATCAGTCAGACTACTCACTATGTATGTCTTCTATATAACCTGGTAGGTCCCGTGGGGAGCCGCCTACTCAACATGATATCGCGTGTACATTGCATTCACAATTTCGTTAACGTCAGCAATTATAATTTGAGGATACACCATCACTGACCGCAGCACATATATCTTTCTATTCCACCATGTCTCCACACAGGGCCGATCGACGTGGACATGGCCTACAAATTTCCTAGTTTAAGATATGTGTGCGTCCCTCCTCCTCCCTGCTTTCAACATGTACCTCTCTTACAAGACTAGCGCATCGAAAACTCTTGCAGAACGAGCGGCTTGGGATTTCGTTCGAAGGAAAAGACCAAACTTCACGCTTGCCACAATCAACCCACCAATGCTTTATGGCCCTGTTGCACACACAACCACACTCAAGTCTCTGAACCAATCTGCGCTTGATATTTGGCAACTGATGAGTGGCCGGACACAGAAGGTCCTCTCTCCTAGCGTCCCATACTTTGTCGATGTTCACGATAGTACATGTCCTGGCATTCGAGAGTTTCAACGGTGGCCGATTTATTCCAGTTTCTGGACCCTTCTCCTTTGAAGAAGTCTGCAGGATCTGAAAGAACGAAGTTCCGGAATACGCAGACCTGGTGCCAAACCAAGGACCTCAAAGGGTGTCTGAGACATTTCGTATCGATAATGGCCATTTGAAAAAGGAGCTTCACATGAGTTTTGAGCGTTCACTTCGGGAAACAATCAAGGACACCGCCTGCAGTTTGGACCAAATTGCGAAACAAAAGGTGCACCCCGAGAAACTATGAATGCCTGTGGCTTCCCATTCCGCTCCTGTTTGATGTATTCACGCAAGAATTGCTAACACCTTCTGTACAGTGTGGCTCCAGGATAGAATGCAATGTGATCCATATAGCCCACAAGTTGAAGCTTGCGCTCTTTCTAATCCCGGTGACCCTTGCAGGATGTCTGTAGGTCCACTACACTTCTCCGCCAGTCCTTCTTGCAGTAGTTGCAGTCCTCCTCCTAGTGCTGAAGTCTGTAACCAAAGAAATACTGGCTGGATTTCATGGTAGTCATTTTGACGGCAGGCTATCCTATGCTCCGCTAGCGTCCAGGGTTCGTAGGAGCATTATTTGACGATGGCTTCCATATGCTGCGGAGGCCACCAGGGGGCTTGCTATCTCTGCCGTCGCAGGGCTTTGTATCCAGATTTAGTTTCAAAATCTCAGCATCAGTCAATTACATCTTCTCATCTTCCCCCTTTCCTGCTTTCGCTGGTGTCCGGATTCGTTTTCCTTTAAGCTCAGCGCGGTGTACTGATAAAACTTGAGCCACAGCTAACGCTTTTAACTAGAAGGTCGCCGTTCTTTTGTATATCCCCTCCGAATACTGAGTGAGCACTGTGGAGTATATAAAATACTCCTGGTTCTTTTCTTGACATGTGAATTGTATGCACACAGGGCAACACCTTCGCCAGACAATATCATTTGTTGTGTATTAATTGAATCATTTGCATTAACCTACATAGTGGTGAGACTCGACTAATGCATTGTTATTTGCTGTACTGTAGGTCTTTCATTGGGGCTAGCCTAAGATATCCTGTCCGCGAACGGAGCAAAAACTGGCCAATTCTACAGAATATGAACAGAAAAATAAATTTACATGCATTATGCAGTCACACCTCGTAAGTTTTAACTCTCCCACTCCGCATCCATATATTACCTATATTCTGCCAGTCAAAAAGTCCTTTTGTTTTCATATAAACCCGGGCTTATATGACATACATCACCATAAGAATCGCTTCCACATGATTTCTCTTTACGTGAGATACGTGTTCTAGATGCTCTAGATTTATCCTCTCCTATGCCATTTGTGCAGTAGCTTAAATCGATAATAGGGTCGTGTAAGTTGTAGGCCATGTGCGCGGTGTAGAAGCGGTCTACGAGGGTGTCGAAACTTACGAAATGTCACTGTCTGTAAGTTACGTATTTTGCGGCCAATCGTGGTAGGCGGGTTGCCCAAATAGCACTAAGGCGAGTGTCTTGGCCGATGCCGAGGCTCACCACCCTTGCTTGCGAATTTAAACTCTACGCGACGTAAACGCAATTTAGACCTCTCCCTAGGCTTGTCGAATGGCACCCGAGGCACATGCAATGCTTGATTACTCAACATCGATACGTTTTAGGGACCATCTAATGAACAAAATTTAGATCTTTTGAGACATTTTCGGTTTACTCAACACAGAAAACGCTGAAAAGCCGCATCGGTTCGGTGATTTCGCGCGGGCCATAATTAAAAATGAACTTCACTTTGCGAGGCCGAATGTCCGAAGTCATCGATTGCCGAGACTATAGTTACGTCATTGCTTTATCCGAGATTGAGAATAATCATATGGAATGAGTTGAGGGATGACCATGGCCACCACGCATATAATAAACCGGGTCTGTGGAATCCACCATCCCTTAAGTTCAAGGCCTCGGTCAGCATCGTCAGCACTCCCGCAAAATAGCAAGACACACAACGGAAAGAGCTGCGAGAAACGCATTCTCAACATCTCAAGTTGATCATAATGTCGTCTCACTCTGTCTCAAAGATTTTCGTCGTTGGCGGAACCGGAGCCCAGGGGCTACCTGTGGTGCGCGGCCTCGTCTCCGACGGCAAGTACTTCTGCCGAATCCTGACACGAGACTCCAAGTCACCGCGTGCCAAAGACTTGCTTGCATTGGGAAATGTCGAACTCTTTGAGGGCTCATTTATGAGCGAAGAAGATATGACAAGCGGCTACCGTGGTTGCGATAGCGCCTATATCAACATCGATGGCTTCAATACTGGCGAGAAAACCGAGACCTACTGGGCCATGCGGGCATACGAACTTGCTGTCGAGGATGGAGGAATTAATTTTTTCGTCTACGGGAACCTGGACTTTGTCTACAAGAAATCCGGCTACAACCCGATCTTTCGGACGGGCCACTACGATGGGAAGGGTCGTGTTGGCGATTGGCTGCTGGCGGAGCATGAAAGCAACAGGAGAAACCTTCCAGGTTCCTATAAGATGGCAGTTGCCGTGTTCACCACGGGTCCGTACATCGAAATGACTATCGCTCGCGGTGGCCCCATGTCGCCGGCAATTATGACAGACGATGATGGAGAAAAGGTGGACGTCTGGCGCGCCCCGCTCGGTGAGGGAGCGGTGGCCCATGTCGCTCTGGATGACTGTGCACATTACGCCCGCTGGATTTTCGATGATCCGGCCCGGTCCAACGGAACTAATCTCGAGGTTGCCATGGATCATGTTCACTATGCTGATCTCGCAAAGGCATTTGAGAAAGTTACAGGCCACCGCGCACGATATGTTGACACCCCGATGGAGGAATACTGGAAATCTGGTCCCATGTCTGCTTATGCAGACCAGGTTGCCGGATATAGTGCGGATCGTAACGACCCTGCATCGATGACGGTCAAACAGAATTTCACTGGTTTCTGGAATATGTGGCGTCACTCGGGAAATAATCAGGGAGTCATCCGTCGAAATTACGCTTTCTTGGATCAGATTCACCCCAGTCGTATCCGAAATGTCGAAGAATATTTCCGGCGAGAAGATGAAGAGGGCAGAAATGCTGGCAAAGGATCGCTGTGGGAACGGGTGCAGCCGGAGAACATTTCACCCATCTTGAAGGTCCATATGGACGCGAAACGGGCGGTTTCTGACTAACGGCGAACATGTGGCTCTTTGGAGCTGCACGGAAGTTGTTCTATTCTTCTCCTGGGTGCTGAGTGTGTGGTGGTTTTGATTCCTTTCCAGGGAGAGAACATATCTAACGGAACAATGGGGATGCAAGGTAAAAACCTTTTTGAATTGGATGAAACTGTTTCGGATTATTTGAGGATATATTTAAATCGACTCTGCCATTTTACATGATTAGAAGGTGATTCTGTATATGATCAATATATGTGTACCAGGGTTCTGGTGAATTGCAGCCAGAGAGTTGAAGGCATTAAGAGAATTTTTAATTGTTGGCTGAAAGCAAAGGACTCCCTCCTGTATGTTTTATCAGTTTCCATCATAGACCCTATATAACCATAAACTAAGTGACAGTAAAAAAGGATAACACAGCTGATGTGTTCAGCTCTGACTCACGTGTATCAAAGACATTGATTTCAAATTTTCAATGGATTAGAATAAACCCTAGGCTAGTTTAAACCTGTGAGAACCTTGCGCTGGGCTGCAAAAGGTTAACCACTGAGGCAAAAGACTTACTATGATTAACCCCTATGGTCAATCATGCCCAGCTTTTCCAGCGTGTCCAATACCGATTGAAAGGCCGCGTCATTAGAGTGCAATTGCCGTCATTACGAAGCATGTTGGGCTGTAACTGTCACTCATGATTGTTTGGGTGTAATCTCTTTTGAAGCAGTCTAAATACCTACCGCTTTGGTATCCGAAGCCGCAAATTGCGATGGCTGATCATCATTCTCATCCGCATGCGTTTCACAGAGCTCTTGAACTGGCAATACTTCGTTTGGGCGCTCCATCTATATGATTTCGATCCGATGCTTTTGATTTGGTGGTATAAGAAATATTGTGTCCCCAATGACATGGCCTTTTTATAAGCGAAAAGTCTCGGAAGCCCAGGGTATATATGCAGCGTGGCTGTTAAGCCTACCAATCACCATTTGTGACCTCAACTATTTACACCGGGACTGATAGAGTGCCACTGAATGGTTCTTCAGCCGTTGAAATCTCACCATCTTTGAAAATGAGATTCTCACCATCTTCCTCCTAGCGGCGTGCTAAAATCATCATAGTGGTGAGAACGGGAAACTGCTGGATTGAGTGAAATTGAAATATCAATGTAAGACGTTACGGTAATTGTGATGAAAATTGATGGGTCAATGATATAAAACAGGTATGAGGACGGTGAAGAGATCTCAGTAAACTGTGCTGGCAGGATGCACAGGGCGGAACTTCACCAGCAGTGAATGAGGGCTCCACTCCAGGGGCTCATGCCAATAATGAAATAAATTCTAGCCTGAAGGTGAACCTAACATGAAAATAATATGCAACATTCATGAATCTCTATGCACCTTGTTCCTGCAATGCTTTTCCTTCTAAAAGGACCAAGATTGATTTATAAGTCAACATTTCGGTATCCATCACGGCCTGCTATGTATAAACTAAGCTATAATTTTCCACACAGACTTCTCAACAATTCTGCGCCGAGTTCTTGAAATACAGTATAGCCTCTATGTCAACGAATCTTAATAAGTGAATAATTTGTTGAAATAGGATAGGATCTGGAGGGAACTGCACTAACCAGCCAGAATGGAATAATATCGAAGCTGTCTCTTAAAATCAGGATACAGTACCCCCTGAGTGGAAGTGCATTTTATACGCTTCCCAAATGTTCACTTTACCATACAAAGCTAGGTGCCTCAGGGGGACTGAGGGCAACAGAAGCTCTCAGTCATATGATATCTATCAAGGGAGTCTCAGAGTTATGGAAGACTGCTGAAACCTCAACATGATTTTCAAGATGAGATGAAATGATTATTGTACAGAGAACTGAGAGAAGTGCAAAACCAGCTTCACCAACTTGCACTCTTCCATTCTTTCTGTGCCCACTGCCAAGACGCTAGCTTAAGAGATGGGTAGATCTAAATATGGAAGATATATGTGTTTGGATTCAATCAAAAAACAAAAACTTTGCCTTCTACCTAGGAGTTTTATCTGCCATCACATTGCCTTATTTCCCTTCCGCAGCCGCGGCCTTCGCCTTATCATCAATGGTCTTGGCAATAGCCGGGCGAGCCTTGATACGGTTCAACCAGGAATTAACATGCGGGAAGTTCTTCTCGAGATCCATTTCGTTCGACCAGAAGAGCGCAGCCACCTCGAACCACGGCACAAAGGCAGCATCGACATAGCTGAACTTGCCGCCAATGAGATACTCCTTGTTTTGGAGCGATCGGTTCAGCACACCCGAAACACGACGGATTTCGTTAACATATCGCTCGACCGCACTGGGCACCTTCTCAGGGTGGTAGACCGTAAACCAGGCGGCCTGCCCGAAGTACGGTCCCTGGCCGGACACCTGGTAGTGTAGCCACTGCTTGCTTTCGTAGTACTCCTTCGAGCCGGCGGTGAAGCTGATGGTGTGTTGCTTGTCGTATGTCTCCACCAGGTACTCGAGGATGGCGCCGGATTCCCAGATGGTGATGCCGGTGTTCGGATCCTCGAGGGCGGGAACACGACCATTGGGATTGATAGACTCGTAGGGTTCCTTCTTTAGATCGCCGAGATCGACAAACTTAAGCTCGTAGTGAATTTTGAGCTCTTCCAGGATCATGAGGACCTTCCAGGGGTTGGGCGTGCCAGCGTGGCCCCGGAGGGTCCAGAGAGTGAGGGTTTTGAGAGACATGGCGAGTGAATGATGATTGATTGATTGGGAGAAAGAGAGTTGAATACAGAGATTACATGGATCGAGGGTTGGTCTGCTTAAGAATACCGGTATACCCCAATGGCGGGACCATCAGGACATGAATTATTAAGTTCGGCACCCGAGAAGACCGAACGCTTGGTAAGCTGGATAGTTAATTCTCTTGTGATTTTCATCAGCGTTTATTAGGCCTTAGTTATCAACACAAACCACGAACTATGCAGTCAACACGCCTGGTTTACATCTACCTCGGGACGTTGATTGGTCCTTGGTCATCAACACAAACAGCACAAACGATGCAAAAAAACTTGGCTTGGTCTTTTTTGGGGGTGGGTAATTGCGGAGCGTAGTGAACCATTGGTCCTTGGTCACCAACACAAACAGCACAAAGTAAGATACAAACCAAAACTTGCTTGGAGGGGGAAATTAATAATAGCGTAGCGAACCATCGGCTTGGACAAGTGACCATAGTCTATAGGACGCCCCTTGACTTTCAATGCGGTGTAACTTAATGCGGAGGGAACTGGCTGTATTTGATATATCGGTGTTGTAGCATGGGTAAGATGGTTGTATTATCTAGGTACTGTGTGGGTCAGGAGTCACGACCCAGTCATGTAGATACAGGTCTAATAAGTAGTGCGAGTCAGGGTGACAGTACAACACCATCGATTGTACAAAAGCTCCAGCACAAGCCTTTCTTGCAGCTGCGCAACCAGGCTATTCAGTAATGACTCCGATCCAATCGATAGAAGTCAAGACAGACTTTGAATCTTAATTGCTACCAAAAAAATATTTCATGCGGCATTAGTCAAACGATTCGGGGCGGCGACAATCCTGCCCGTGATATTCATAATCAACAGGAGCTGGGGCCTCCTAAATAGAACAATTTTGCCTTCCCGGCTTTTTATAACTTGATGATTTATAATAGCAGTTCCATATAGTCAACTCTGTCATATATATAGAACATAGCTTCTTGCCCGTCCGAGTTCGGATCTAGCTGTGTGATCCTTTGCTTCGATAGCTTTCTTTGCTAACTTTCTGGATATGTCGGCCGACACACTCTCACTTGCAGGAAAGACTGCTTTAGTTACAGGTTCTGGTAGAGAGACTGGCATCGGTGCCGCTATTGCCAGAGCTTTTGCCCGGAACGGCTCGTCTGTAGCAATTCATTATGTGTCGGAAGGCTCCAAGGCGCGGGCTGAGAAGGTAGCGATTGACATCAATAAAGAGTTTGGCACCAAAACCACCGTCGTCCAAGGAGGAGTGGAAAATTACGATACTGCGAAGAACATGGTTGAGGAAATTCTGAAAGCATTTAGCGTCGATCACATCGATATTCTCGGTATGTCATGGGCGGCGTGATGTTCTTTCCAGGTAGTTGGACAAGACTGATTGACTATTTGTTCTAGTCAACAACGCAGCGGCTGCAAGCAGCACACCTCTCTTGGAGGTTAAAGAAGAGCAGCTCAAATACGAATTTGCCGTCAATGTCTTCGGCGTGATCTACATGACACAAGCTGTTGTCGGCGTAGGTCGAATGCCGCAAGGCGGCCGCATCGTCAACATCGGCTCCATTGCTTCGAAAATCTTGGTCCCACCCCCTGTATATGGTGCGACAAAAGCTGCAATGGATGCCCTTACAACGTTTTGGGCTGGGGAGGTAAGCTTCCTTTCGTGTTTTCCCACTCTCTACGCTCGACAACCATCTAACGAAATCCGGACAGCTTGGCAAGAGCCGTGGGATTACCGTCAATACACTCGCACCCGGTCCAGTTCCAACAGATATGTCGAAAGCGTATCTGGTGGCCACTGACGGGTCTCCAACTGCGCTTCAGCTTTCTATGTATGAACAGACGCGAGCTGCGAATCGCCTAGGGTCAGTGGAGGATCTGGCTGATGCTACGCTTCTGCTAGTATCAGAAAAGAGCCGGTGGATCACTGCACAGTTTATCTCAGTTAGCGGCGGAATTACCGGGACTATGTAACCTGGGGGCTAAGTCGACGCGCCCAGTTGACTAAATCAATGTGGCCATTTCGTTTAAAGTTCCCAACATCGCGTGCCCTTCTCAGGGATCGCAAGTGTCTTTAATGTTGGCTGTAATTAAGAGTTCCTGAATATGTACAACGAGCTTTGAAAAGGTACTGTAATATTCACTCTAAAAAGCTTCCCTATTCAAGTGGTTTTGTGGAGGACCGGTAGACCCAAAATGGAGCTTTGAATGGTGAAAGCATAGTTATGTGTTGTTGCCATATCTGAGGGTTGGGAAGAGTTCGTCCAGTAATGTACATAGGCCCATTTAGATCTACCTATTTCTTAAGCTAGCGTCTTGGCAGTGCGCGGCAGAAAGAATGAAGCGTGCAAGTTGGTGAAGCTGGTTTTGCACTTCTGTGTATCAGTCTCTCCGCATAGCTCTGCAGTAGTCTTAGGTATATTATACAACACTTTATACAGAACACGTGGATCATCCCAAGAACCAGTCAGGCCTGGCGGTCTTCCTGCATTGGTCGATATACTCGCATCATCCTCTTCAGTCTCCCCTCTAGATTCGGAGTAGCCGTAAGGGGATCTAACGGATATACAGTTGGTAGCGAAATGTCGAGGATAGAATACGCTAGTAGACTGATTTCTATGCATGGTATGGAAATTTTACAGCACGAACATTGAGCTAACGATAATAGTTTAGCAGGGAATTTGCAGCTGATACCCTCACGAGGAGTTCCGCAAACAGACGCAATGGAGAAGCAAGACTTGCGCACGAAGTCGGATGACCCCTCTCTATATATACAATTCAGAGAATGAAGATGACCAATATTCATCTGAATCCTCAAAGAGGCCCTCGGCTGGACCAGGCCTAATTGATGATGCTGCATTGATTTGTTTGATGTCACTTGCCGTCAATGAATGCTGCCCTGTGGAGAGATAAATCAAAAATCTTTGCTCCTAGTCTCTGGTTTGATGAACAACCCATCGGCTGAAATTGCTTCAACCCACTTCCGGCACGTTCCGGTAATCTGGAGAGACCCCCTTCATATATATCTTCCGACCATCAACCTTGACTGGCCAGGCACGTAGTCTTACTTGCGTCGTCGGAGGAACAGGTCGTTTGAAAGAGGTGTTGAGATAAGCTGTAAAGGCAGGTTCGTCGGCTGTTGGCTTGCAGCAATCGGCAAGGACACGATCCATCAAAAAACTGTATCCTCCAAAGAGCTTGTCCTGGTAGTAACACATTTGCTGTGGAGGGCCAAGTCGTAGCAAGGACTCAACCTCGCAGCCGAGGGGATGGCTTTTGAAGACCGGTCGATAGCCATTGAAGAGCAAACGCATGGTTTCGTCAGAGGACTTTCCAAGGGGTGCCCCTAGCGGTTCCATTTCTCTCTTCTTTTCACACTCTCAAAAAAAGCATCGTAGCTAAATCGAAGCGGGCCTTGAGATTGCTTCTGTTCATTTTCTTGGCCAGCGGTGTTTGATGGGCGACTCTGCGTAACGGCCGAATCAGGTGGGACAAACAGGTTGGCGTCCTCTACGGGCTCTTCTTTGATGACCGTCTCGTCAAGATTTAGAAGTTGGCAGCAAATAGGCCGTGGGATTCGGATCTCATCAGGAATCATGATCCATATTAGGGTTTAGGGGAGAATTTTCTTAATGGAGAATGCCGTTAAGAGTTTCATCAAGCTCTGTTATCCGATGCGCGAGTACCAGAAAATAGAAAGATTTGGTAGTTGGAGAAGGTTTAACTTTGAAATTGGCTCATCGAGAAAGATCATTGCTATAGGACTCATGTGAGTGACCCATACTCTTAATTTTATTTTCCAGTTCGGCGATGCGATTTTCTAACGTCGATACTCTTTTTTCTTTTCGGGATCGATACGCCCTTTGCGCGAGACGAAGCTGGGTTCGGCGGTGCTGTGACTGAGTTAGAACCTGTTTGGGGGGCGGGGGGGAAGTATAGAAGCTATCCTCGAAAAAAAAGGAAAAAATAAAAAGTATAAGAATGAGAAGTTGGACCGATATAACAAAAATTAGATAGTTGATCGATGGGGGTGGGAATCCTACCTCATTGGGTCCTGCATTGTCAAGATTGATTATTTTTCTTGGCCTGCCTCTCTTTCGGGCGGGCTTGCTCTCTATCTGCTCTCCTGGCTTCATCCCAGAGTGTCTGGGGGAATCATTAGTTATGCAGCCCTGGTGACAAAGCATCCGATGAAGATTGAGCAGTGAAAAAACTGTCATCGTTCTCAACCTTATCGTATATAATGAAAATCCCCCGTACGGTGGAACTCGATCTTCAACGCCGCGATTTTTATCCTGAGCTTCTGGGGTCGGGTATATTGAAGCAGACAGCGCCAGCAATACACTTGGCGGTATCGTAGCAACCAAAGTTTCTCGGCTTTGAGGCGGTGATATCATTCGTTGCTGTCTATCCTGAGCAAGAATGGGTAGATTGAATTGTGATGTGAACGATCTCCCGGATCGGGTCGGGCGGGAATCTCGAGCTGGCATGATCCTCAGTTTCCCAAGAGCTGGTGTTTGTTGAAAGGAGTGTTGATAAGTAGACTGTTAGGATTAGTGGCCAGTTTACACACACGAGATAAATTGCCGAACTACAAAGCAAAAATAATAAAAAAATAAAAAAAAATAAAACCTATACTGGGCCGTGACCAAGCAACGCCTGGCTATATAGGACAAGTCTGAGGTGGCGTCCGAATTGCCGTGCGGTGCCGCGGACTATGCCTGTGATACAAACTCAGATGTTATAAAACCGATGACGCCATAACTTAATCCGGGGTTAACTATTGTAAACCATATAATATAGTGGCAAACCGTCTCAAAATACCAATGACGCAGTAGAAATTGATTCGCCAAGAGAATCAGGAGGCACACCCTGTTCCCACGCATTCCCATTGGGTTACTCCCATAACGAATTAGTGTCGTTCGGTGAGATGGGAATTACTCGGGACACCATGCGTGCAGGGAATTATTAAGGGCACAACAGCGCATATCCAGCCTTCATATTGTGTGGCTCGGGGATAAAGAGGGAATATAGTCCCTGTAGAACAAGGCTGCACCATCGAAGGGACTTTTGAAATGAGGCATATCTGGGCAGCTGTTGGTGATTGGGAAATTATAAACAGAGGCCAGCAATACTCCACGGTATCGAAATCGAACTTTATACCGATCCTACTACCTAAATACAATTATAGGGTCCGTCCGCACACTGAAAAAAGTCTACGTTGTTGGAGGGATTGTGAAGACATTCAACAAATGTGGAACCGAGGTTCCATGGGGAAAGATCGGGTTGCCGTGGTCTCCGCCTCGGGAAAGCTAGATTCCTTGATTAGAAGATCTGGTTTCTGGTGCAATCCCGAACTTTGGACCATTTTGCTGAATTATGACTCCTCTTTTTGTTTGGTAAGTTAACTATTCAAGCTATTTTCGATTTGTCAGCAGCGACAGTGTCATTAATACTTCATCAGTTTTCCTTCCACATCGGCTGTCTTGTATCATATTAGCATTCCAGGAATACATTCGGAATACGAAATGGCAGAAAATATTCTCCAAAGGTTAGCTTGATGTATGACTGGCTTTTGGCTCAGAATTGCTGACATGATCAGGGTTGACCTCTTGTCTGCGATCCTGGAGGCTCACGGCGGAGAAGCTCGCTTCAATGAAATTAAATCTATTGAGGCCACCTTAAACCTTTCAGGCTTATTATTCGACTCCAAGGGTTACCCAGGTCACCGCCAACTAACAATTACTGTTGATCCACATTCTCCTAAGACCTTTTTTAGAGGACTGGGACATAATGTTGATGAGCTCTGGGCGTACAGCCCAAAGAAGGTCTGGACTGAGAATGCTGACGGCTCAGTTATTCAAAGTCGGGACAGTCCACGCGCGGCTTTTGTTCACTTAAACTCGGAGTCTACGTGGGATGACATGCACTTCCTGTACTTTGTTGGTTATGCTCTGTGGAATTATCTCACAGCACCCTTCCTCTTCAATTGGCCCGGGTTTCTCACTCGGGAACTGGAAAACCACGTCGAGAACGGTGAGACGTGGCGAGTGTTGGAAGTGACCTTTCCTGACGATATTCCAACCCACAATAAAATCCAGCGATTTTATTATGACAACAAATTCATGCTGAGGAGACTTGACTATGCACCGGTGGTCCTGGGCGGCGGAAATGCGTCACAATATATGTTTGACCACCAAACTATCGGTGGTTTGGTATTTCCAACTCTCCGTCGAGTGGTTCCTGAAGCTCTGAGTGGTGTTTTCGGGCCAAGGCTTGTGTTGATGGATTTTTGCGATATAACTATCAGACAGCATCTCTGATACGTGAATGAAGTGTAAGACACGTCTGATCAACGTTGTACGATATTTCTTTGATCGTTGGCAAGCGTTACAAACTCATGGTTCGCTAATTGAGCTCCGATGGCTTATATTTGCGTAAATCTTTTCATTGCTGCATTTTCAGTAACATGAAGCTGGATGTAACTACTCAAAGCTGCGAACTGTTGGCAGAGTATCCGGCAGGCGTGGCTTCATCCGACATCACGTCAGAGAGTTCTTACCCAATTGACATCAAGGTAAAAATAACACTAGTGATATTATTCTGAGCAATATGCGAGCAGGAAGGAATAAGGTTTCAGGGGAATAGTTGGCACGCTCTCTTCCTAGCTAACTGGGATCCAGTTTGTTGAGGCTTATAAACTGACGCCCAGGAGGATAGTAATCTTTCATGTTTGGCTCCTGACGCATGAGGCGGTTTTCATTGCGGTTGGCTCTGGACGATATCCGGAGTCAGCAAACATCCAAGTACTCTTAACCCGACAGTTGTCTACGGTTGGGCCGACCAGAAGATGCGAATATGGTATGGAATCCGCAGGGTCACTGAGAGTAGAATCTAAAGCTCGGAGATTGAACCTAGCCTTCTTCTACTTTGATTGTTGTGTTCCAGAGTGTCTGTAGTGGTGGCAGGGCCATTTCTGTCAGTTCTCATCTTGTGTCAGCTTGTCATATCCTTTTATATCAGCCTTTTGAATAACATAGGCTTGTAACTTGGCTTCCTGTACCGCGTAACGCTTAGGGAGTCGTGGCATTCTTCGATATTTTGTTGGCTTGTATCTTTCTACTGCTGCGCCCGGTTTGCTTTACCTTCTGCGGCATTGCTGTTCGTTATTTATTCGTTCTCAGCTGTTTCTCAAGCTTTCTATTCACATAAAACTGCCATATGCAACCGCCATTGTATGCCAGCGGGCATTTCCTGTAATCCATATAAACTAGCACTATTTAACACATTAGTTTTTCCATCACAATAGCTTTAGAAGGCTGTTTCTATAATGTAGACATATATATGTGTCATATGGAATAGAAATATAGCATTTCCTAAATTTTAGAATTTTTTTATGATTAGTAATGTAGTATTAGTCTAAAATACAAAAAATGCAGCTGTAAAGAACATTACCTTTGGTCTCTACTTAATATATATATTTGACATGAGAGTCCTTTGTATACCAAGTGTTAACTATCTCAGATCTTGTTGAGATATTGAAGTTTTGGAAAGTGCCATTTTATATAGAATACAGGAGATGGCGGCTGGCATACACCTCCTAATGATTACAATTATAATCATTAACAAAGCCTGTTTTATCCCACCGTTGGCGCTCAGTATTTGCTACTAAGTTATGCAGTTCTGCTCTTGTGGTCACAACTGGTGATTATTATGCCATTATAAAGGACTGGGTAGTTGCAGAAGGGTATAAAGATATAATGAAGTAGGTGAATCTTGACATGGACTATTTTCAGCACTTGCAGCCGTTTTTGCAGGGTTTCAGACTTTAAAGGTGAATACATCAGAATGAGTTTATACTTTTGACTCCTTGGGGATATAATTTCGGCCTACCAGGGTTAAGACCTGATACCTTAACATACTATGGAGTGCTAGTACGACACCTGTTGTTAGAAAGATTAAGTGCTAGTAGGATGTCTAGAAGGTTCTGTTTTTGAATATATAAATGACTATGATTTTCCTGATTTTCCTTATGAGAAAATCATGGTCTTTTGCGCGTTGAGCAATACATGAGCGCTAAATTTGGTGTGTAGTTGAAACTCTATGTGATAATAATATTTGACTGTCCAGCTGAAGTAGATAGAGAAAAAAAATGTACAAAATTAGCTTTTGTACTGTTATAAAGTAGAATCAAGGGCAATATTATCATAATATTATCCTATTATTTTTACTCTTAAAGAATATAAGATAGGTTATATGCAGCCCTGTATAGACAAACCAATGGTGATATGTTGAATACACCAGCCCTCACATCACAGCTAGTTGAATGGCTGTTCATACTATTACCTGGTGTTCTGCTGTTCTTTTTTACAGCAGGAATTCATGTGTAGTCTTCCTCATACGGCTAGCAGGCTTAATCAGTGCAGGCTTGAGATTATTGGCTCTGAGAGACATACCCAGTCCAATACAAGGTTACAGGGAGCTCAGTGCCAGCTTTACAGGTCACTGGATTTGTTGGAGGGTTCCCAGAACACCAGGTCTGAGATCCACATCCATTTGGTGAAACATTAACACATCCAGCGAAGCCATTGCCAATTGGTTGAATGACGTAGTTGAATGTGCCTTGATCACCAGAGACATAGCTCACTTCTACCTGTTCATTAAATTTCACATCCGCAACCGGTGCGCCTGGAACTGAGCGGTACTGTCCAGGCGCAATATTGAAGTGATCTCCCTGTGGTTCTACATCCACTTGGATGTCAAATGGAGCGTTGTTTTCAATGTTAACAGTACCAGCATCGGCAGGATAGATTGGACGAGAGAGATATTGCCGCCAGTAGTAGGCTGGGTTTCCCAGGGCAGGGCCGACAAGAGCTGCAATTGAGAGCACTGAATACTTCATGTTGTTGATTTGTTCGAGATGAATATTAAAGATTAATTCAGATCAATGTTAATGGGATAAGGATGGATCTGAAGATTTCGCTATTACACTACCTTAGCGAACCCCTCCCTAATTTATATATTTGCATCTATGCGCAGAGATTCCAATGTGTGGTTAATCATGACCTCAGTGAAACACAGTCTCAGAGCTTAGAGGTTAAGCTTGCTCAGCTCAATGGTTAACTACACCTAATCTAATATAAACTTTCGATACATTCTCCCAGAATACTTAGAAGAAGAGGCGATGTACTGCAAACAGCTGTTGAGCTCCTAAACTAAGTGTCATAGACTACTGATAACGGAGCCATGTATTGTGTAGAGATCACCGCCTGTCATAGGCTATAGGGGAAAACCATGGTACGTGTCCATGCCCACGCCAGCAATCTCCGACCTTATTTTTCTCTTCACTGATAGCAGGACTCCCAAAACCCCTAAAACTACATCCCTTTTACTTTTAGCCATTTTTCGTTGATTTATGTTGTGGTTGGGAAAATCAGGACCTCGTTGGCGGGGATGGGCCGATATTTATCACATGATAATTATCAGACCGTTACCATAGTGTAAACCTTATCTTACCTAAACCACAGTCATATAACTTAAGATCAAACTTTCCCGAAAGGTATAAGGCGGTATTTTAAATCCTGAAATCGATTTATAATGGCGTTTAAGAGCCCTGTAGTGAAGTAATTATGTCACTATTCCTGTCTAATAGGTAACTAGTTTACAGATGGTGTTACTAACCCTCAAATATATTGTTATTAGATGATTCTCCCATCATCTACCAGGGATGGCGACTTCAGTAAGATTTAAGGGGCTTTTCAACCCCACACCTTTCATTTTCGAACAAAATGTGCCCTATATATCACCACATAGATTAGATCTTTAGTTGATAATTATTTCCGCATTCTAGACTGGCAATGAGCTTAGTCTAAACCTTACAGAATGACAGACTTTATGACAAGTTTCTATTCTTTATTTGACCAACCACAGCTCCAAATAAGTAATAGCAGTCCTGTCCTAAACATCCCATGAAAACATATATTCTAGGTCCAGATTCGAATTCTACCAGGATCAGGCGCTATAGTAGACTTTTGGCCATGGCCGCATCGCCCACCGTCACAGGTGGCAAAAGATGATGGACCATAAAAGTTGTAGTACATGACATAGCAATTGCCGCAAGCGGATAAGCTATGATAACCTCTTTACACTGGGAGTGCCCACTATTAGCCATCTCAGCCGGATAGACAGCCAAAGAAGAGGGAAGGGAAGAGAGTCACACCACTCCTATTTACTTGATCACAACATATTTAACGTTCCACATCTATTGATTAGGGGTAGAATGCCCAGGTGACGCTTAGACTCTCTCCTAAGTGACTCTGTATGGAATAAGAGGGAATAATAAGATTATCAATGAATGTGGGTGAACCATTGCTGTCTAACAGGGCCTTAACTAGGTTATGCTATGTTATAGTGGTTGCATGTACGCTTTGTGGCAAGTGTAGAATAGGTCTTATGATCTACAACAGCTCAGTCTTACATCTACTTAACCAGATACTTTCTCTATATAATTAGGAAGAATCGATTACTGCTGTTTATGGAACGCGGATATCGTCCCAGAGCTTCCTGAGCAAAGCTGCTAAGATCATTCTCTCCTTCTCAATATGAGTTCTGCCGACGCCGATTCGCCTGGTAACAGGGAACGCACTGCCCACTCCGGCATGCCATCACAGCCACAGGCTGGTGAAGGCGCATCCCTTTCACTAGCCGATTTCCAGCTCTTGCTAGGAACCGATACAGGAAGCACCACAACCCCAAGAAAATGGTATTCCTGGCTCCTATGGTGGATGCAAACAGAATATCGACAACCGCAAGATGCCATGGCTTTATACCCGAAGATCCTCAGGGAAGAGAAGTCGACATTGCGACAGCTATACGCATTTGATATGCTAGTATATGCATGCCTGGTTCTACAGCTAGTAATTGCCTCAACTCTGGTCATCCTCTCTGCAGTCAGCGGAGATCACCATATTGTTGTTGCAGTCCTGGGCGCTATTACTGCACTTATCACCGGTGTGCTGTCCATGGTCAAGGGTCTGGGGCAGCCTATGCGATTACTTAACTATGCTGATAGCCTCAAGAAAGTGCGGGATGATATTGAATTCTGTGAGAGTGGACTGAAAACAAGAGCCACAGCAGTGACCTACAAGCAGGTTTTAGATATCTGGAATAAGTATGTTTCTGCGAGGGACAGCCAGATGACAAACCGTCCAGATGTATGGGCTCCTCTGGAGAGGGATACCAGGACCGCTTAACTCAGAATGGCGAGCCAGAATGGGCCTTTTGTAAGGTAGAATAAAATGAGACTGTGTTATATAGCTTTTGAAAAGGGACCTGCAAAATTCTGCTAGCGACAGTTTTAATGCTGAATGTATGGCTAGCTTCTACAGTGATCTTTTGAAGTGACACTGCTTGCTGGGGATGTCATATGAAACCTATCTTGGTATCTAGCATACTGCACAGACTACTGATTAGGAGATCATAATACATTAGAACTCATGAACTCATGAACTCATACTGGAAATGATGATGGACTCGCTTTATCCTTTCAGGATTTGAGCATAACGATGGCACTGTATCTAGGTGAATTTCTAAGAGTAATTAGATGCGGAATTCGGAGCTGGGGATTTGATCTTCATTAGGTGTTCAGGACTGCTTTAGGGAGGCTCAAGATTCTTGACCATCATATTAAAATCACACTGATCCAGCAGTTCTGAATGATTTATGGAAAGCATTCCTCCTCCTTGATATCTGCGCTTATCTAGGACCTAATGGATATTAAAATGTTCTGACGTAGCGGGGGAAGCTATCAAGGATACTCCTGATGATATTGATTCACTAAATTCTAACTTATTGCAGCCCAGAGGTTGGTGATGATTCTGTAGAAAAGCAGAACTCGAAATAAAATCAACCTGATAACTCTAGCCTAGTCAACAGTTGGACCCTACCTCTGCGCTGACTCGTGATACATCTCTCTAAGCTAAACCCTTACTCAAACTTAAGTACAGTCCTCCATGCCCGTGTGTTAGACCTACTGACACGGTAGAGATACAGATGTAAAAAGGCCTATCATTTTGTATCCAAATCATATAGAATAAACTAACCATTCATTAGTAAACCATGTTAGCACATTCTGGGAGTGGATTACTGCGGTAATAGAAATAGGTTCAGCCCTCATGCTTTGTTTAGCTTAACTAAGAGCTCCATGCAGGTCGTGCCAAATGGTCTGGACGATACAGTAATAAACTGATTCGCCTGCTCAGGCCGGAATTTTAGTCGACTGAGAAGTCATGCCTGATGACTATCGCGCGGACGTGGGCCTTCAGAGCTGAAAGGTGGTCGCCGCCTGTAGCCGGCGGGCCACTATTAGTGCCAGTAGCAGCAGAGCCGGCAGGAGTAGAACCTGCAGGGGCTGGGGTGGTGCGCACAGTAGACACTGACCTTAGCAGGTGCGGCCAGCGCCTTCTGACCAGCTGCCTTCCCAGCAACGAGCCTCTTGATGTCCGAGTCCACGCCGTTCTCGACGCCCGACACGAGCGCCCGCAGAGAGCTACGCTCCGGATGTTGATGAACTTGCCCGCATTGTCAGCGGCCCAGTGGGTGAGGTCCAGGGCGCGGGTGCCCGCCGGGACAGCGATCTGGGCCCCTCTTGGCCAGGGACAGGTCCGCCGTGTTGGCTTGGCGGCCGCGAGGGCGGTGCTCGTTCACTGTTGTTTACTTGCTGCTAATTATGCTGTGCTAAGTATGCTCATAACAATGCTTAAAGCCCTGTTCTTGGCATGCGTGGCTAGTCCCACTGTGGTAGCTGTGTTATCTACTAAGGCCTTATTATGTGTTCATCAGTTATCTGCTGCTCCCTAATAGAGAGGCGATGACACCAGTGCCACTCACGTTAACAGATATATACTCGGCTGCAGTCGGAACAGCCGACGCCACATTGAGTGTCTGCTTCACAACCTCCAGTGAAGCCAGCAGAGCTGCCTTGAGAGTGTAGCCCCCCGGAAACTTGGCGATCTAGAGTTGTGATCAGTCAGGCGCAAAAAGAGAATTCCGTAGGACGATGAGGATGGCAAAAGGCTGACGGCTTCAAGGCTGACTGCTTCAGTCTCTGGGTTGAGCCAGGGCAGGGCCTTGGGACCGACTTTAGACCAGTCGACTCTCGTCATATCCATCTTGCTCTAGTCCACTGTTTCGGGGACAAGCTTTCCCCAGGGAATTGTTGAATAGTCAAATTTGGACCGGTCCATCTTCCGCGGGTCCATCTCGCTCAGGGTAACCTTGTAAAGATCCAGTCTACTTTGCTTATGTGCCAGGGGAACAGAAGAAGTTTTGATGCAACATACTGTTGTATCCGTTGATCCTGCTTTGAGCATCTAGGATTGACTTGAGAGCACTTCCCAATTCGAGCTGCATAGCATCTGCGCTGCCAAATATGTTGATTAGCAAATTTTGTCGTCGCTAAAAAAGGGGACGAAAAGATAATTGTTGGGGGGCCCGCCGGGGTGTTTGGGGGGGTGTGGGTTCTAAGTCTCGATGTAAGTAACATCCATATATGGCAACTCACCCTTGGCATCCTGCGCAGCCTTTTTGGTCTCGTTCAGTGTCGCGCCTGACTCTGCCTCGGCCGATATCACCCGTCGTGTGCTCTATTGACGGAGGCGGCAGCTGTGTCGTTGGCTCCTCCAACTTGTTTTCTGCGGCGTTGTAACCCGCCGTCGCGGCATCGATGGTGGCCTGGAGCTTGGCCCTCTGCGCAGCTGCATCGTTCTTGGCCTCGGTCAGCTTCTCTCGGCGTTGCCGCTGGCTTTGTCGTACGCCACGTGTGCCGAGTCGAGCGTCGCCTGGGCGGCCTGCAGCTGATCAACAAAGCGTTTCTGCGAGTCGTACAGCTTGGCCCTGGCGTCGCTGATGCCCTTGTCTACCTATGCTTAACCACGGGGAACTCTAAGTCTGCCTGTGTATGTAGTCAAGGATGTCCTGCTGGAGCGTAGCAGAGAGGGACAAGTCGAGGTTGGAGAGGTCTGATAAAAATGCCGTGCCCCACATCTTGCCCTTGAGGTCGAGCTGAAGCACCTCAGCGAAGGTGGTGGTCATGGAGAACCGAAACTGGGGGCTGGGCAGGAGGTCAGCGTTGATGAAGGTGGTTTGCTTATCCAGACCGCACAAGTCAACGTAGCGGTCAATCGCGATGCGCTAAGTGGTGGGACTGATCTGGACCTGCCGCGACGGGCTCGGACCCGAGGCCCCCTTGATGGAGAGGGGTCCAAGCGAGAGGCCATCCATGCTGGCCTTGAGGTCGATTGTCTGTCCAACCTGTGCGTTCACAGTTGCGTCTTTCCCGAACAACACGCCGGAGGCCTTGAAGCTCGCGCCGGCCGGGAAGAATTGATCCTCTAGAAGGACGCCCGACGGGAGGTGGAAGTTGATATACCGAAATTGCTAGCAAGTCAGGCACAGACGGGAGTCTTACCCCGGCGATGTTCCTGGTAAACGAGTTTAAGTCCAAGATTCAAACAAAGAAGTATTTAGGATGCGTAGAGCCTGAAAAGAATTCTCTTAGTGAAGAAGTGCTCTGGGTGTTGATACATATAATCTCCAGAGTTGTGTCCAGAAAATCATTGGGATTAACTATGATCCGCCTGTCTCAGGAAATGGCAGTCTAATATTGTGTGGTATTTCTCCAGGTGTTTAGGGGTTTCAATATTAGCAAACACGCTATTGGTTCACAGGAGAATAGCACGGTCACACGAGCACCATGTCAGCGTCAACCGAGATCCGCGTGGGCATGCACTAACATTGGACAGAAGACAGATCAAGATTAGATCTTAAATGGAGGATTCCTGTTATGATATGAAGTTCAGACATACCTTGTTAACCAATGGTGCTGTATTGATAGTTGATCACTTATGTTTATCTCCCACCAGCGACAAAACAGCTGTTGGCTACGGTTGCATAGGAAGTATCTAAGTTGTTGTGATTGAGCTCGCGGACATCTCAACGCCCAAAAACTTGACCCACAGGACACCGCCTTAGATAATCGCAATATATCCAAAAGGAATTATGGCAAGATTCTCAGTATCACTAACATACTGCAGCCTTTCATAAATATCGGCTTTTTAATCCTCTTCCGTGGATTGTGGTTCCAGCCAGATTAAATCTTACTGTTGAGCCTTACGTATCATCTTGACTCCAGATGGACACCAGAAAACACCTCTGCATTCAAGAAACTGTGGGAGTGGGATACAGAAGTGAGAAGTTGCCATTTTGCCAGTTCAAATGTTGCTTTCTTCATGCTGTTTGTTAAGTGTGCGTGGAACCTTCTAGGAATTCCAGACTTCTAATTCTAGGCTCTTGTATCCGTCTTACAGCTTATAAAAAGAAACTGGTATTACGGTGGGTAGGTAAGAAATGTGCTATACTGCCATATAATACTATTACAGTTTGAAAGAGCATCTCTATTTTCCAACATGGAAAGCGATCTTGGACTGTACTGTACTTTCTCGCAAACAAATTCAAAGCCTGCCATGTTTCCAAGCTTACTAGCACGAAGGTTATGGTGGAAACCAACAGAAGGACGAGTTATTGTTGGAAAAGAGCAATTCTGTTTTTCTTCCTCACTCAGCTGTCAAATATCCTTGACTAACGTTCTACGCCACGTTCTGACGCACATGCTTCCTTCGCTCCATCATCTGTTGGTCGAAATGTATTACGTTGGATCTATAGCCCGCGCTTCAGAGAGTACCACGACGTAAAGCCGCCGAATAAGCACTAGTCTTCAGATTCGGAACTTGAAGTTGGGCAATTATACATGTCAGGGCACTGCAGCCGCATAGTTGTTATTATTAACACCATTATCCAAACCATTATTATCATTTTTCTCTAAATGTTTTGATGTGGATTAGGCTGGAAAATTGACGGAAGAGATAGGAACATGAAAAACAAAATTGGTTATACTCTGTACTGGTTTTATTAGGGGTTCTATGTTATTGCTCAGTTGTAACAATGAGGGATTGGCAGGCTTCAGTTAAATGTTGTGTGTTCTCCTGCTCTGAAGGCGGTCATGCTAAGTTTCCTCCTGCTATTCATTGAATCAACGCTACCCTGGCATCTTACAGTTCAGAACACGTCAGATCACAATGGGTTCAATCGAGTACAGGGAGATCCCTCAGCTCACACCCCTTTGAACGGATTGCCCCAAAAGGCTATGTCCGTTACATTTTCCTCTTCCAACTTGGAAACAATTACAACATCGACAAGGTCTCTCGGGTCCTTCAAATTGGCTACGAAACTCTTGCGATAGAGATTCCAGAAGTTGCATGCGAGTGTATACCCGATACCTACATTCAGAAGAAAGGCGTTATGAGATATCGCAAAATAGAGGGGGTGGATGCTGCTCGGATTGCTGTCCAAGATCTGCGCGATTCGTTCCCATTGAGCCTTGAGCAGCTAAAGGGCAAAGGCTTCCCCGTATCATACTTCGATGCTGAGACTTTCTGCCCCGGGCCAATCTGGCCAATCCCTGGAGAAAAGCTTCGCACTTCTCTCGTGCAGGCTAGCTTCATTCGAGGAGGACTGATTCTGGGGTGGAATCTTCTGCATTTGAGTGGAGATGGGACTTCATGGTATATCTGGACTAAAATTTGGGCAGACGCCTGTCGTCGAGCTCAGGGATTCGAGGGTGAGTCCCTGAACTTGCCGGAAGAGATCTGGGGAGACCGTGAAAGAGTGAGAAAGTCATCGGGTCGCAATGCTGGAAATACCAAGAATCATCCAGAGTGGACTATTCTACCTTTCACACCAACATCACCGCCGCCGAAGATGATGTCTCCGAATCATCGAGGCCAGATTTTCTATTTCTCTAAAGACTCCTTGAAAGCCTTGAAGGCGGAGGCTTCACCTGCAAATGCGACCGAGTCTCATGGTCAACAATGGGTATCTACTAATGATGCTCTCTCGGCACTGCTCTGGCGTACCGTGATGGCTGCTCGGATCCCCCTAGAAATATTGGAAGGTGATCCTACGTCTGTCTCCAACATCGCAATTGACGTCGGCTGCGAACGAACCCAAAGGTTCACCCAAAGACTTTAGGTTGTTTCATGGAATACATTGCAGTATCGGCACCTGTTAGAAAGATTTTAAGCACCCTCAAAATCGCGGATTTGGCGGCGATGATCCGCAAGGCCATGCTGAATGCTAATGAGGAATGGACAGATGATACTATCGCTCTCGAGGAGCAGATTGAAGATGTTGACCGACTAATTGCCACTGCTTTCCTTGATGTCCCTGGATTCAATTGCCCCCAGAGCTCATGGATGAACTTTGACCTATATGGTCTTGAGTGGGGTCCCGTACTAGGAGACAGAATTGAGGCCGTTCGTACGCCGCATGTCGGTATTGTTAATGGCCTTCAAGTCGTGCTTCCAAGGCTACCAGATGGAGGAATGGAGGTCCTTGTCGGCGTGGAGGGAAATTTCTTGGATAAGCTCCTAAAGGACCCATTGTTTACCAAATTCGCTGTTGCCAGATAAGGGGATATCGATCATGATTTATAATGAAAATCATGTACGCACTGGACACAGAACTACAAAGACGGTGTAGTTGAGCTGACCCGGTTGTGAGGAATGAGGATTTGAGAATCAGGGAAGACTAGAGTAGCTTGATGGAGGTATTCAACATACAAGAGCGTTATCTGATATCCCCTGCAAAAGAAGCAGAGAGTACATCACGTAGAGTAACAAGCCTCCCCTGCAACCACCGACAAAAGGGCCAGCCTGACCTCCCACAACAGCCAACCAATTTTGTTCCGCCCTCTGAAGCTGTTCTCAATCTCCAATTTCCATCCAATGACATACGATGATTCGCTAGTTTCCTACAAACGGAATCCAATCTACTCACCAAGAGAACGCTTGCTTCAGTAGGATCTGCCATCAGTATGTTGTCTGCATCAGAGTTAGCCAATGAGCCATGAGATCAGTCTGAAGGGTCGCATGCCTTGCAGACCTCCCTGCTGCAACACGTGGCTTTTGGTTGCCAACATTTTCCAAACGGGACCGAACAAGGACGTGCAGCAATGAAATCATGACGAAACGGAGTTTAGGGGCCAGTAAGGCACTGAGAGTAGGCGTGCATGGACGGGCAGTTCATGTGCGCGATTTAGCCTGAGCAATGGTTTCGATTAGGCTTCAGGGGCGCACTCAGTCCTGGGAGAAAAATGCTTCTTACAGATACAACAGGCGAAGGAGGTTGCATGGATCAGTTACCACCTGACGCTTCCTTGTCGCCACGTGGACGAACAATACTTGATATCCCTCTATAGGCAGGGTGCCTGATTACGTATGACATTGTAGCCAGGGTTTCATGTCAAGCTTTCTAGCAATTTCTCTCTTTAGTGGTATGATTCTGCAACAGCAGGAGATGCTGGGTCATCCACGTTTGATAACCTTGCATACGTGGAATTGAGAGCGCGTGGGTGGGAACGATCAAAGGGGTCCGGGCGCTCACTTACGCTGTTTGTCAGAATTGTGTGGTTAGACGTCCTTTCAGCTAGACAGGGGATCAAACAAATATTTTAAACTTGCCATTTGTAAGAATTCGATGTTACACTGCATACACGCAGTCCCAGCGAATTGGTAATTCCCTTGTCCATCTGATTCTGATAGGTCGGATGGCTAATTTTCAGCCTTGATTCAGTACCATGGTCCACCACCTAGTAAAGGCTAAGCATGCGCATTGAATCCTTCTGATGCTAACATAGGCTCATATTATGCAGAGTGACGGTGAAATTCTAGAAATGGCAAGTTTATTACCCCTGTCCGTCGGATGCCACTCCAATAGGAAGGTACATTCTCACTCATGAGTTTGATGGACCTTTCGCTCCTATAGCTTTGTAATCTAATTACATAACTTACCAAATACACATATTCCATGATACCGTCTTTTGAAATACTGTTGCGTAATGCGAGCCCTTACATCGCTGTACAAGTTATGGGTACATTGTCTCTGTGTTCCATTTCCATTCTCGGTTTCGCTTTGCCGAACTTCACAGATCTAGAACCGCCCCTCTGTCTGCCTAGCGCTGACCTGCCCTCATCCCCCACGTGGCTATTTCCAACAGTTGGATGTTTTCAGCCCCATCTGTCGCAAGCTATACAGGTCAACTTGAAGGCTAGTTAGTATAGGGGTTTCGGGGACCATTTTCAGCACACAGACTCCGTGGCTATGGTGAAGGATTTGGTTCCTACCCGCGTCTTGATCCTTTGAGGCAGCTTGCCAGCGGTTGCCTTGCACAGCCATGTATTTAAGGCCTAAGGGACACTTCGGTGCTCAGTGGAAAACCGAGTCATATAACCTCTGTTGCCCATAGTCCCGATACTGCTGCAAAGTCGACCACCAAGACAAATTTTACAAATGAAGGCTTCTTTGCTTTCTGTATCTTGTTACTTCGGGTTCCTCTGGACCCTCGTAGCTGGTGCCAGCATCCCCAGATACTTTCAGAAACACGCGATCACCCGTCGTGACTTGACCAGCACGCAAGTCCAACAAGAGCTCGGCGGCCTGGTCTCCAACACCACCCTCATCTTTGGGCCGGATGATCCGCGCTTCAACAATGTCACTTCCAGGTGGACGGACTTTTCTAAGCCTCACATCCAAGTTGTAATCGAGCCAGGACTTGAATCCGATGTCCCGACAATCGTGAGACCTATGACTACCACCCCTACAAGGAAGTCGATCCTGCCTGCTGACACTGATTCCCAAGGTCCAATATTGCAACGAGAACAGTATCGACTTTCTGGCCGTCACCGGCGGCCACGGCCTCGCGGCAAGTCTTGCCACGTTTAATGGCATCCAAATCGGTATGCGGCAGCTCAACAACATCACCATCCAACCCAATGGCAAGTCAGCCTGGTTCCAAGGCGGCCTTACCGTGCTCCCAGTCATCCAATATCTTTGGGACAAGGGCTTTGTCACCACCACTGGCGGGTGTGAGTGCGTTGGCATGCTAGGCGCCGGTCTTGGGGGTGGCCACGGTCGTTTTGAAGGTCTGTACGGGTTGATTAGCGACAATATACTGCAGCTCAACGTTGTCTTGGCCAATGGCTCCACCATCCGCGTCAACGCAACGAGCCACAGCGACCTTCTCTGGGGTATGAAAGGGGCCGGTCACAACTTCGGCATTGTGACAAGCTACGAGATGAACATCTTTCCCCGGGGCCCTGACACCTGGCATTACCACAACTACATCTGGCGTGGCCAACAGTTGGAGACTGTCTTCAATGCCCTCAACGTGTTTCATGGCAACGACACTACTCCCGTCAACATGGCCTTCAACGCCGGAAGTTTCCTCATGAACACCACCATAACTAGTGAGGAGCCCGTTCTCTTTTGGTCGTTTGCCTACCGCGGGACCGCCGAGGAGGCCGAGAAATATCTGGCTCCTTTCAATGCTATAGAGGCCGTCTATGAGGAAATGGGCGACGTGCCTTACCCGCAGATCCCCAAAGCGCAGGGCACCAGTATGACCGACCCCATTTGCCAGCATGGCAACGTGCACAGCACGTCCACGGTATTTCTGCGGGTCTGGAACGCGACGGCCGAGCGCCTCATCTTTGAGGGCTTCAAGCAACGCGTGGCCCAAGACCCAGTCCTTGCGGCCGGGACCAACATCATGCACGAAGGCTACTCGACGGAGGGGGTCGAGGCCGTGGCCTCCGCGAGCTCGGCCTACCCCTTCCGCTCCGACCGCCACCTGACGCTCTTCAACGCGATCGTGCCGCACAATGACACTGCCCGCGAGCAGGCGGCCTGGGCCTGGGCAGCTGAGGTCCGCGACCAATGGAACGCCGGCCAGCCGGGCCGGCTCATGGACGCTTACGTCAACTACGCCAACGGCTTCGAGACCCTCGAGCAGCGGTACGGCCACGAGAGCTGGCGCCTCGAGAGGCTGCGGAGCCTCAAGGCCCAGTACGACCCCGACAACCGCTTCCGCTACTACAACCCCATTGTCGTTGATTAAACGGAGAGCAGAGCCCGACCAGGTCCGCTTCTTATTTTTATTGAATGGCAGGGATTCTTGTGTGTCGGAATTGTGGTATAAGATTGTAACCATAGAATATTAGAGAACAAAGCTTAAATTTAGTTATCAATAAGCAGGCTAGTCTGCAACATCATGGGCTTGTCAAGGTTACAAGACCAAGTTCCAATGACTAGAGACAGACAATTCAGGAGGCTTACAAGACACTTCACGTTCAGGAGGTACAGAGGTCCAGTTCGGTTTAGTTCAATTTCTATTATAGCTAATGCAGCTGCCTCACAATATTCAGGTGTTAGGTAGTAAATACAGGCGGTACAAGAAGTTTATGTAATTTAAATTACTGTATTTTAAATTTCGCGTATTGTATTATGCTTCACCTGCGTTGTGATATGCGGGCCGAGACTCCACTAGCCCAGATTATCGAATCCCTTTTACACCCGTCAAGCACTCAGAAAATCATGTCTGGTTCCTGGCGGGTACCTACAGTGGGTCTGCTGCCCATTTCCTTTTTTCTATGCATGGGGCAGCTCAGCTCTGGACAGTTTGTGGGCCGGTCGTGGTGGGGAGAGCAAAGGATCCATTTCTGCAGAACACTCCACAAGTTGGGACCGGGTGCTCGGTGCTTGATGGCGCCCAAAGCATCATCCTCTTGCCCGCATTGGCGTTGGTCGTCGACATCTATTGGGTGGGACAAGGGCAGGTCATTCCGCAGGTGAACCGGAGACTGTTATAATCCAGGTCTTCAGGATTCCTCCGGTCGTGGATATGCAGGTAAGACGGAACAAGCTCTATAAGGCAACTAAGAATCTCGGCCAGACTGCCACATTTATGCTACGTAACCCTTTTAGGTGTATTGAACCTTGAACAGTCTAATAGGAAGTTCTTTAGTGTCCATGATTATGGCCTTCAGGATTCTTCCCGTCGTTTCTATGCATGTAAGAGGGATCAAGCTCTGTAAGGCAACTAAAATTCTCAGGCCAGACTGCCATGCTTATGCGATGTAATCCTTTTGTGAATGTATCCCTGATCGGTTGCTCTCGGCAATATCTTGGTCCGAAAGTGTTTATAGGTTCATCTGTAGCAGATAGGGAGGTTATAATAAAGGATAAAGCTGACGATAGGTCCCCCTCTAGGTTCAGTACTGCTACGATAGCCCTTCCTATTTTGATCCTGCGGCCACTGGCTCTCTCGGGAATTGCAACATATTACCCGTCATCACACTAATTCTCTCTACTATCAGCGACCTGGCAATCCTACGACAATTATACCCATCATAGCCCGGACGGTACCACTTCCTCTGCTGCCATGAATGAAGTCAAAGGCTACAGCAAGCCAAGTCATGGCCTCTTTCGCTTCATACCAGATGCATGGGTTCCATACGCCGAACTCATGCGCCTCGACCGTCAGGCAGGGTTTTGGGCCTTCTACTGGCACTACTTGATAGGACTTGGTTTTGCCATCAATATCCGCCCATTCTCCAGCGATCTTGATCTGGAAGATCTTTTGCTCCTTGCAGCGTACTTGGCACTATGGGCTACCGTCTTCCGCGGCATTACCTGCACATGGAACGACAACCTAGATCAGGACTTTGATCGCCAGGTCGCTCGCTGCCGAGTCAGGCCCATCCCACGGGGTGCCGTCACGACGCTCCAGGCGCATATCTTCACCGCCGTACAGATTGCCGTTGGAGCCTGCATCTTGTACCCCTTCGGCAGTTCGACGTTGATTCACGCCACCGTCGACGGCGTTCTCTTGTTCATCTACCCCTTCCTAAAGCGCTGCACAAACTACCCCCAAGTCGAGCTGGGATTTGGACTGTCTTATGCCATCTTTCTGGTGACTGCGATGGTCGGGAAGGATCCGTTGGCGCCTCTGTTGGACCCGTCGTTGGATCTCTCAGCCCGCGTGTCCAAGGTCGTCGAAGCACCACTGGCCCAGTCAGCGGCATATCTATACATCGCTGGGATTATCTGGACTGTCATCTTTGACACCATTTACGCTCATCAGGATTACCTCGATGACCTGAAAGCTGGTGTTAAAGGACTCGCCGTACGCCTTGGAAGGAAGGGAACGAAGCCAGCCTGCTACATAGCGGGTGCCGTTCAGGTCTACTTTCTAGTATTGACGGGCCAACTGGCAGGGTTTGGCGCAGCATACTACGCTATATCGTGTGGCGTAACTGCTCTACTGTTAGCAAGGATGATTTGGGTTGTTGATTTGGAAGATGGCGACAGTTGCGCTTGGGCGTTTGGTCCTGGAAGTGGTTATGTGGGCACCGCAATCTGCGCTGGGCTTTTCGCCGACTTCTTTTCGAAGAAGTACGGATACTAACTGACCGGCCACGTCGTAGGATATAATCTTAGAGACGGGGCGGACACTTGAAGCAAGCATCTTGACATCGGTTGGAAGGGGGCTAGGCGGGGTTTCCGATCAAGATCAAATAGTTTTAGATAGGGGTTGAATACAGAGAATGCGCGATATACCATGTTAGTCACTTGGTAATTTCAACACCATGAAAAAGCGCAAGACTTATTTGTTTATATAGACTTCCTAGCACCCAAATCGACCTGCCGGATTCCCGGTCTAGATATACGAGGTAGTAGAAAAACTCGTCACGTTCGCCCTGTCCCTAAGAGACCCCTTCACCACCACGACTTGCCCAGGACCTTATCAAGGGAAGGTTGTGAGACGTAGAGAGAATCGAATAGCATGACTGGATGCCCAATAGGTGGTGACAGCAGAAAACAAAATTAGACTCGACGCAATGTGGTAACACCAGTTATATACCAACTATAAACCAGCCTTTAGGTGATAGACACTTTAATGGATCTTAATGACTATCAGTAGATGATGAATATATAAATCTATAAAAATATGCAGATATTTGTTCTAGCTTGAGGAACTGCGGTTGTCCAAACAAATAATCACATATAACTTTAGGAAACAAGCACTAAAGGGATTTATTCACTTCTGCTTCCATTGTGCGGGTTGCTTGAGTCGCTTGCAAATAAACAACAGGGACAATGACTGCTATCATGTTTAAGTATTAAGAGGTCAGTCGAAGCTGGCGCTGACCCTGCTTCTTCTTCTTCGTCCTGCTACGTTCACGATAGCCCCGTATTCAAAGTATGTCGTATCATAACCGATACATATAGTAGATTTAGACGTATCAAGCCAGTCATTCCCATCCCCAAGGACCGTTTGAATCCATTCTGGATCAGACGCGAGGTTCTTGATGCTCTCTAAGTCATAGACCCAATACTCCAACACGAGATCGCAGTCGTTCACCTTCCAGCCAGGCCGCACCTGATGCACATCGGCCTGGAAGGCCGTGTGGACTTTAGGATCCGTCTTTTGCTAATCGTCACAAGGTGTCAGTGAGCTCTTCCTGTCGAGACAGTTGTCTCACAACCACTCACAACTGCATATTTCAGGATACTGTGCTTCTTCATGATAGGAACCGCCCGAGACAGAAACTGGTTAGTGAACCAATGCATAAAGGCTTCCTCAGATACACCATCTTTGCGGTGGAGTGCCGCTGTGTACTTGATAGCGCGGCCTATTTTCGTCTCCAGAGAACATGAGGTTATCTCGTGCAGGGCCATCCTGACTGAGGGTGATTCACAAAGCAAGTCTTCCTTCTCACCTCACTGTAGTAGTCTGTGGTCATTTAGCAGGGTAGGTAATGAAAGACAATAGTAGTAAGGCGGGGGAGGGGGCCGGAAACGCATATGTAGGTAAGGCCTTTTCCAAAGGGTGCAGATGCAGGCAGGTGGCATACACACACCCTCCTAGCTGGCTGAGATTCAGCTCTTGTTTCTTTGTGATCGTACTGCGGGAATTGGCATGGTACTGCGCCATGAACAGTTCAATTCTAAGTTCAATTCTAAGAACCCTGCTGTTGGATGGGCATGTTCATGTTCTTTGTTACATGGGTTATCAGCACAAGTGCTTACTCCGATCGTCCTAATTTAGAGGTGCGGGTCTTGCCTAGTCAAAACCATGTTCCATATCCTCCACACACATCTTTTTCCATGTATTGTAACAGCTTGGTAATTTTTATACGTGTAACATACGCTGCATGGCCTACGTCAAGAGAGATTAGAGGCAAGTCCTCAGGGGATACATGATACAAACACCAGGCTTAACAAACAAAGGACTTCCATCCAGCAGCATCTAGACCCATGGGTCCCCTTCCATCCTATTCTATTATTAACCAAGCAGTATTATTAATCACCTGGCACATGATATTGCTGTTGTTTGTCGACCTCCTTTCTATTGCACCATTGGAACTATAAAAACCTAAACAAGCTCCTTATCGCATCCTACAGACACACACAATTCAACCTGCTTTGGTATCATTACTCATTCACTCAACATGTCTGTTTACGTTATTACCGGAGTTTCCAGGGGAATTGGGGTGAGTCTGCCTTCTACCCTGTGACGAATTGTCTTTATCTAATCCAGTCTAGTTTGAGTTCCTCAAGCAGCTTTCGGAAGACCAGAATAACCTGGTTGTTGGTCTGGTCCGTGATAAGGCTGGCACTGAGAAGAAGGTAGAAGCAGAGCTGGGCAAACGTCCAAATCTCCATATCGTCCATGCAGACCTCACCAAGTATGCCAGCCTGAAGCAAGCCGCTGCTGATACAGCTGAGATTGTTGGTGAGCGTGGGATTGACTACCTAGTGGCCAACGGAGCATTGGTGTCTGAGTTGGATGCCTATGTACCAATTGGTGCATTGTAGGTCTACTTCCCTCTGGTGACTGTCAAGGCTGGTCTGTGGTTAACACTATGTGTTTAACAGGAGCACTAAGCCTGAGGAGCTGGATGCTGTTTCATCACAGCTATGGCAGACTAATGTTGTTGGTAACATCCATCTCTTCCATCTCTTCCTCCCTCTTGTCATGAAGGGCAAGATCAAGAAGGTCATTACCATTTCCACTGGTGTGGCCGACCTTGACTTGACCAATGATCTAGAGATTGATGTTGGTGCTTTATATGCTGCCTCTAAGGCTGCTATGAACATCATTGTGGCCAAGTTCAATGTACAATATAAGAAAGATGGTGTGCTCTTCATGGGTATCAGCCCTGGTTTGGTGGAGGTGGGCCGCTACGCGGATGGTATGTATCCCCTTCCTGCCTTCTAAGTTGCAACATCTGGACATTATATTAATGCATACCCACAGCCACCCCAGAGGAGATGCAGGGCTTGATGGGATTCATGGGCAAGCTCCAGACCTATGCACCTCACTTCAAGGGCCCAATCACCCCGGAAGAATCCGTCCGCCATGTCAGGGCTGTCTGGGAAAAGGCCAGCATTGAGGGTGGGTCTGGTGGTGCGTTCGTCTCGCATTTTGGAAACAAGCAGTGGGTCTAAACTCGGGGTTCCGCTCCATCAATCAGATTCACATATTGATGTTTTTATAATACCTGCATCTATGTACACTTCACAATATAAGTGTCAATACAATGGATTCCAGATGTCCATTGATGAGTGTGAGTTGAGATGTGCATGGCAGGGCCACCTTAGTACCATGCAAAGTTTTCATACACCACAAGTCACTTCCCACAAGAGCCCGTCCTGGGCATGGAACCACAGATAGAATATTCCGAACATGGAAAAACACATAGCTGGAAAGTACTGTGAAACGCAATGATTTACCAGTACAAAAGCAATTGTATTAAGCGACTGACCGTAAGACCAAATCCCAGAAGCACTCTTAGTCAGACGGCAGCATCAACAGTCTGTAGCTGCCACTATCATGATGAAGCTGGGCCTGGTTATCAAGCAGCGACAGGAGGAATTACTGGTCAGTGCATACATCAAGAGCTTCGACTGAAGTTAACTCTAGCACCTCTTGTGGAGTGGTTTGTCTTATTGATAACCGTCGGCAAAGTCAAGTAGTCGTGGCCTGGGCTGGCCACCATCCCACATGAGTCATGATCACGACCCATACCTCGATGGCCCCATGTGTGTTCCCCGTCCCGCAGATCAGTTCCTTCCGGAACGGTGCGGTGCCGAAGAACCTAGATACAGAGACACGAGGTTCCGCTAATGACGTATACAATATTACGTGCGGGGTAACCAGAACCCTCACCTGCAACAGACAAGAGAGAGAGTAAAAAAACGAGGCTAGTGGTGGAAGCTACTAGAAACATGATCATATTTAAACTTGCCACTTTCAAGAGATCGACGTTGCACTGCATAATACGAGCCCATGCATGCATCGTGATTCGGGTAGGGGCAGTAGGGCAACCAGACGGTCCAGACCCGTCCAAGTCCGTCCCATTGGCCGCGCGGGCCACATTGCTCCACATCTTACACAAGGTCTTCCGTGTTCCTCTTGATGCTTTCCTCCAAGCTGGTCCATCCTTCCCTGCCCATTTCGCGCAATAAGGCCTCGGCTCGCTTCCGAGGCACAATCTCGCTCAAATCCTCCTCAGCCTGGAAGTTGGAAGGAAAGCTACGGCTCGGATAGAGTTTACGGAGGATGGCCAGAACAGTATCCCCGTTCACGGGCTTGGCGAAGGCGAAGAGACGCTCGGACTGAACACCAGGGTGAATGGCGGCAGCCACGTGCAGTAAGGCGTCATCCTGCACATCGACAAAGTACTCTGGGATTCCGGTTAGTGCCTTTATTCTCCCATGTACATGAGCGGGACCTACGCGGTGTAATGCCCCCTAGGTAGTTGGTGTTTCCCTTGAAGAGCTCAGCAACGATGGCTGAGGTGGAGGGGTGGCCTTGGTTGGTGACATCAAGGCTCGCGCCGAAGTTCATGTTGGGTAGAACGGTGTTCAGGGTGAAACCAGGCTTCTTCTCGTCCATGAATTTCCATGCTTCTTTTTCTGCCAAGGTCTTACTGGCAGCGTAAACAGGCAACGCGCGTTCCGGCTCGTACGGCGGGTCGCGATACGCCAACTCCACAGCCTCGTCATTCCATGTATCGGTGGTAACCTTCACGGCACTGTTAGGCTTTGGGATCAAGGCGGCAGTGGAAGAAGACGTGAGGACGAAGCGCTTCACGCTTGGTTCCTGGGCGGCTGCTTCCAGTGCATTGACCGTTCCCGATATAGTCCCTGGGATCACGTTATGAGGATTCGGGTCCAGGGAGAAGATAGTTGCTGTATGGACGACAACCGAGACACCCTTGACAGCTTCGACAAAGGCGCCCTGTGTCACCATATCCGGCACAGCCACCAACTCGAAATTGCCTGGACCATACTTTTTGTTGAATAGGGTGCTGATCCAGGCATTCTTCTCGAGATTACGTGTGGTGCCGCGTACCTTGTAGCCGAACTTGAGAAACTGGTCTGCGATGTGAGATCCAATAAAGCCATTGACGCCCGTAATGAGCACCATCGAGCCTTTGGGAACGACAGGTTGTTCGATTGGGAGAGACATCGTCATAACCGGCTGTAGGGTAGAAAGTGTGCCAAGTGCAGATGAAGGAGATGCAAGTGTCAGAAGTAGGAGGTAGATTAGTTAAATATAGATATAAGAGGTAGGTGGGTACAAAGGTACTTGGGTATATAAGGTTCTACCTCCAGTAAAGACAGGAAATCCACTAGTAACCCCATCACATCTGTCCTGTATATAAACAGAATTATACCTAAAATGCCCTAAGGTCACATTTCATCTACTAAGCTCATGTGATAGCTGGTGAATATAGTCTAATGCTGAAGCACAGTTCAAATGTACATATTATTCTTCACGTAAGAAATACCTGAAGCAGATATATTCCAGAACTTTGGGAAGCGATGTGGCTCTAGATGGTACGACCCATTCCAGGATGCTTCAATTCGACATGCTATTTACGAAGCGGATGCTCATGACAACTGACTGAACGCTTCACGAATCTCTGGTGTACTCCGGATACGACTTCTCATACCTGATGTTCATAGAGCATTAGCGAGTCCGGGCATACACGTAAAAAAGTTAGATACCAGACAATCATGGGTTGGACCAGCTGCTTACCCTAACACTTTCTCTGCGAACCAGGCAAGCCCGCGGTGTACTGGAATGAGCAACCAGACCGGCATCCAATTCAGGAAAGGCGGGCACAGGAGGGAGGTTGCGTTTTCTGTGAAAAGAATGATTTGGAGAACGGACGGCTTCAGGCCGGCCTTGAGGCAATCGTCGAGGTAGCCTGAAAGGTTGCGCAGGAAGTTCACGTCAAGAATATAGTCCTTATCCTTACAGGGATCCAACCAGACGGAGAAGACGAGAGTCTCCGTAGACGATTTATGAAACCAGAACCGATGGCTGCAAGTCCAGGCAGCTTCTGTCAGTCAAAATGGCTCTCGAAGCAAATCTGTGGGACATCTTGCCTGCTGGGTTACAACTTACCGCGTGCCGGCAGGTATGTGGAAGACTCCATCATCCTTGGTGACGGTGTATTCCACTCCGTTCTTGACTATACCCAATACACCCTGCTCGACCTTGAAGTATTCGTCCTGTAAACGATGTATATGTCTGCCACACCAGCTAATCAGATTCGTTCCGTGATTATCATGATCTGATCTTTTTTCACTTACAGTGGGGGTCCAGATAGCCCGGCACGAACGAGTGCATTTTCTATGTAATGCGTCTCTCTGACAACCCAAAGGCCGTCCGGCTTTGAGAGAGGCTCGTACAGCGCCGCATTACCAAGATGATTGAAAGACGGTTGGGAATTGTTTCTGGTGCGTTTCTGCGGTCGCGGCGAGAGCCACTGTTGCCACGCTGACACCATTTCGAAAATGATCAAAAAGAGGTGACAAATGGAACGGATGATAAGACTACAAGCTAGCTATATGATGGAAATAATTCTTAATGTTTGGTTACCTCCATAATGAGATCTGTGTTATATGCCTCTTTTTTATACTTCATCCCATGGTTCTTTACGTGCCTGTATCTAGTAAGTCCGCCCCGGAGACCCTCCGGCCAGCTGGAAGCTTCTTCAGTGAAGTACACTATTCCCCTTTGACTGCTCATTAGGCACATTAGACTGTGGTAACATTAGTCACCAATTAATAAGCGTGCATCCAGTTTGAAAGATCCGGGCGCCACTAGCATATACCACCAGCTGGCGCATGCATTAACCTATTGCTAGTGCACAGATAGGCCCCTACGTAGAGCATACTCTCCATCATAAGCCAATTCAGCTGCCAAGAAGATACTTGTCTTACAACGCTTTTTCGATCTCACCTGCATAATATGATTGCAGGGGCATAATTACCCATTCACACAGAGCTGTTGGAACAGGCACCTGCATGTCTGTGACCCCTAATAACTGCCGCTGGTACCTGCATTGGACGACCTCAATACCGCCAGAACGCCACCTCTGTACGCCACGACGGGATCATGAGAGGTTCTGAGGAAGTCAGCGAAGGCTGGTTAGAAACGGCGATGACGAAGGCTTGGAATGCTCCGTTGGTCTGTATACAAGGAAGTACGCAGACCGAGTGATTCGAGGCTCGGCATGGCTTCAAAACCTGGCTAATAGAAGCGTAACTGTGACTCGTCTACCGACTCATCATGTCTTCCTGTGCCTCTGTGTCCTGTGTGTGGTTCTAGACCGGTCGGAGACGCTGTTACACCCATCTATCCATCGAATCCTTTCCTGAGCCAGTCGTACAGGGAACAGTTGCCTAGGTGTGTTTTTTCAATCTTACCTGCATAATCATACATAAGCGCGCACCCCCCGTGACCCCATCTACCCGTCCACCCCCACTCGTCAAGATATTAGCTAGGCTAGAGTTGTCCTCCAAACCTGCGCGTATTGGTTGCCGTCAATATTAGTCTACTGCTTGAACCCCCTAGCCGGGGGTTAGATAAGTACTCTGGTACGCCCGTACTCTATGCACCGAATCGATTCGAAAATGGTAGAATATGTTGGCAATGTTCCCACTTTCCAACACCAGCGGGAATTGAGCATTGACTGGTCCTTAATATCTATCCTCGCTTAGTTTCATAACGGCTTGTTCCGTGCAACGTTGAAATTCTCAGCAATATACTATAGAAAAGTGTCAAAAAAGTAGGGTAAATTTCTTTCAGCATCTGCATAGTTTAGGTGCTCGGGAGGGCGGTAATCCATATAATATTACTTAGGAGAACTGGGTACAGAAGACATCCTCCTCGTGGAGCTAGAACACCTGGGTCATACCAGTTAATTTCCATTGCAAAGGGCAATACCCCTATTCATTACTACTGTATTACAATCCTGAGTCATGACTGTATTTAGTTATCTTTTGACACGGTTAGGCGGGACACTATATTAGCTTCTGACCTATTAGGTACACTGTGGCGTATCAATGATTCAAATGGTCGAATCCTATTTGTCGGGTTCAGCTGCTACCGTCTTACCTTCTTAGCGTATTGGCGATTTCCTACTACAAAGGGGACATAAGCGAGACTCGCGTGCGTGATCCTAGTCTGCAGAGTAATCTGGGCTCAATATGATAATAGTGATAACGAATCTTCTGGAAGTGACGGTCGTGTATTCTGTGCAACTAACATGTGTATTAGGGATACTCAATCAAATTAAACAGTCAACCGACACCTATACCATTAAGTCCTTATCTTCTCCGCAGTTTTGACAACGCGAGGCTGTGGTGTCAATGACCTCAGCGGCTTAAACTGAATCGAAAAGACCCGACCCACTGTTCTACGGAACCAAGATACATCTTCTCCAGCTAATAATAATAACAAACGCTGTTTACAGTGCGGCTCTCGACTGTCGCCTATTGACTTTGGTACTCTTGGATGGCTACCTAACCATTCGCCCTGGGGAAGTAGGTGCTCTGCACACGGAAAGTGAGAGCTATTTGCACCGTTCAAGCAATCCATGACCGTTAAGTATAGTAAAAGCTCTATTTGCTGAAAGGTATTCTGTACTCTCCTGGCAATTAAATCTCTCCTTTCAGTGCCCATGGTGATTTGGAGAATCTTGGAATCTTCTTTTGAAATCCATTGCTGGTCATATTTTCGGACTACTGTAGTCTACCCGTCGAATCCTTTCCTAATGTAGTAGGTGGAGCCATACAGAGCAGCCTAGATAACAGCGAGATCGGGAAAGGCGTCGTCCTGTCAAACATGTTGGGGGCCAAAAGCGTGTCTAACAGAACGAATGGCTTGCCTGCAGAATGTATGTGGACGGGATAGCCTCGATCCCTTTCATAGTCCTACTGGCATGCTTTAAAAGTAAGCAGACGCTCATATAATGCAATGTGATGCCAAATTCCTACAAAGAGAAGGTCTATTGATATAATATTGCTGCTATGGGCTTAAGGATTCACCGGTTTCTATCTACCTTACAGTACTGCTAATACTTCAGCTATCCATATATTACTAGTCTATATGACCATGCAGGAAAGGCAGATGACAATGGCGCCTACCTGTTGTGCCACATGTCAGGGTAGGTAGAGGATCTAGAAGAAATGCAAGGACACCCCTAATCCAGCCAGGTGGTACCATCAGCTGCGGTCGCGCCAGACCCAAAAAAGCATCTTCAAGTTGCTCTCGATCCCACCGGCAATGCAAGAGGTACGGTCTCAGGCTCTCCTGGCCGCGTCCCAACAATCGTCGGCGTGCTGTCGTCTGCAAGTCGGCTCCGCTGTCCCCGTCACCTCCCACCGCTGGCCAGATATCCGATGCACGCTTTGTCCACACGTCGAATTGGGATATTGAGCTGCATCGCAGCTTGACAAACTCTGTTCCGGTGCGCAATCTCTCTTTGCTCAGTGTCCCCATTTTCTGGAACCCATCTAAGCTGGAGGCTCTTGACCGAGACCTGTTAGAGTACTGTATGTGGTACAAATCTAGCATGGCTACCTACCGGCTAAATTAGGGCAGGGAGGGCTAACAGCTTCATGTACACCGCCTGTAGTTTGCTGGGTAGCGTCCGCGTCTCTTGCTACCTTTGGCCACGATGCCACCGCCCTCGGGAACATCCTGGTTCGAACTGCCCTGCAAGGATCTGCGGCGGTGCTGCAGGCGCTGCTGGCCTTTTCTTCGCTTCATCGCTACGGCCTACAGTCCCAAGCCCTGGAGCTGAAAATCGGTGCGCTCGGAAGCTTGGCAAAAGGTTCAGCAGTGCCAAGTCTGTGCGCTCAAACGACCATGCAGCATATTGCTGCAGGGATGCTTCTTTGTTCGTTTGAGGTCCACCAGTCGTCTTACACTTCAGACCAATGGATATTTTATCTCGGCGGTGTCAAGACGGTCCTCAACGCGTCCTCTATCAAAACACTACGTCAGCTTGGCTCAGATATGGCCGTCTTGCTGGACTGGGTGCACTACCACGATGTTCTCGCACGTTTTTCCCTGCTACACTGGAAAAGAGAAGGGGTCCCAGAGCTCGCGTCGACTCCAACAGACCTCCTCTGTTCCCAGGTTCGTACACGACAAAGGCTACATGACTGCATGGAGTGTTAGTCTGACATTTAAACGTTTCAGGTATCCAATCTGCCGCCGCCTATTTTCTCCATGCTGAATCTGCTGTCCCAAGTATGCGATGCAGTATCTAGCGGCGCAATTCCACCAGAAACCAGCGACAACATGGATGATTACAAATGCTTCCTAGAAGTCCTGGATTGGAGAGTCAGGCGCCTATCGATACCAAAAGTCCCGGATGATAACGATCCTGTTTCGGATGATACGACGTTGGTAATGCAACTATACCAGCTCGCTATACTGTTGTTTCTCAACCGAAGTTTCGAGGGCGTGATCCTCCAACCCATCAGAACACAACAACACATCGACAGAGCCTTCGCTATTCTCCTCCAGCTGAGCTCCTGTAAACAGCAGTTTCCCATTTTCGTCGTTGGCTGTGAAGCGCGAACGGACGAGCAGCGGGCCGTCGTCCTCGATGTCATCTCCAGGACGGAGAAGATGAGCTCGTCGCGATCTTTGGACTATTGTAAGAGAATATTGCAGGCTGTCTGGGCCCAGGATGACCTTGCTAATGGGAATAACATTAGCTATCGCGATAAGTTGACTTCAGTAATGAGTCATTGTCTGATAGTCCCTAGTTTTGTATAACTCGTCACGTTGTATAATATATAGACCTTACTACGACAGCACCTCCCGTGGATAGATATAGGAGAGATATTTACACCACAGTGGGTTCTAAATTATACTAATTTACGTGTACTCATTTGGTGGGTGGCGGGGCGAGGGGGGCTTCTAATTCCGGAGAGTCGGCAGAAGCCTGAACGCAGGATAAGCGGCATGGACTTGCTTGAAACCAACGATATTCCGAGCGAATCGTCTCTCAGATGGCTGGACCTGCATCCTAGGCCAAATATTTAAACTCCCGGCACCCCATAGCCTTCCCAGGATCCCTAAGGAACAATAGAAACCATCACCTTCGTTTCCAACATGGCTGATACATGTAATTCACACCCCGTGTTCTCTGTTCTCATTGTGGGCTGCGGTCTTAGTGGACTGGCTTCTGCACTGGCCCTTGCTCAAGCTGGTCACCGTGTGACAGTTTTTGAGCGTAGTGTTAAACTACAAGAAGTAACTTCATGCTCTCTGCCAGTACCGTTTCAAGCTTCTCTAACGCATCCTAACAGATCGGTGCCGGAATACAGTTAGCCCCCAATGCGACGCGTCTGCTTCAACGCTGGGGCGTCTTGGAGGAGGTCCTTAAGTATGCTGACCGACCAGAGGCCGGGACCTTTCGCTCCTATCGAGGAGATGTGCTCTCGCAGTCACCGCCGGTATCTCATCCCAACCTGGTGAGCGAGGCCCCTTATCTCGTGATCCATCGTGCCGACCTCCTGAGAGCCTTGCTGTCGGGAATAGGGAACCTTGGGATAGAGATCAAACTGGGCAGCGAGGTCAAAGAGATCGATTTCAACAAGCCCTCCCTACGCCTCGCCACTGGCGAGGTCTATGAAGCAGACCTGATCCTCGGTGCGGACGGGGAGAGGTCCCGTTGTAGAGGTAGGCTGTTGGGGCGTGAGGACCCTCCCTACAGTCCTGGCGATGTCGTATACCGGATCTCTGTCCCTACCAGAGACATAACGGAAGGCCATCTAGCTTGGGACCTAAAAAGACGATCTAGCGTCAACTTTTGGATGGGATCAGGCGGGCACGTGGTCACATACCCCATCCAGCACGATATGCTCAACGTAGTTTTGATATACGCTGAGGGTGCAAGCGGCAAAGTTATGTACGGACCACAACGAGCAGACATAGAAGATTTCAGGAGCAAGATCTCGGACTGGGACCCGGTGCTTCATGAGCTGATCAATGTGGAAGGGTCTGTTTGCACCAAGTGGACTTTGTTCCAGATCCATGAACCGGTCCAATGGCGCCATGAGAGCGGACGATTCGTATTGATTGGGGATGCTGCTCACGCCATATTGCCATGCCTGTGAGTGTTGAATCCTATAGTCTTTGTTCGAAACTAGCTAACCCTTCTTCAGAGCACAGGGTGCCGCACAGGCCTTTGAGGATGCAGGCGTCCTGGGAGGGATATTCAGCCAGTCGGTGGGGCGTGACCAAATCTCCGATGCTCTTCGGGTGTTTGAGCAGGTTCGCAAGCCACGAGCTTCGGAGGTCCGACGTCGCACATTGAATCAGAAAGCCATGTTTGCCCTTGCCAATGGTCCGGAGCAAGAGGAGCGCGATGCAAAACTTCGTGCGGGTGCGGACTATGGACTGTTTGAGTGGCTTTGGGGGTATGATGCCGCCATAAGTGGTAGAGAGGCGTGGGAACGGTTTTTAACCAAGGGCCATGAAAATGGAATTGAACCCCGCAATGGTATTTAAGGGACATGAAAATCTTTCCTCCCGTTCTGTTTTTGATATAGTTGCAAATGTTATAATCCAACAGTGCATTTAAAACATGGAGCATGTCCCAGCGTAAGAAAAATTGGTAGCAGGTGCCCACTTCTCACATAACAGACCGGCGCATAGTGGCTTTGGTACTCTACAGGAGGTGATGGGATGGCATTTGGGGAAATGATGAATCTATCACAGAGCTACCTATGCACGGTGGCAGAAGGTTGAACTTCAAGGGACTCTGAAAGGAGGCGATCATACTTGTGTGGTGAAGGCGTGTGGAAACCCCCGATTTTATGAGTCCCAGAGGCACTGGGTATACTTTCTTTTTGAATCCATTGTGGCTTTGAAAGTTCTATTCATCGCGTCATCTGTTTCTACTAGGTGGTGAACCCTGGTATCGCATCGAAGTTTCACCCAGAACGCCATATGTATATGTAACCCTCATGCATTAGCTTCTTCAACTGCAGCACGCGAGGCTGTTATTAGCAAGATAGTATATGCATTTATATAATAACTGGCGTCTTCGGTACAAGGATATCACTTATAGAGATTTACACTTTTATGTCGAGGTGTTTGGCTTCGTCACCCACTAAGTGGCCACTCCGCTGTCACTTCGGTCTTGATCCAGAGGTCTGGTAAATCACAATAAATATCTCTCGAGCCCCGTCTAAATACAAATAGTGTGACTCCCTCATTCCTCACATATCAATACCTCAGTATTATGATCATAGGGGTGTTGTGTTTCTGGTGTAAACCCGTCGAATTACGGCAGAAGCTTTTATATGTGTTTTCCATTTGTAGTTCGTTGCGCTTCCACTTCTTGGATAATGTCCAGAACAACATCGTACAAGCGTCCCGACCTGATGGACTCGTAGACTCGTGTGTTGTAAAGCCCCATGCTTGGAGTGACCCCGTCCGGCGTCGCGGCCTCGGTGGAAGCCAGGTGCGCCTCGCCCAGGAACGGGATGCCGAGATCCCTCCGAATGAAGCGGTACATGCGCCGCGAGGCCTGGCCGATGTAGGGCGTCGCGTCAGGTGGGGCGTCGTCGTTCCGGCCCTCGATCTCAATGGTGCGCAGGTCGAGGGCTTGACACACCGCCAGAAGGTGCGCCGAGGCGATCTGGGACAGCACGTCAACGGCCTCGAGCGTGTACCGGGCCGACACGAGCGCCAGGGAGTTGAGGGCCTGGTTGCCCATCTCGGCCGTCTGGACGTGCGACCCGACGGGGTTGGACAGGAAGCCCAGCTCCGAAGTCAGGGCGGCAATGACGACATCAAGCCCCTTGAACAGGAACGAGTCGTTGGCGTCGTCTGAGCACAGATTGGGAGGCAGGCCCCAGCTGGTAGCCGGGTTGATCATCTCGGTGCACTGGGTGAAGAGCATGCGGCCGATACTCTGGAGGCCCTGGCGCAGCTTCTCGGCCGCCGACGTGACGACGCGCGCCTGAAAATTGCCGCCGTGGAGAACGCGGCCCGTCTCCGTGTCGACCAGCGGGTTGTCCGTCACCGAGTTGAGCTCGACCGTCAGCTGGTCGTACGCCAGGCCAAAGTCCTCCAGCACGGGGCCTATCCACTGGCTGGCCGTGCGCAGCGAGTAGCGATCTTGTCGCAGCGTTGCCACGTTCCGGCTGTCGTGCCGGTTGAGCAGCCTTGACCCGGTCAGGAACGCCTTGATATTCCGCGCGCTGTCCACCTGCCCGGGGTGCGGCCGGACCCGCGCAATGAAGGGCTCGAAGCTCTCGTCACTGCCCCGTAGCGCCTCCACGCTCATGGCCGTCAGCACCTGGGACAGCGCCGCGAGGTGGAGAGAGTCGTGCGCCGCAAGAGCCGCCACCCCGGCTGACACAGCCGTGCCGTTGACGATGGCGAGGCCCTCCTTGGCGTGCAGGCTGATGGGCGCTATGCCAGCTTCCGACAGGGCGACGTCGGCCCTCGTCACTCTTCTAGCTCCCTCGACGTCTCGTGGGCCGCTAAAGGCCGTAGCGGATGTCTTGCCTTGCATCAGGGCGCCGATCCACGCGAGCGCGCTGAGGTCCCCGGAGGCCGAGATGCTCCCACGGACTGGGATACGCGGCACGACGTCCTTGTTCAGGAGGTTCATCAGAGATTCCGCGATCTCGATCCGGATGCCAGACGCACCGCGGGCTAGGGTGTTCAGGCGGATCAGCATGGACGCCCTCGCCCACGACTCCGGCATGCAGGTAGCGGCAAGCGGGTCGTTAAGCGGAAGGGAACTTCGCACCGACACGCGTTGTTGACTTTGTTGTCCCTTCAGTTTGCCATTCAGGGGGTGGGCCTCGCCGTTGTGTTGGCTTGAATGGCCATTGCTTTGGCTTGAGTGGCCATTGCGTTGACTTGAGTGGCCGTTACTTTGGCTTGAATGACCGTTGCGTTGGCTTGGATACCCATTGCTTTGGCTTGAATGCCCATTGCTTTGGCCTGAATGCCCATTGCTATTCAGAGCCAGCTCCTGCTTGCCGTCTGCGACGATTCCGCACGTCAAATGACTAATCAGGCTCTGCTGGACCCTCTCAACGTCGTTGGATCTTGCGTCGGCGCTGCCGCCGAACCCCGTGTTGACGCCGTAGATGATTTCGCCCTGGGTGATCTTCTGCGGAATGATTTTGCTGCACTCTTCGATGGCGTCGATGGACGCCGGGGTGAGCTCCACGTGTGCTAGGTGTCTCGAGACTGCCACTACGTCGGCGATGGACAGATCCCTTCCGCTAACGGCCAGCGTCACCTTGGCCGACGAAGGATGGCACCGCTGTGATAGGACTAAATCTGTGAACGTGCGTGCTGGAGTAGCCATGTTGATCCAGAAGGAGGCGCGCAGTCAGAAATAAAAGAATAAAGAGGTCTGGATGAAAGCACATTCCCACTTGAAGAGAGAGATTCGTTGTTCTTATAGAAAAATCTCAGCCGGCCAGAAGTGCCTGCCATCCTTATCAACGTCAGTGAGCGTGCCCAGGCAACTGAGGCAGCCAGGGTAGTAGGATTCCTACTACATCGCACGCTGCAGCCAGGACGCACATGAGTCTCTCGAGGCGTACCCATTGGACGTCTACTCAACACGTTATCCCAATCCAGGGGTTTTCTGTAATCTTCATCCATTAGTCACTTGTATGAAACACGATAAGTGTGCGATGGTCGTGTATCCAAGCGCTAGACAGATGGTTTACACGAATAGATCACAAAGTACTTGATGGGTAATGTAGACACATGCCACATTCTGCAGGCGAGATAACCTTATGCAGGTGAGATGAAACATGCATCGCAGGGTAACTATGAATCCCAGTTTTCGTCCTTAACGCGCGAGCTCATGGAGTATAGAGGTTCAACTGTGCTGGATAATATTACCGCTTACCGATTTTGGATAGGATCTGATTAGACTCAAGCGCTGCCACCCCTGGTAGAATGTTCGATTACATTCGTTTGATATACAGAACCGATTCGAATGCCTTCCTATCGAAGATAGACAGGGGAGTAGATAGTCGTCATTTAGAAGAATCAACCTTTCATTGGATCTCAGTCTGCCATACAAGTTACTAAGGTGGTGATTCGATAACTTTACTAGTGTATCTTATTTCACAAAGTGGATACCAGGAAGCCCCACTATTCAGGCTATGGTCCTAAGAACACGTGATTGGCTACAGCAAGCCATTGGAACAAAACGAAAAAACATGAAATCATTTTTTTGTAAACATGTTTTTGCATTTTGCTATGTTTAGATTTTAATTTCTGTTCCTTTCGGCATACGTGATGATGATATGCCTGTTACTCAGGCCTAACATACTTATAGGAAATTAATATTGTTTAATGAAATATATGGTGATTATCACTAAACTAATCTATATCCATATTTCAGGAGTTCGATGAGCGGTTAAAGAATTATTTTAAACAACCATGGTGTTACAAAGGTTAGCACTATATATATATGTATGTCTAAACTACTTTCATACCAACCCCTAGCCGAGACTATTATTCCCTCATTTCTCCATAAGCACTAAATATCAAATCATGATATGGTAGGGATATCAAATGGCATATAGTGTCAATATTAAATAGTAGGGATATTGAATGCTTGGTACGGTACAGATAATGACATTCATATGCAGGAAATGTAACTCTACTGAGGCGGAATCGAGCGTGGACATACTCAGAAATCTATTTACCTTTTTTTTTTTGGTTTCGTTCGAATGGTTTGCGGCTTCATGGGGAAGACGGTCTTAGCGGTCTCGACCGTCCATGCAGCCGATGAGTGGATCAGATAGTACTGGTACCTCCGATAACCCATGTACAGAGGAATATGCATGTGGTATGCCCAGGGAGATTTGAGGTAACTATCAGTATATAGCAATATCCGTAAGAAGCCGCTGGGAAGGATGGACTTAGGAAGCAAGCCATCTACGTCAAGGCTGCCGGGAGCTGAGATTCTTAGTTGCCCTGCGGGGCTTGTTCGGCCTCACCTGCATAATGTAAATCGGCGATACGCTTACGGAAGTTCCTGCTCGAACGTACTCTCCCACACTGAACAGGGTAGTAGTATTCGCTTTGCCGAGGGCGGACGCTCTCCCACTCGAGCGATATCATGGGAGAATGACACCTAGGATTTCTTTCTTCTCAATACCCCGAAAAGCAGCAAAACTACCAACTCCATCTTGTCTCTTAACCGTTGACTGCCATAATGTACCCAATCGAAAGTTCGTACTACCCCTTTTTGGGTCTCTTTCTCTTTCTATGCAGCAGCTGCGTAGCGCTCGTCCAGTTCTTCAAACCTACCGACTTGAAATGGTCGCCTGGCACAAAAAGATGGGCAATGCCACCGGGGCCACCGGGCGTACCGGTCTTGGGAAACTTGCACCAGATGATGGAAGCCCGCCGTCGCGGAGCCCTTTCATTCAATAAGTGGGTGAGTCGCAAACTTGTCCAAACAGGAGAATGCGCGTTGATTTAACCATCCGGCAGCTGGCCTCCTTGATACCGTACGGTGAAATGGTGACGCTGCACATGGGATCCAAGACGTGGGTTGTGCTCAACTCGGACCGCGTCGTCTCGGAAATCATCGCCAAGCGAGGGAAGATTACCAACGAGAGACCCTATATGCCCGTCGCGAGTGGTCTTGTGAGCAACGGAAAGCGTACAGTGATACGACAAGAAGAAGAATGGCGAGAGGGACGCCGTGTGATGCATCAGTTGCTCAGCGGCTCGCATCTCAAGGTCTACGCCGGCATGCAGGAGCTCGAGAGCGTGGACATGCTGCGCCGATATCTAAGGGAGCCCAACCTGTGGTATGCTCACAACTATCGCTATGCCACATCCGTACTTTACAGGATCGTTATGGGCTACCCCCTGAATAAGACCAAAGCGGAGCTCGACGATTATCAGAGGGTAACAATCGAGTTTGTCATGAGCATCAACCGGAGCTACGTGGATTTCTTCCCCTTGCTGAGCAGGCTCCCTCATTTCCTACAGCCTTGGCGGCGTTTCTGGGCTGAGATGGGCTCGTTCCACCGCCGTGTCTTCGAGGAATGGTGGAAGCCCATCAAAAACGCCGTGAGCAAAGGCTCGGCGCCGCCCTCATTCGTCCGCGACGTTCTTCTTCATCCAGATATGAGGTACTCTGGGGACGATGAAGAGGCCATGTACTTGGCTACGTCTGTTATGGCAGCCGGCGGTGACAACACACGCATGACGATTAACGTGTTTATAATGGCCATGGCCACGCGTCCCGAAGCCCAGGCGCGGGCACGCGAGGAAATCGATCGAGTGTGCACGGATGGTGAATCGCTCAGGCTTCCCCGGATGTCTGATCTGCCGGCAATGCCCTACGTAGCCGCTATGATCAAAGAGGTTCTACGCTGGCGACCGACTGTCCCCATTGTTCCACCCCACCAACTCACCGAGGACCTGGAGTTTGATGGGTACTTCATTCCTGCCGGCACAAGCTTCCTGATCAACTCGATCGGGTTGTCAAGCGAGTTTGACAACGCCCATGAATTCCGGCCCGAGAGATGGACTGACGGTTCAGGAGTCGACAAGATACCCAACTTCTGGGGATTTGGGGGCGGCCGTCGAATCTGCGTCGGCTGGAGAGTTGCGGAGCAAGCTCTGTTCATTGCGTTTGCGCGTTTGATTTATTGTTTCGAATTGAGTCCGGTTCGTTCACGTTTGCCTTCTATTCCTCATCTTGGAGAAGAGTGAGTGACGAGTCACTAACATATAAGACGTCTAGAACGGGCCTATCGACGACGAGAGACTCAACCACCAATCCCTCGACGAGCCATTCCCTGTGAAGGCCACCGTTCGCAGCGCCAGACACGCATCGCTTATCGAGGAGGAAGCTTCCAAGTACGAAGCTTCATTCTCTACATTCGGGGACAACTGAACCCTTTTCGGCGGGACTCAGCGATGCACATCGGAGGGCCTGGCAAACAGAAAACCTGGAGGACGAAAGCTTGGATTGGCCTTCGGGATCCTTAAGAGGCCCCTTGATCACATACGTCCTCATCGCACATGTCACGGTGTCTATTGTGTATGCTTTCTGGGAAACATACTGTACAGTTTCAGGTGCTACAAAGATGTTTATCTGAAAATACATAACCGTGGTGAAGACCATATTTACCGTTCCCATTCTGCTTGTTGTTACTACTAAGATGATGATGTCGTGATTTACTGCCACTTGTAACAACCACTGCACATGCAGTAGAGAAAGCATAGACTTGACAGCTGGGAAATTCAACCTTTACAGTTCGACCATTCTCAGAGCCACAATACATCGATCCCAACAGCCTGAGGCAAGATGCACATAGGGCATTGAACTTGCCACATATCGCCTGCCGGGTTTGACCACTACGAAGAGAGAGAAATGCGACTTAGTTTTCGTCAACAGCGCGCTCTCATTAAGCCCAGTCCTTCATTGAGAAATTGGCTGAATTTGGTCAACTATCTAGAGCCATACTTATATTAAAAGGGCTTCGGCAGGGATCCCCTTTTCTCTCAAATCCAAACTCCGTCCTCACCCCACGACGGGTTTGCATCCATAAAGAGGTCACACATAACCGCGCAATAATGAGTGCTGGGCACATAGACTACCCCAGTACCTAAGCTAGCCGAGACTATCGCTTGGAAGACCTTGACTTCTCCTGATACAGTGCTAACGACTAGAAGCACTATTTTTCTCGAGCAACTAATGTGTATGTCAAGAAAGCAAGAAAGATATAAGTACTTAATACAAGGCTCCACTGGGCATTACAGTATTCTAACTATAACTTATTTGCAAGCTTACAGCCATTACAGCTAAGATTCTGCAAGAATTATAAAGTAGCCCAAAGCAGATTAGCATATATTAGATTTATTTTCCAGGAAAGAAGTCACAAGAATGTGGAGGTATAAATAATTTCAAAAACTACTGTACATTGTACAGTGAAGGGAACACCACAGGTAGGCCTACTCCTGTCATCATAGGACTCACACGGACACAATATAGAGAAAGGGTGTGAGCAGGCCAGAAGATAGACTGCTTAAGGCCGCAACTCTACAGAGAATAATATAATTTTAATAGTCGGAATTAGTGGTCAGCATCACTATTACCTATGGGAATCTAGCACCTATATCTGCCTCGGGCAGCAAAGCCACTTAGGCACCTGCCCTGCCATGCGTACTGCCACCCACGCTGCCACAATTACCAGCTTCAGTCAACAAGCTGAACATGCATTCCAACCTACTACATTGTATAAAGTTGTCCTGTTCTCAGATATTGGGATTTTTGGAAGGAGACGTAGCATGAAGAAACTGGAGTCGAGTACTACCCTGTAGATCATAGTGTCGTAAGATCCAAGGGACACAAGATCCATTGCGGGATGCAGCCAAGAGATTTTACCTAGCCAGCCGCGCAGATAGTATGTTGAGTTTACGTGGCTTTTGATCAGCACCTGATATAACTCAGAACATCAATCAAGCCTGAACATACGCAGGGGATCCCGCTAGCAGGTCTCCATACTTACTTTTTATGGTGCACGGCCCCCCAATTGAGCTATATGCGAATGAAGCCTTGCACCTGATCAGCTAAAACACGTGAAAGTTTGGCTGTACACAGTAGTTCGCCCTTAAATTGATACATGTCGCCACTATCTAGTCACCGCTACCTTTTTCTAGTGAAACTAAATGCTAATATGTTAAAAAAGATTGGAAAGTGTGCTGCAAAACATTTCATCCAATCTTGAAAAAAAGAAAGTTAAAAGTTAGAGAAACCATTTGTCTTATCAAAGTCATAGGCTTGTCTCATCTAGGTTGGGTTTATAGACGCCCCAAAGCCTACATCTCGTCGATAAAAGTTCAGTCTTTTGCTTTTGTTGTACTCTCACCTCTCGTCAAGATGGGGATTTTTATCAAGGCCTTTCTCCGAAACAGAAATTCGACCGATATTGACCGTCGATACTGCACTCGGGAGGTGCCCATGAAAGTCATCATGCTTGGATTCCCACGTACGGGCACGGTTTGTAAGTGCTCACAACCGAATATTTCAGTGTCTTATTCTGGCCCAGCTGACCAATATGCCGTTCACAGCTTTGACAAGTGCGCTGAAAGTCCTCGGTTTCCACAATGCTTACCATGGCCGAGATGCCTTGGTCTTCAATCCTCGAGACTGTGAGCTATGGTGGAAAGCATTGCAGGCAAAATACGAAGGGAAAGGAAAGGAGTTTGGTCGCAAGGAATTCGATCAGCTACTAGGCCATTGCCAAGTAAGTATGAGAAGGATGGAACCAAAAACACCACTCCTTGGGACAACCCAAAATGTTATTTAAATTGCTGATTTGCCAGGCCGTCTCTGATATCCCCGCAATTTGCTTTGCCGAAGAGCTTCTTGCAGCCTACCCCGATGCCAAAGTCATTTTGACAGTGAGAGATGTGAACGAGTGGCAAGCGTAAGTAGGGCCGAACTATTCTTTAAAACACCATAAATAACAAAGCTTTTAGGTCAGTGAGAAAGTCAATCATGCAACAAGTCAAAGATCMATTGGCGTACCCGATGCTTCTCTTGGACCATCTTCTCTTTATGCCCTGGCGCTGGGCTCGGCCAGTATTCCTCAAGTCCCGACATGTACTCTGGGGCGATGATTTCGAAAAGAACGGGAAAACGGCCTTTGAGAACCACTACAAGAAAATTCAAGCCATGGTGCCACCAGAAAAACTGCTTCTTTACCACGTCAAAGAAGGATGGGAACCTCTCTGCAGGTTCCTCGACGTCCCAATCCCTGAGATGCCAATGATAAATGTGAACGACTCTACAACGTTCAATAAAGCATTCATGGCAAAGAAGGTGTATCATCTTACCCAGTATATTTGGAGAATCATCGAAATTGCTGGCTATGTGTCGCTGTTCATGATTCTCTGGATAGTTTATCAAGGTGGACCGTTGCCTTGGCATTGAATGGTCTTCGAGGAAAAAGCGAAATCACTGTTAGGTCTATAGTGAATTTAGGTTTAGGTTAATGGCTTAAGAGTTCTAGGTTCATGCCTTGATTGCCAAAACTCCAAATTTCTTTGAAGGTAGGTGTCATAAGGCATCGACCCCTCGTCGGAAATAAACCATTTCCATCATAGATTCTAACACTGGATGGCCCTAATTTGCTTGTTAGATCCTCATGTTCACTTTGTATTATTTCACAATCTCATCCTGCTTCCATGCAGCTGGTTGAGAGCTGGCTGGTGTGGGGCTGGTGAGATGTTGACAATCCACAGTTATTGCTGAATATAAGAAATGCACTTCCTTAGCATATGGGAACAAACTTCTGCTGATAGAAGATACACGTAGCGAAGCCCTGATTTTACCCCTCATATGAAATTCCAAAACAGTTACCATCCTAGGCATTGTGTACAACATTGACGATATGATGCAGAGAATACAGGTCCCGTACAAGACCAACACGTCACGCAGGTCATCGTTTCCCCATTTGACAATGTTACACAAAGATGCGGTGTAGAGAGTTGTCATATCTGCCCGAGGACTGAAGCCTGATTTGATATCGAAAGCATTGTACAAGAGACGAGGCATTACCGCATGGTTCTGGTCAAAATTTCTACAATTGCAAGATCACAATCCGCACCAAAAAAGGCCAACATGACTATCACAGCGTTGCAGTCCCGACAACCAGACATTGACTATGCGCCGAACCGACAAAAATGGTTAGACCGCACAGAGCGTCGACTCAGGACGGAGAAGCTTAGTACAGAGATGCCTACAGGCTTTCCTAAAAGACTTGATTCTGATTTGGTATGGGATGGTCAAACGCTGCCAGCCGTCTATGACTGGACATATCACCTGAGCTCTGAAGATCTGGAGGAGATCAAACAGGCCGTGGCCTACTTTCGCAGTAAGTTTTTAATCATAATACCAATGATATTACAAAATCGTGCTAATTATACTTTCTAGGTCTCAATAAACCTCTCGGTCACATTGGCCCCGATACCTTCCCTCTACCCAAACTTCACGATAAGTTGCGGGATATCTCAAACGAAGTTCATAATGGCCATGGATTCAAGGTAGTTCGTGGTGTACCTGTTGATGAGTACTCGCGAGAAGATAACATCATTATTTATGCTGGCATTTCTTCTCATGTTGCATCTGAACGCGGCCGTCAAATTATTGGTAGGCCATCTCAAATGGTACTCATCCACGTCAAAGATCTTATGAGCGCATCGGAAAAGAAGAAGATCGGCGTTGCCACGTACACTTCTGATCAACTGATTTTCCATACGGACATTGGAGACGTAATATCTCTGCTATGTCTTGACACAGCTGCCGAGGGAGGCTGCAGTCAACTGGCAAGTAGCTGGCATGTCTACAATGAGCTGGCGGCCACAAGGCCTGACTTGATCAAGACAATGACGGAAGACTGGCCCCATGACACGTGAGTATAGACCTGGGGAATGTGTTTCATCTTGTTTATGTATTAATATTATGATAGATTCGGTGCTACACCGGAGGGCTATACAATGCGACCAATCCTCCACCATCAACCTGCAACCAATTCTACTCCTGAAAGAGTTGTAATCAATTGCATGCGCCGCGAATTTACCGGGGTTCTCGCCACACCAAGATCAAAGACAATTCCCCCAATCACCGAGGCACAAGCCGAAGCTTTAGACGCCATTCATTTCTTGGCAGAGAAGTACCAACTCCGTCTTGACTTCCAAAAAGGTGATATTCAATATGTGAATAATTTCAGCATCCTTCATGCTCGAGAGTCATTCAGAGACACACCAGAGCAGCAGTGAGTATATATCCACCTAAAATGTTACTCAATATGTACTGATTGCAACAGACGCCATCTTTTAAGACTCTGGCTACGTGACCCCGAGCATGCATGGGAGATACCAGGTCCATTGAAGTTACGAATTGGAAAGGTTTACAACAACCTGGACAAAGACACACAGGAGTTCCCATTGGAGGCCGAAGTCGAGAGCTGTAAGCCTCGCGGCTAGATGGCACTCCGGGCCTAAATTGCGCAGCAAATGCCACCTTTCTTTTGGTCAATCAAATACCAATGGAAATTTTTACGGCCTGATCTGAAGGTTTAGTTCCGGCGTAATAATTGAATAGATTGGTTGCTGAGGAAAAGGCAGAGCTAAAAGATTCCCCATAGTTATGAGAAGGGCGTTTGTAGTATGACATTCTACAGCAGGCGTTGACTGATAAATGAATTATTCTAGCATGGCGATGAGTAGATCAAACACTTAATTTTTAATGTCTCAATTGGCCGGTTGGTTGACTAGGCATGGGGAGAATTTCATTTACATATGAAGTGCTAATTGCCTGATCAATCTGGTCTCTTCCGTTTTCTTTTTTCTTTTTTTGTTGTTGTTTGTGTCTTTCACTGGAAGTGTACGCTGGAACATACTGGATATGAGTTTTGGAGCAGATCACCCAGGACTTTTCATTGTGTGATAGCAGATAGCTCTTGGATTATCTAAAGGAAAATGTAAAAGAAGCAACAAACCTAGAGAGATTGGCAACATCTTCCAAGTCTCCGATAAAGGAAATGTGCTGGTCCGGTCTGAGGAGAATCATACAGCCTTCCGGTGCGATACCATAGGACGAATATGCATTGCCCCCACCATTGTGATACGACTTCTCGTCTGCATAAACACGTCCATAGTCCACCMCATGCATATCACTGAACGGCCTGAAGATTTCTGGCAGATCTAATAACTCAATATCCAGTCTACTCGCGGAATGAATCAGGTAGATGGAGATAGTCCCAACAACATATCCCTCATGGCGTCTTTCATTTAATCGGCGCATGTATGAGCCCTCACAGGAGAGTGCAGTTGCTAATGCATTGATTCGTATTCTTTGAGCCTCCTGTAAGATATCGCCGCCAAAGACAATCAGGTTCCACTCCCCTGTGCTTTTCAGGAGACTTTGAACTTCCCACGGCCGAGCGTCACTCTGGCTGACCACAATTTCGCTCGGCATCCTAGCACCGATCTTGATATTCCTAGCCAGATGGGGCTTGCTGAAATATGGAAGCGCCAATCCGGCCCTTTCAAGACAGCACCGTGGCTTTGTTGAGCTAATCAAGGCGTTCGGTGCATAAGTGACCGCTATGCCTGATGCAGAGGAGTTTTCCTCTTCAAGAGCGCATATATGGTCATTGTCGAATGAGCCGTATGGTCTCGTCTCTGACTTCACTCCACACATATATCTGCAGATGCGTTTATCAAAATTGACCAGTCTTTCCGCCACCATGAGCCTCTCTTCTCCGTACGTTTGCAACATCCTCGGGTGCATGGCGCTCTGAATCACAGAGGCAAGCTTCCAGCCGAGATTATAGGCATCTTGGATGCTGGCATTCATACCTTGGCCTGCCTTAGGGGAATGCGCATGCACAGCATCGCCAGCGAGGAAGGCGCGGTCCGCATGGGAAACCTGAGGGCAGATCCATTGGCCAACCTGCATTTAAATTAGAGGAAAACACTACAGCCAGGTCCGTCATGGCGCACAAGGCGGTAATTACTTACATCATATACAGTAGACCATTCAACATGTGAATAACTAAAGGAATAAGGCTGCATGATGGTCCGAATAGCATCCATAAGCAAGTCGCGATTCTCACAGTCTTTGTACTCTGCGGCAGTGGTGGAGGACACTTGGACATACACCCGCACCATCCTTCTCTCTCGCGGTATAATCATAAGGTTCCCAAATCTGGTTTTGACCACGTTTCTTTTGCGGATGTCGGCTAGAACCCCATGTAAGCTAGCCAGTCTGATGTGTTTCAAAAGGAATGAAAAGACGAACGGAAGTTTGTTATTGGTACAAAGTCAAGGACCCCCCACTGCTCATTGAGAGAGTTGCCTGCCGGGCGAAATCCAAGTTGTGCCCTTACCCAACTGTGGGCTCCGTCGCACCCGACAACGTATCTGGCTGCTACCTCCTCAAAATGGCTCTCTGGACATGTGGAATTTTCCACTGTGGTTGTGGGCTTGCGAAAGCTGCGTGATTCTACAGGGGCGTTTCCGAGACGCACTCGAAAGGGGTATGCAGTAGCATCACCAAGGAGAGCATGGTCAATTTCGAGAGAAGTGGGAACTGTTCCTCGTCGAATCTCGACATTCTTGTGCGATTCGATGAATTTCTGCAAATGCTCCTCAACTCGGCCCTGGCTCAACGTGCATTCCTGAAACCTAGAACGCCCTGGTGTGGTATTCGCGGAGATCTTTTGTCGTCGAAGGAGGCCTTCTTTGCGGTCGTCCTGCAGAGTGTGTCAGAATTTGAAGGTCAGCTGCAGAGAGAAGGACAGGGGAATGAGACAAAGCCGAGATGCAAACAAGCTCTACCTGCATACCCAAAGACAAATTTCTACAGTGCGATTTGCCTCATTCCATATCTGCTGGCCTATTCCAAAGCTGTCCAGGATCTCCAGGGTGCGACTTTCCAGTCCATCTGCACGGCCGACGTGTGTTCTAGACGTCCTTTTCTCGATTAACAGCGCCCTGACGCCTGTCTGTGCCATCCATGTGGCCAATGTCAAGCTAAAATCACGTCAATGCCTATGTCATGCCCCGTTCGTCCTGTCATGCTTTAATCATATTGAAGAAAAAAAAAGGGCTCACCCTGAGGGCCCCCCACCAACAATCAGCACATCTACTTGATGCATTATGTTCTAGTCGAAAAAGGCCCGTACAGTCAAATAGACTATTTTAACCGTCCAGGGCTGCTGCTTCAGAAATCCATTAGATATATGATATAACCATATATGGCAGGAAAACTATAAGTGCTCGTTCATTCACCCTCTAAAAAAATCCCGCCATGACCGGCGCTATTCTTGTCTGAAGCTTCTTCCCCAAGCCCAGAGTGAGCTCAGGTACGGTCTACCCTGCAGCGCAGCCCAACCCGCCCTGAATGGATCTCTAGTAACAACTCCAGTGAGGGTCTACTGCATTGAAATTCTACCATGACTCGCAGATACGGCAGGAACACTTCATCTACACCGCTATTTCCCACCCCTTCTTAGGCCGGGCAGCCACCATGTAGTATCGGAAACTTTCTATTTTGTGAATAACAATCAGCCAGCCAATAGTGGTTTGCAAACTCGGCGGAAGGTAACAATTTGAATAATTTTCAGCCTGCCACATTCTAGTGGGCTTCATGGATTCATGCCCTCTGGGACTAGGCGCGTTTTCAAGACTTTAGTAGGGTGTTCTTTAATGGAAAAAAAATATGCCCAAGATGATGTAGTCTATTTTTCACACCTTGTAGAATGAATGTGATTAAGGAAGCTCTTTAGCATACATCACATATCTATCCACATCACATAGCATGAGGTCTCTAAGCGAATCAAGGATAGTATAGGTATGCAGGTAGTCTAGTAGGGACAACTATGGCTGGCGTTGTTCGTCTTTAGAAATCTACAGATCATATGCACGTGGTGCAATTCACATCGCCAGGAATTGTTAATATTAGCAGATTGGATAGGTCAATTCCAAACAGTTGACTGATTAATGCGGGGCTCAATACGCTAATTAGCAAGCTGACCCAAGGCTACCAGAATACACCATGTGTATTTTTCCCTTGGGCGTGACAAGCCCAACCCTGTCAGTTCGTAGTAGGCGGAGGATTCACCCTGCATTGACTGTGTGACCGCAATTCTATGATCATCCGTATGAAACACATGAACGTCTACCCACATCAAGCTCCTCAATCCTACTCAACAGCCATAAAAGTAGTTGAACCTTTCAATTATCATTTTTCTCTTCTAGAATGGCAGCCGCCCAACATCTTGATCACCTGGAAAATGTCGTATCGTCTGGCTACAGCTACCGTCTTCTCGAGGGCTGGGTCATGCCGCCCGAAATAACAGACCAGTCGCTCTCCTTCTCTCGAAACCTTCCTACACGGCCAACGGACATTTGTTTTGTGTCGTATCCAAAATCCGGGACGACCTGGCTGGCTTTTATCCTGGTGTTGCTGACCGGGAAGAAAAAGGACTCCCTTGAAAATTCCTACGTCTGGCCTGAGAGTGACCGGACCTTCCAGGGGACTGCGGAGGATTTGGCCCAGTTAGATGACCCGCGCTTGTTCAAATCCCACATGCCCTATCATATGGCCCTTGGGTCTCCGGCGCGAAGCCCCTGCCGATACATCTACATCGCTCGGAACCCAAAGGATGTGTGCACCTCTTATTACCACTTTGAGCGAAATCAGAGCTGGTCCGGGTTTTTTGACGGCGGATGGGACAGATGGTTTGAGATGTTCGTTACGGGAAAGGTGCAGCGAGGCAATTGGTTTGACCACGTGTTGAGCTGGTGGGAGAAACGGCACCAAGAGAATGTGGTGTTTGTGAAATACGAAGATCTGCAGAAGAACTTTGATTCAGAGCTAAGAAGGATTGCCAACTTCCTCCATATAGAGGTCGAGGACGCAAAGATCAACGAGATCAGGGATACGGTGAGCTTTTCCAAGATGAAGGCCGACAAATTCAGCAGTTTGGCCAATCAGGAGGGCCACTCTGGTCTTTTCCGCAAGGGCAAAGTTGGGTCTTGGAGGGAGCAATTCACTGCCAAGCAGACGGAGGTCTTTGATTCAATGTACTGGGACCGCATGGCTAATACTGGCCTATCATTCGACTTTGAGTAGCATCCAGCCGTCGTTGTCATTATTCACTATGAATATTGCCAAGTGCTTGAAAGCATTGCAACAACACATGCTTTCCCCACAAAATCCATATATCTAATAGAGGTCACCTAAACACATTCATCTTATGATATGCAGGTTCATTTTATACGTATATTATCTATAAAGAGTTAGGCAGCCTCGGGTCTGTATATATTGGTCTTTCATATAAGTCTTTTCCAGGAGACGCTAAGCATCTACAGACGTTGTAGAGCATGTCAATGCAAATATATATCATGGCTAAAACCCATACTCTCCACTTACAGTGAGTTTACATCTTTCAGAAAAATCTTGGAGCGGAAGCCTACAAATGATTTCTGTTGGGACCATTTTTTATTTATGGTTATTATTTTTTTATTTTTATTATGTTTGAATCTTGCCGTGCTGTCCGTAGGAGTGTCTCTAACTCCCGGAATCGGGTGTCTGGGGGCGGTTTAGGGACGAATCTCAATGCTGTCAACAATTGCGTGGTCTTGCGTGTGATGAGCGTCTCATGACCCAACTGCCCACTTCCGTGGTCACCTATATAACTTCCAGCGCCCAGCCATCTTGCAGGTGTTTTAAATGCGTAGCGATTGGTGCTGTTCACGTATTCTTTTAGCTCTTTGTCAGCGAACGTGGCCACCGTCCCTCATTGATCATCATCATTTGTGCCCACACTATCCATCAGATAGACCACTGCTGACAACAGATCCGTCGCTTGAAATCCATCAGTCCTGTTTTGGTCTGATTTCATTTAAAAGCAAAAAAGGGTCAATACGGAATGGAACGAACACAAGGGAATCACAGCCGCGCCTATCGTCAGGATTGCCAGTAATGCGAGAACAAACTCGTGCTTTGTAAGCGTCAAAAACACACATAAACATGCCTTCGTACAGAATTAACCAGTTATGTTAGCCGCCCCTCTCTGAGAGGTTTGAATGGAGTGGTTCGCGGATGGGTGAAATATCATGTAGCAACTGGGCATAATTAACGAGTACACCCTGGGCAGTGACATTCACGATGACCGCCTCAGTTTCTTTTAGAGATGTCCAGCACTGTGAAACATACGGGTCATTGGGAAAGCGATGATGCATTGAATCACCCTGTGGATTGTTCTGTAATGGAGGTAACACTGGTACAGCAAAGGAGCCTTGAGTTGATGAGTTGTGAAGGCAAGTAACAAAAGCAGAGAACAGTATCTTCAATATATTTCCGTCTACTAGGCTTCAGCACACATGAATTTTGTCAAGATGATATTATGCCTTCTAAGTTCTAACCAGGGAGGAGTTCAATATCACGTCCCACACTTGGAATAGCGCTCTTCAGGGGTAAATTCTGGTACTACCAAGAAGTGTTGGGTATATTGTGTTGAAGCAGCTGTGCTGCTTGGAATTTATCTATATGTACTCCGTACATGCACACGCCCACCGGTTGACTAAATAATTTGCAGCCGTCTTCTTTTTAAATATTCATAATCCTCCATAGCTGCTCGCACCCAAGTCTCCACCTTGGATGCATCACTCTCACCGAACTCCTTTTTCCACTGGAGTGTTTCGCGGTCGATGTCCAGACCATGGGACGTCTTCCCGCTCAAAATTCCCTCAGAGGTGAGGAGGGTCGACCACATCCGCCGTTTGATTCTCAGCTCGTCTGCAGCCAGGGCCTCCTCGGGCTTGACAGACTCCCACGTAAATCGTAATCTCGAGGCATCCAGACCGACAAGCTTACAGAAGCGGACAAGCACTTCTGGCTCCGTCATGACGTCGTCTGCATCCAAAATGATTGGACTGTTCACGCTGGCCTCATCCTCAGAGTAGCTGCATCCTTCCCGGGTTGGGACATACCTCTCGTACAGCCTTCGCGTCCATCGCAGGGTCATGACCATTTTGAATTCAAGCTCCGCCTCTTTGGACTGGGATGCTTCGACTCCATGCAAGTCCCTGTACGTCCGGAGGAAAGACGGAAAGGCTAGCGCGGGGTGCCTAATGAGAAAGACGGGCGAAAGTGTTCCTAAGATATCGTCCGGGATCAACGTGTCATTTAGTGCCCAATCTATGGTACTTTGCAACCCTTGTGTGCTGTGCGATAAGGACTGTGGCATTTTCCAGCCTTGCTCGGTTACACTATCGGCGCCAAAGAGAAACCGAGACCGAACCGTCGGGTCGATGACAAAGTAGAGATGTTCCTTGAAGAAGGTGATTTTGCCTTGCGCTGTGCCCTGGTTAAGGTACTCGACGAGGTCGTTGAAATGCTTTTGGTAGCTCTTCCTTAGCTGGTCGCTCGCCTCCGGCGACCATTCGGTGAGTGGGAGCCAGCGAACTTTGAGGTTAGATGTGAGCCTGTATGGTATCCTAAAAAAGTACCCTCCCTCGTCGCATGGTAGTACGTTTGGTTGTTCATCCAGAGCGAGCATCCGGTTGAGCAGGTTCGATGCTGTACGCGGATAGGTGATGAGCCAGAAACGTTTTGGAGTTTTATTGGTCATATTGATAATACTATTGATTATGGAGAGGTTTAGTTGCAGCTTGTCTGTTGCCCGTAGGTTATGGACAATCTGAGTGTGCAACAACCCTCCAATATTTATATTCGAAGTTAGGTTTTTGAATGGGCCTATGACCTGTATAACCGTACGATTGGGCAAAGCTGGTCCTAGTCCTTTATTTCGGTTGTCTTTTTCTATTCAGGGATGGTTCAAGATGTTCTCACCGCTACTTCGCCGGGACATCTTTGATTCGGTATTGACCCTTCTGTGATATGGGCTACATGTTGATCATTCTCTCACACACCTAGAGACAACAGTATACAGTCCGTGCTCTGGAAGATGTACCACTTTGGGATGCGACTTCGCCCCGAGGCTTACCACCACTCATACCTATGCGCCCCCAGAAGGCTGGCTGTCTGAAATTAATGGACCAGATGATCTGGCCGCCATTTGTTTAACTTATTTATCAGTCACTATCTGCATGCTCACCACATCGCCAGATTAGAGACTTCGTGCCCTCAGTCTGGTACAGCCAAAAACACCTTCCTGGATGCAACATGATGCCCCCCCAAGTTGGAAAACTACCTAACGAACCCTTTTTTGAGCACTTGATCAAGGCTTGGAATGAGGTTCAGCATGTCGTCATCCACGACCCTAACAACGGCGTGGATGCAAACTACACTCAATTATTCACCGATGTGCTGAATATGCGGCAGGCCATCTATGAAGCGCTCCCTCGATCGATGTTTGATGACAAATTAATAATTGCGGAAGAAACACCATTCATTTTTGTTCTCGCTCCAGGAAACTATGAGTTCGTCGTTGCCTCTTTCGCCATTCTTGGGCTGGGAGGGGCTCTAGTGCCTTTGTGTGAGTTTCCGAGGGGTCGACACACTTGAGGAGAGAACACGGGTGAAAGCGCAGAAAGCTAACCGCTGGTGCTGCCCAGCAACGTCCGTGTTACCTGAGGAAGCCCACCATCTACTGCAAAAATGCAACTCATATTTCATCCTCACTGCGTCCCAATGCCTGAAACACGGCACAGAAATCCAGGAATATGTGGATTCCCAACCAGACAGCGGAAAGGTCACCGTCATACCCATCGCAATCAAGTGTAGTGCAGTTTCCGTTTCGCAGGTCGAGATTGATAAAGACATGACCATTGCACGTACTCGACCCAGCCTGGTCTTGTTCACCTCCGGCACCACGGGCCCTCCAAAGGGCGTCGTTCACGACCGGACGATCTTCTACACATGCCCGGCCTTGACCAGTCATGATGTCTTATTGAGTCATCGCCCAGCCCACTGGATCTCCGGAGCGCTGCCCCTGATCATAGGGTTGATGAGAGGTTCGCGCGTCGAAATCACGGAGTGTGATGTCCAAGTGATCTGGGAAAGGCTACGAAAAGGAGGTGTCACAATTCTTACTTGTGGCCCTTCCATGTATACGAAGCTCATGAAACATTTCCAGGAGAGATTAAGTGCCCTACCCGTTGAAGAGCGCGATGAATACATTCGAGGAGCTCGCGAACTTCGAGTTGCGCGTGTCAGTGGGCAAGTCAGTGCGCCGTCGATGCTGCGATTCTGGCGAGAAGTCATCGGGAAACCATTGACCATTTGTTACGGATCGACTGAGATGGCTTTGCGCCCTCTCCAAGCTATTGCCGATACCGATGCATATATCGATGTAAGTTCGGTCTCTAAGCGTACCGCACATCAGACATTGTTGAGCTTCTGACCACACTTCGGCAGCGGTGCATCGGGAGGCCAGTTCCCGGCGTCACAGTCAAGCTATCCGAGGGAGACCATGGGGAGATCCTGATCAAGGGGGACTCATTGTTTTCTCAGTAGGCGGGACCCTCGCAGGAAATTTTGATCGTATTATTTCTGATGCTATATCACTCTCAGCTATCTCAACGATGAAGGCGCTACTCGAGCGGCTTTCGACGATGAAGGGTTCTACAGAACTGGAGACCTCGCGCATCGAGTTGGAGATCAGTATGTGCTAGATGGTCGGGCATCTACGGACTGTGAGCTCTTCCGATCCCTGTCTTTGGACCCGTTGTAACAAAACCGAGCAGTCGTACGACATCGCGGGTATAAGGTCCCTGTGCTGGAGGTCGAAGCGCACCTTCTAGAGCTCCCTTACATCTCCGAAGCCTACATTCTGTCCGTTCCGGATTTGCAGAATGGAACACGAGTTGCTGCACTCGTTCGTTTGCGAGTCCCGAAGACCTCGCATGATGACCCAGAGTCGCCGGAGGAAGAAGCAAAGGTAGACTTACGAACCATCAGATTTGACCTGTTGGACAAGCTATCCATGTACAAACTTCCAACCCTTTTGCGCATTTTGCAAGACGGCGAGGCTGTCCCTGAGACCAGGACCGGGAAGCCCGTGCGGAAGCAGGCAGTGGAGAGGTTTTTCCCTGTCTCCGAGGACTTTGCCTTGCCAGCAGATGTGGAGGTATGGGATCTTACGAAGCCCGAGCAAGACCGGCCAGTGCGGGCATGGGACTGGGCAGCCTTGCAGAACCAAGCCATATGACGTGTTCCCAGATTCCTATTAGGTAACTCGAGTTTCTATAGCCCGTGTAGCGACACATATATGATGAAAATGCGGGCTGAATCAGGCTGCGAATGATCCAGTTCCCTGCGAATCACTAGGCAATCTGTTGTAATTATGATACGTTTATCAGGGAAAGCATGGCAAATTAGAAAATCATAAATGTTGTTTAAAAGCTTCTTGCATTATTGCTGCCTGTTGATACATGCTACCGATCATTAATTTAGCCGGATTGACAGACAAGTGTCACACAGACTGATCAGTACCTGACAGGTCATTTTTGATGCAGTGTATCTGGCCTTAACACTTTATGCAGCTACGCCCAAGCATTGATTCCACAAAACCCAGTTAATAAGGATTATTAAATATTTCTGGGATTGCCAGGTCGTCTATGGGACATCCCAATTGGAGTCAAATGCCCTGCCTGGACGATAGTTTATCTTGACTGATTGAACAATTGAATCCCGCATGTCGAACTGCAGAATATGCTGATCTAGGTTGTCTGCATTTTAACTTTTGTACAAAGTAATGGACCGGATTGGATCATCCTGCTAATGTGAGTTAAGGTACTGTTGCCTTCTCACCCAGCGATGCATCACAATTGACGGAGACAATTTGTATCCTAGCATGTGTGAACTACATTTGCACTTGGAAACCTTGGACAAAATATCAGAAAAATGATTACAGCAGGGACTATGTATATAAGCAGGGATGACTTCTAATGCGTAGATGGTGAATGTGCAATTCAAAGTCAATTTAGACCTATAATTTAGACCTTTAAAGCAATGAGGAAGGACTTACTTGGATAGGTTATGGTCAATATGTTGAGCTGATGAGAGAAATGACTAAAAAAATGCATTGGACATGCAAAAAGCTCACCCTTCTAAAGAGGAGTAGTAGTGGAACCTAATACACAGTGGCGGACTGGACTGAATTTTGTATGATAAGCTCTATAAATTCATAGTGATCGCGAGCCTGTCAGCCTAACAACAGAATATCACTATCAGGAACACGCATAGATGCCGTATGATTTGTTAATCAGATATGCGATTTAATCTAGAGACTATCATATTACACTTTCTCACTATGCTACTGCTATGCCTTGGACCCTTGCTTTGACTGTAATTAAATGTTTTCCAATTTGTCTTCTGTTTGCCATTTGCAGCTTTGATAGTTTGCATCTCTGGCCTAATATTATCTCCGTATACTCTTCTGCATAATTACATGAAAATCTGTCTGTATCCTATTTACAAGCAATGTAAGTGTCAAAATAGATGCTGATCCACCCTCCAGCATCCTAAGCCTGACTTTGTTGCCCCATTCAGCCGCACTTACCCGGATTATTTCCACTCCTCAACTTTAGTTCCCTCTAACCGAAGCGAAATCCAAAAGCCCCTACTTCCCAGTTTCCCTCACTGCAGTCCCTACTTCACTAAGGTGGATTTACTGATTCAAATGGGAGATTTTCCATCATTCTTCATTATCTTTTGTTCACCATCCTGACTATCCCTCACATCAACACCTTCATTGGACAGCCCCTACTTTATTACTTCATATTTGACCACTCTCACTTGATCGTTCCATTTAACGAGCTTAACCGTATCTAATCATTTTAATACAGCCCTCGCTTATTTCGACATTTACGTCTCAGCTGTTTTGCTGTCTAATTACTCTCCTTTGTTCGAACGCTTCGATTGACTCCTCTTAGTTGCCCTCCGTAACTCCATTTCACCGCCACTTTGTTGTTTCAAATCATCAACCTCATCCTCCAACCATTAGCAAGAAGGATCATTTAACCGCCCGAGTCATTGAGCTTTAAGTTAAACAATGTGAAGGCCATAAGCCATGGTCATTAGTATGAAGGATGTTGCTTAGTGCCTATTTTGACTCAAGACGAATAGAGCGCGATGACCCTTTGTAGACTAGCTTTCAGTATGATAAATAAGTGACAAAACCATTGTGCTGCTGTCAGATCAAAGAGTATGCCTTCTCAGGTACTGGGAATCAGCGCCAGTCGGTTAAATCAGAAAATACTACATTTCACCTTGATTAATAGAATGTGACTTGTATACACCAGTCGCCTGACCAAACAGAAATTTTGCATGCATAGGCCTTGCATGCATGCAAGTCCCCACACATATTCTGATTCCGGACAGTTAGCTCGTCGCAGCCGGAACAGATCGGTTTGGTGCTCCATTATCAGGATACTATGCTACCGCAAACTTACGTGCCAGCCAAGCTGTGTTGCTGTATAAAGGTCCCCGGGTTTCTCAACTTATCTATATCCATACCAATACAGCCTCGGTACTACGTCAGAAGAGGTAGGTCATATTCTCCAGCAAACTGGATTATCCCCTAATGAATGACTAGAACGGATCACAGTTCCCCGAAAATGACCGTCCCAGATCTAAATGCGGGTCCCAGTCGCCGGATATTCCTCCTCGCTCAGCCCCGGACGACATCATACCTCTTAGTCCGAATGCTGGGGTTAGAGAAACAACCAAATGTACACTGGGATGAGGACGAGGTTTGCACATTCTTCAGGACTAGAAAATTGATGACGGCGCTTGGACTCAGCACAAAGCCTGTCACAGAGTGGACCAAGGATGAAAGAGTCCATGTCCAAACAAGCTTCCAACAGTGTTTCCACGGCCTTGACCAATACCTTGCCAATGGAGAAGCTAATGGAAAAATTGTTATCGCGAAAGAACACTGCAATTTCCTATGGAGCCCATGTACTAGGATCGGGATCGATCACACATCCTCTGATGGATCCTTCAATATCACGCTGCCGCCTACGCACGCACCTTCCAACGACGAACCAATGGGGAACCCTACTGTTCTCCCTACTGAGTATCTAGGGACATGGCGGCCGATATTTCTGATCAGACACCCGGCCCTAGCCTTTCCTTCGTATTGCCGAGGGGTCATGAGAATTCAAGAATCGAACCCCATACGCTGTGATCCTGAGTATTTACTCAAGGACCTACAACTACAGATGTCCTTCTACTATACACGCTCTTTGTATGATTGGTACATTATGTATTGTGGCCACAAAGGGGACACTGCCAACTCTATTGCACCTGTGCTGCTGGACGCCGATGATATCATTAACGATCCGGAAATTGTCTGCCGACTTGCTAAGCTACTGGGTCTAGATGAGTCGAGTGTCCAATACTCTTGGACTCCGAGGACAGATAAAGACGCCTTCTATCTGAAGAAGGCATTCATGCAAACACTGAACGCTTCCAGTGGGGTCCAGAAGGATAAAACATCTGCGAGTTTGGACATTGGGGACGAGATTAGGAAGTGGAAGGTAGAATTTGGAGAGAGCCTTGGAGAGTTGATTGAGAACTGTGTGAGTGAAGCGATGCCGGATTATGAGTATCTCAAGTCCAAACGGCTTCAGTCGGGCTGCGTTCTTTTCTAGTTATGCGTGACCTTATTAAGATCTGAATCCAACAATATGCTTATCATCGATTGATTAACTCATTGATTCTTTCGGTACTTACAGGGCATCGTACTTCCATAAGAGGACGACAGAGAAGAACAAAATTACTGTTTTTTGATGATTCTCTTCTGACTATTTCTCGTGGATTTTGATCACGGTCTGTGCTAACTGTCTTGGATCTGGATGTGTCTTCTGCAGGCTCAGTGTTCGACAACTCAATTATATCATGAAAATACCATGTGATTGATACATGTTAAGAAAGTAGCTTTGGGAGCTGCTTCATCTCTTGCTGCCTAGAGATAAGTTGTCAAACAGCCATCTGTCTTGGGCGGAACTGAAGCACAGGCCCCCATTTTAAAGAACCTATTCTGTCATACAGTTGAAACTCATTGGGATCCGTCCTGCCAAACCCAGAAAATGCACTTCCAGCACCTATCTCACCATCGGGTCCCTCAGCGGCCTTGAAGTCAAACAAGAACATAAGTCGAGCAAGAGTGACTGAGATTTCCCAATAGAAAAGGGACACCCCAACACACGCGCGTGGCCCGGTAGAAAAGGGTATAAACGCTGCCCGGCTCGCCTCCCTCTCGTTCTTAGAGTTTAGCTCACTGCCTGACAACCAGCGTTCCGGTTTGTATTCATGTGGTCTCGGAAAGTAGTCTGGATTGTGATGGATGCTGTAGATTCCGGGGCTAACGATGCAGCCTTCATGGAGGACATTCCCGTCTACTGCGGCACCTCCTGATCCCACCTCTCGCAGCAGTACGCCTCCAACTGGAGGAGACTTTCGGAGAGCCTCGTCAATGCATGCACGGAGGTACCTGCAGCTCCGAAGGCGGGGACCCATCCTGATTGCGTCGGCATTGTCATACGTTCCACGAATCTCGCTCGCCAAGATGGCGTACGCATGGGCGTTTCGGCTCAGGTAAAACAGTGTCGCGCACATCGCTGTGGAAGTTGTGTCATGGGCTGAGTGTATGTGAAGAACGAGTGTGAGTTCGTAAAACAAGACTTGAGAGAAAGAAGTACCCACCTACTACAGATAGCATCACGCCCTCGGCCCAGATATCCTCCTTGCTGATTTGCTTTACAGATTCAGCCTTTATCAAATCTGCGATGACCGTAGATTGCTCCTCTTTTGGTTCAGGAGAACAGTGCGCACGGTTCATAGCGCCAGTGACAAATTTCAGATGCCTCTTTGTTGCTTGAATGGCCTGCCGGAAAAATAATTTTTTATCCAGACGCCCTATGACAACCCAAGGAAACCATGCGATGAACGTAGTTCGTAGTCTTGAATGTTCACTGTCCCTTATCACAGACCGATGTGTGGGGCTTCTGAGGAGATCATAGTTGACTCCGTACACCAAGTCCGTCATCACGTCGAAGGCTAAGTATGCGCAGTAATCAGACATATTCACAGGCTGGCTCCAGCCCCCTAGTGTTTGCTCTGTACCTGAATTTAGAATATGGCAGAACTTTTCAATGTGCAACAGAAGTCTTGGTTCGATTCTAGCAATCCTAGATTCTGTTATTGACCGTCCTAGTAGCTTTCTTCTAGTTGCGTGCTGCTTCCTGTCGGTCAAGGTTATGAGATCCAAAGCTCGGTAGCTTAATCGAGAGTAAAAGGGGGATTTTCCAATGTTCGTGTAGTGGGAAAATATGTCTCGTTCACATCAGCGCGGAGGGATAAATAGAATTTGCGCAGCCTAAGGCCTACCTTCCACCGCAGGGACGGTGCTAAAAACCAGAAAATTCGGTCCATACCTTACCACCGGTCCTGAAGAAGTGTTAGTAAGATGTAAATGGTATAGAAAGAGGAGGGGTATGATTCCTACCATATATCTTGTGGCAACGCCATATGTCCAGGTGCACATCCCCTTTCACGGCGTAATAAGCCCCCCGAATTGTGGTAAACTTTGCCAGTAGTGGTCCGGGATATTTTGCAAGTGGGTGAAAATAAGTTTGATAAATAACGTAGCACAGCATCTGAAGAAGAGTCAACGTCGTACAGCTTGAGACAGGGACATTTATCCGACAAGACGCACCAACCCTACTCCGGCTAGGGCCCCTAGCTGGGGAGCATTAAGCCAGCCAGGCATCATGTCAATCATAAGCATACTTGAGGAGGCCATCTAAGAAACAAATGTTTGGTTAATTTATCTACTTACTATAAAGCGCAAACTATGGGTATTGGGACACACTTATCATACTTGTAGTCACACGTTTGGCGTGTTGGTTCCTCTATTCGTATGGCGGTGAGCCGTGTGATATATTGACATAAGGTTCAGGAGCATCATCCCTTGCATGTATGTCCTGTGCATGTGTATCCTTTCCATATATGACACGTTTCCCATTATGACTCCCTCTAGGCAGCCACCTGGTTGCACTAGGTATAGTAAATCTAATCGAAATACACACCGATATTCACCAGATCAGGATGCAGAGACAGAAAGTTGCATTGGGAACTGGATTTAGACGGTATTGGAGCCTTGCCTCCTACAAGCTACAAAAAGGTAGGCCCAACCGATGCCCCAAACTTAGAAATTTGTGGTATTTGATTTGCAAATCATCTTTCATGGCGACAGCCACTGCAAGTTTTCGAGTTCTGGCGAGAGTGTAGATCTGGAGGTCCTGTCTTCCGAATATTGACATGAAATCTTTGATGGATTAAGTGGGTAGTCTAGATTAGATGCCTTGCGATCGGAATGCATCGTAAATTGTACACTGAGTAAAGGTTTTTCATTAATTGATGTGATCTCTTGTAGAAAATCAACATTATTATTCATGATCCTGCCCTATAAAGCAAGATCACTTTCTACAAGCGAAAATAGTGCTTATATGCAAGGAATGGGCTACCATCACGAGGTTCGCTAAAATGGGTTGAGCGAGGTAGCGAGTGATAAAACAGATTAGAACGACATCATTTTCATGGCAAAACACCAGGAATTTCAAGGTTAGATGAGAAACACAGTCGTCAAATAAGAGTAGGTGTTTTTCACCTCTTTTTTTGTAGTAATATTAAAGAATACATCATTACTATTATTTTATCTGTTAGCCTATTAGCTAAGTAGGAGTAGTCACCCATACTAACTTATAGCATCCCGTATGCTTCTGATACCTTCCAAACAGCTAATCAAACATAAAATAGATTAGTAATGCCTGCCAATGCCATGTCTAGCGGCCTGGTCACGACCTCCTAGGTCTCTTATGCAATAACCTTTCTCAATGTCCAGTAATATTACAAGTGCCTGGCGCTGCATTGCTGGCTGTGGACAAAAGACAACACTAATTTAGTGCCTGAATCCCGAAGAGATCGCTAAACAATCAAGGCCATCACAATAACTTTCTGTCCTCAGCATTGACCACGCAGAATGATCATTGCTTTTCAGAGAAAGAATGGAATTGGTCATTGAAGTATCTTGGCCTAAACCGACTCGGTAGAAGTCACGCAGCCATCAGTCCAGTTCTTCAACAACAAAATCAACCATCTTCAAGCCGTAATTGACCAGGGTACAAAACTGGTAGACGGCCAACCCTATATACATGAGCTCATTCTCGAGTTCGTCGTTCCACCTTGCCACCGATTTTCCCCAAGTTGCGCCAAACGAGGCTGCTGTTCCTATGAATCCGTCCACAATTAAGACCTCCTTCTTGCTGTCTTGGCTGGCATCCATAATATCTCCCGTCAGGGAAAGACAGATTGTTGGAATCGACAGTACGGTACTGACTGTTCCCTTCCATCGTTTGATCACCGGTCGTTCCAATTCCTTCTTCTTGCCCACGATCTTGACAACTGTGCCGGCTAAGGAATCAGCCCCTGTGAGGACCCATCCCTAACAGATCGAATGTCAGTTTGTTTTTCCGGTTCATATGGGGCGTGATTGGTGTGGAATGAACGTAAGTCATTATCGCCGAGTACCTACCGCATATTTGATAGCATCCCTGGTGCCCAGCGCGGTGGGCACGCCGGATAAAGCGGCCGGGGTTCCCCCGACTGGCCAGGTCGAGAACCCGCCCACGGCCTCGAAGGTGAGCGACGCCGAATCCAACACATTCATCAAAATGTCGATAGGTCCAATCGGGATCGTTTCCAGCCCAAGCCCCTCGAAGACGCCATCGACCCCCAGCGAAAGCATGTCGAACTCTCCCCCCACTAGGACCACCCTTGACCCCGAGGCACGACTGAACCCCAGGATATCCGACGCGAGCGATGCGTCTCCCTGACCCTGAACATACTGGGCAAAGGTGCTCTTCGTCAACCTCCCATGCAACTTCGGGGGCGCACGCTTCTTCTTGGCTTTATACAGCACCGTGGTGGGAATGGCGATTAACAGGGCGCAGAAATTCAGCATTGTCAAGGGTCGTCCGCGGGCGATCACGTTCTTCCACAGCCACATAACCACGGGAATATCGACCTCTTTGGTGGCCAGATCGCGGATCATGTTGATGCCCAGCTTCAGGGCATCAAACAGGATGTCAGCTAACTTCTCCAAAGCATCGATCACCCCGTTGATCAGGTCGCTTTCCAGCTTATTAACGACATCCCGCACGCTGAAGTTGGCGGGGTTGAAGAACTCGACCAGATCCTTGGCCACGTTCATCAGGGTCTTCATGATTATCTTGACCTCGTCTTGGACATCGTCCCATAGCGTCACCAGCTGGTCTTGGGTGCTGTCCGCCGCCACGAGAGTGGTGTCATCGTGCAGCACCGCATTCGTCGGCCCCCCGCCATAGGTGAAACAGTACGTGGACCAGTTATATGTCACTCCAGCCTTGATTTCATCGTCGTCACCCTGGTCCGCGTTGCCGCCCCCGTCGTTTGTGGCCGCGGCATCCTGATGTGATGCCATCTTCTCCGTGCTAACCCGCGCTTGGTTATAGTCATTGGCTTGGAGATCAGTAAGATTTTGCAGGATAGTGGTGCGAACATTCTCCAACCACTTATGCACGTTGAGGTCAGCTCCGCTGAGTAGCTCCTCTCCGTAATCTAATGCTGCGTTGAACCCTGCGGCCACACTGTCTGTTGTAGCCAGAATATCTGTCCATCCAAACAGATAACTGATGAATTCAATAATATCTTTGATCAAAGCACTGATCTTTTTGAAGACCCAGGTGACACATTTCACAATTGATGTGATTGTCGTCAGAGCGATCTCGTAGATCTCCTCGCCAATACGGACGATGAACTTCCACACACCATCTGCGACAGAAATGAGCCCATGATCACTGTTCCGGAGAGGAAAGAAATGAAGACAATGGGAGAACCAAAGCCAGTTGGGCTTACCGACAAGGTCACAAGTCCAGTGCCAGACAGTGTCAGCAACATCGCATAGCCAATTCCACATTCCGTTGAAAGCGTCCCCCACATCCGACTAGAACCCAAAAGGGACGAGAATATCTGGGGAAGCGTTGGGGCTCTCTGGGGAAACGACAGCTGCGTGATATGCCTGCAGTCGATCTTTATCCTTGTTTTTAAGGTCCTTCGCACTGGCGACTAACTGCTTGAATGCGGTCACCGCTCCTTTTGCACCTTCAGGGTCGAACTGCTTTGCAAACAACGGGCTTCCATCAGGCTTTTTCAGATTTTGGACATCGTCCGGTGTTTTGACACCCTCGATTTTAGGAAGCACCTTTTGAGACGGATCCAGGACCGGGTCGGTCAGGTTTCTTTCCGCTGCTGTAGCCATCGGCTTCGATGGTGCTTGCGCCGGACGATAGGCATCGACCGCGAACTTGTGGATTGTCGCATCGTCGGTCTGCAGCAGGATATTCAATACCCCCTTGGCATCAGTCTGGTGCCACTCCGCCGTCGGCGAGAGAGTGGTGTGACGGCCATTGATAATGCACCGAACCACACCGGAACAGCTGACGCGCATCCAGCAGCCCGGGAGAAGTTCTGCGGAATCCCCGTCGTTGTCATTCACCACCGTCGCATGCAGACGGACCATGAATCTGGTCACTGGGGTCACAGTCTCCACCGAGGCATGCCAGAACGGGTACTGTTGCCACGCCAGGGAGATGGGGTCCTGGTGCAGCAACGACAGGTTTCCGTGCTCGTCCACGGACAGCAGACTACTGAACAAAAGCCTGCTATCCCCGTCGGCCTGTCGGCTGGACAGCAGACTGGAGATCCGGCCCCCTAGCCCTTTCGCAAGCAGGGGGATTACTACGCCCTCGGAGAGAGCCGTCGTCGTGGTGGTGTAGTAATAGACCGCGTCGGCCGCTGTGGTGTACCAGAGACGGAGGTTCTCACCGGTTTGCGAGAGATGCAGATCCTTGAGGTCAGTGATCTTTTTCAGCTCATCGATTACCGTGCCAGGACCTCCCTGGGGTGATCGGTACTCTTTGTACGTCAACGCGGTGATCGCCTCGCCGCCCACCAGCACGACAGTCCACTTTTTGGCTGGGTCCAGCAGTAATAGTGATCTCATACCTAAGGTTCAGGTGCATGTCCGTGCAGAAATGATGCATGCTCAATTCAAATCTGGACCGAACGTACTTTTGCTGGGAATCTGGTCAAACATGGGCAACTCATCGTGCGGAGGATCGACAGCAGATAATATCCTACGGAAGGAGACACCTGTAAAGACCCCGGATGCTCTACCCCTCCGCAATGCATCGGCACCTCTCGGCATGCCCGAATTTCAAGATTCTTGCTGCATGCAATGTGACAAGTAGAAAGTGGACATTCCGCGGACGTTGAGCTCGATGCCCATACATGCCGCGCCCCCGCTGTTGATCATCGAGGATTTAGCTAGCCACTTGATTTGGAGACAATCGGAGTATCTTATTGTGCTGTCTGCTTTCCGAACTGGAGGATGGGTATTTGTGGCGATATGCACAACCGCAGATGATACATCAACAGCATCAGCTCATTTCCTGTAGGCACGTATGCGTTGGCGCCTTCGCATCGTGCTGTGTAAGATGCCTGGTGTTTTCCCCAAGCAAGCCATCAGACATCATCGAAAGCAATGACCTGGATGTTGTGGGGCAGCAGAACAGGGGGCCCCTGACAAACCGGATAATAACGGACAACCGAGAAACGCAGTCTTGCCTCTTCGAAAGCCTCACAGGGCCTATTTAGGAGGACGTTGTTCTGTTGAAAACCCATAGAGCCAGCTCATCCGGCTGATATCCTACACTGAAACCAACATCGTGTCCATCATCATGACTTTCTCTCCGGACAATTTTATCGCCAAGACCAATCCTGATCCCTATGATCAGATCATCGCGCTCTCACAAAAGGTGATAAATGCAGGTTTCAAGAACATGTGGAAGCTTGCCCAGGGAGATGACGATAGCCCGTTGACCCACTTTAAGAAAAGCATTCACGGGGAGTATATTGAAGCTGATGTCGGGATCCGTTCCGTGAAGCTCCATGTCGAAAGTCGGGAGCCCATGCTATACTTTTTATTGGCCTTGAAGAATGGTGAACTGGCTGTGTATGAAAGTGACGATTCCGACACTCTCTTCAAATGGGACATCAAGGACTGGGTCCTCGCTTTCAATGTGGTCATCAGTAAGTGCAATTGGTGTCCTCTCCCCGCCAGAAGAATGGAAACGTCCTCTAACCACCCGTATCTCCCTCTATTAGACCAGAAGAAGATTACCAAGGACTCGGAGGAATATAAGAAATTCAAGGAGCGTGCAGGGCTTCCCGAGTCGAACTTTTCTCTCGCGCAGCTCTTTATTGATGCGTCATGTGAGTGCTATTGATCCTTGAGGGTGTTTGCTACTTACAGAAAAAAAACAGCTAGCACGAAATTCAACGAGGATTTGACAACCTTTGGCGAACACAAATTAAGTGAATTGACCCCGGCGGCGAAAGCCAGCGTACTTCAATTCATCGATCACTGGATTAAGGTCACGCCCGAAAGCGGCAGTAGCATTCTAGGGTATTCAGCCCAACGTGAACAAAACGGTGATGAGCGTAAGGAGCTCTGGCTCGTGTAGTGTGGGCAAGCAAAGCTAAAGCTCGTGCAGTCAACAAATACGCGCCATCGTTCCCTCCCACCAGTATTGATTACTTCTGTTACCCATGGCGTGGAGCGGATGGCAGTGGTGCGAACAAGGATGACCAGGACAGCAATGCCCTGTCCTATCTCTTAATGTCCGATTTCAAAAACCCCCCGGCAGAGGGCTCCATGCAATATAGTGGACCGTGGGTCGATGGCGATGACCGAGTGGCCTCGTTCTGTATGAACCGAGCTTTGGTTTGGAACTGGATGCTACCGATAGCCAGGCAGGTGGTTGTGGCAATGACACCAGTGCCAGATACACCATATGTCAGTTATGCGGGGACACCTTCAGACATGCCCTGGCGGACCGGGCCCAGATATCACATTGGGGATACCGATGCTTCTGCCGATGACTACAAATGGGTTCCAAACCCCTCCGGCGGGTGGTCAACGAGCTCACCCATGAAATTCGACCTGAAAAAAGTCACTGATCCTCATAACTCGAATGACTGGATGCTCGGGGAGGAATGGGGTATGCTTGGGCTCTCTTCCCTGCGTGTGCCGGTTACAAGTCGAGGAAACTAACATTTTGTAGGTGATAACATTGAAGCCACCGTTTCTTTTGGTGCTGGAACCGAAAGACTGACGGTGAAGGGGGGAAGTAAGTTCAGGTATCAGATCGATCATCACAGGGACGGTATGAGTGGCACGAGGTGAGTGCTGCCCACTATCCTCTCATGGTAGCTGTGTCTTGCTGATGTCGCTGGGTCTGTTCCTGCAGTTTCTGGGTGGAGGTATTCACCGACTGGCAACTCTCAATCGACATGACATCTATTGAAGAGGGTGGGATAGTCTTTCATCCAAAGGAGAACAATGACGAAGATGTGAAAGTCACATATAAGGAGTATGGGGACATGAAAATGGGCAGTACCGCGGAGGATCTGGCTCAGAGCATTGCAGGTTATGTCAAGCAAAACATGACTGCTGCTCTAGATAGCGTGAGTTACACGCTGTCCCAGGCGATGGCCAATGCAAATCGCCTGTGTCTCCCTACTGCCGGCACTTTTTTTATGAAAGACCCTATTTTCAACGAGAATGGTGATCTGCTGATCAAACTGGAATATGATGGGTGCGTTTTGTCCAATGTCTGTCCATGCTCTGCCACAGTAATCTGACAGTCTAAGCAGGGCGGATCCTCCACCACCCCTATCCAAAGGGAAATACAGATTCCGTCCACCGATGTTGACGACTTCCATCCGTCGCCTGGATTTTTAATGCAGTGGCCGTTGAGGAGCCTGAGATCTTTGGATTATCCCTACCATATGACATACGTCCATGCGTCATAAGTAGTGGATTCCTAACCGGATGGACTGTTGGGCTCCTGTCATTAATCAAACATTTTACTGAGACTAAAACGAGGGACAGCTCCGTAACAAAACTTCGTCACAATGTAGATGGCTGCAGTCACTATGAGTGAAAGTAGTTAATGCATGTTTGTTGACTCAGGTAGTAGATCTCATTCTTTTTGATCTTCACAGCTGAAGGCGTGTAGAGGATTAAGAGTCAATCATAAAGAAAAGAACAATAACCATGTAGTTGGATCTGAGATGTCATTGTTAAACATCAGGGAGCGCCTGAGATTACTCAGAATGAGACCAATGCCTCAGGCAGTAGTATATGCGGGTACAGGTACATAGCCTGTGCAGATGGACTGAAGGACCTTTCTTCTTTTCTATTGTTCTATTTAATGCTGTCATCTATCACAACATGGAATGAATATTTTCTTGAACATTACCCAAGTGCTCTTCCTATTTATACAGCTAGATTTCTATTCCCCTTCATTCCCCTTCATCCCCCTAAGAAATATAGTAGTTGTATTGTTTAGTTATATATTGTGCCTGAAACAGTGAGTTCCGCCGGATCCTTTCCCACATTTGCTAAGGATTCGATTGGATACTGGTCTACAGTGCGTCCGTATGTGGGAGAGATCACTGCCCCTAGCTATATTCCTCTTGACAAATGTTTGGCTCTGGGACTTTGTTGGACACGCTTTCCGCTTCGATCAAGGGACCTTGAATCTAAGACAACTGTCTCAGCAAGACGCATATGTCTCGCGCAGAAACATCGAAGACTCTGTCAGGTGAGCCGGTGTACAGCAGACTATAGCTACCATGGAATGTAGACATTTGGCTTTTGTACAATGATTATATTCGACCACTATGGCCCCCCCAATAGTTGCACCACTGGACTGATATTAAATAATATAGTGTCAGCATCGAATGATCACTAGTGGGGATATTACATACTTATGTAGTAGGATATTGGATACTACTGTACTTATATATATTTTMAATATGCGGTATGTATAGTATGTACCCCTTATATCTTTCAATATATATAAATTCTGACTATACAGGGCCTAACCCTAGTACACAAGGATTTAACGTTAATATGAACAATACTATAGTATGTAATATCCCTCCTAGAGGACGAGTTGATATCAATACTATAGTATCTAATATCCTTACTATATGAGTATGCAGATTTCTGTGGAGGTAGTAGCAATAGATAATACATGCAGTGAATGGTAAAACCTACAAAGCCCACATTGTATGTGTAGGTATGTCCGCCGTAGATTCAATGGTCTCATCTAGCAGCTTTCAATAGATTGCGCTCTTCGCCTTTAAAGGGAAACTTGTCGGTAATCTCCCGGCCGTCTAGTCCCGCAAGCGCGATACTTACCAGATTTATCTACTGTGAATCAAGGTCCGTGGTCAGCTATTCTTTGGGATTTAGATGCCCAGAGTACCCCAGACCCCACCAGAAGCACAGAACTACCTCCCAATATACGCGTACATCCATCCAATATAGAAGAAGAGCTCCGTCTGACAGAGCTCTGCGTCTGCTCGGCGATTACAAATGCTTTATTCTTGAGAAGGTTGCTTTCTTCCAGCCAGCCTCACCATGCCGCAGCTGTGATTGGCTCAAGCCTCAGCTCTTTCAGCCCCTCTGGCAGTATGGCTGCCGTGTCGTGAGTTTCGTGTGGCGGGGTAGACGAGATAGCGTAATTTGCCCAGGCCGCTGAATGTTGGAGTCAACCCAATTGTGCATAAAGGAGAGATGGGGCTTCGACGTGATTGCCAGCGCGGGTTCAAGAAGCACCCACAGCAAAGAAAGTCCTGAATTTCTATGTCTCAAAGTACGCGATAGGGCTCCTGAGAATCTGCGAAGGCTCCTCGACGCGCATTATGCCGCACAAGCGGACGATAAGAGTGTTTCGAAGACTAAGGCGATGGGGTTCCAAATGATACACTGTATCCAGCTGCTGGGTGCTATTGCATCCCAGGGTGCGTCCATGGTAAGTGGTAATGATATCGCATTGCGTGCAATCTGAGATCTGTGGTAGGGACGCTTATCTGTGCTTCAAGGCTTTCGCCCCGACAGGACTGTGTTTCAACGCTCTTTCTTTCCTTTTGGCTATTCCCAAAAAGGTCCATGGGTTCCATGGCGAGATTGACGCTATCTTTGGAGAGGTCGGACCGGCTCTTGCACAGTTTCGGATCTACGAGCGGATGGATGAAAGCTCACAGATTGACGAGGCTCTGTGACTGTCCATCTACCAGGTTATGACGAGTTTTGGGAACCTCCAGGCGGGTTCTTAAGTTCTAGAGACGATCTGTTCAAGGGAATATTTTCTATGATCGCAGGCAGCTGAAACAGAGAAAATATTGACAGCATCATGGATGGAGGGGCACTTCCATTTACCATAACCCCTCGTAAATATTGTTTGAAGTCGGAACTATGGTACAAGTGTGATGATAGTCCAAAATATCGATGGGAGCTATTTATAGTCATAGTAGCTGCCATAGCGCATCACCACATTTACCCTATCAGCCGACTGACGTTAGTCGGCTAGTTCTATGCAGAACACATTGGATTATGCAGGTACTGATGCCCGGTAGCGAGCTTTTCATGCGGAAGTGGGTTGTTGACCATGCTCCCCTGCCAAGCAATATCATGTTCTCGTGTAAACTCGATTAGCCCCATTTTGAGATGAACCCTGCCGATCGTCCATGCAACTCGTATAAAGCAAGGCCAAAGTGGAGAAATCAGGCTATTTTTGGCAGTGTATCGCGAACTTCGGCTCCACATAGTATTCGTATTCGGCCGTATGTTTGATATAGATCATCATTTGGGCGGCAAGGTAGGATTGAAGGAATCGTGGGGATGTTCGTGTATCCGTCTGGAGGTCAAACTGGCAAAGGGCCCAGTTTCGGGTCCCGCCGGTACAGTGAGTGTGCGACCCATAGCATTTAGCCGAAGATAAGGGGAAAAAAAAAGTTCAAATAAAAAGTAAGTTGTGTGATAGTCGGAGAAGGAATATCCTAATGTTGTCTGCCGATGCACCAAGCAATTGAACGTCAGTGGCTGGCGGCAGGTGGATGCAGACTTCAAGTTCCCGAAGGAAACGAGATCTTCCTCGTATTAGCCGGATATAATAAGAGAATACGACCAGGAAGCCTATATACGAGCTCCTGCGGATGAGGGTTCGTGTCCTGAGATAATCAGCTCAGACGATCAATCGTATTTCGGCCATATCAGCGATGATCGTGTCGGTCCTGCTCAATCTAAACGAGATCACCATCTGGCCAAGATCGAAGCACCAGTCAAAGAGTTCAGTATCAGGATACGGCCTGATGCGCAGCGATTTGACCACAAGTATAAAGCCATCCAAAGTTCCCACCGTCACCTATGTCATTTCAGAGTCTCATCCACAAACGCGCCGTCCAAAGGAAGCGCAATCCTCAGAAACACGGCGAAACATCTCGAAAGCCTTCCCATCCGCAGAATTAACCTGATTGCCGCTATTCGCCATTATGCAGCTCAAACTCGTCGCTCTGACCCTGGCTGCGGCCGCCTCCATGGTTAACGCGTACGCCATTACTGGCGACAAAGTCAACTGCCGTACCGGTCCATCGACGAATGATAAGGTCGTCAAGACATACGAAAAGGGGGCCGATGTCAAGATCACCTGCCAGACGTATGGTGAAGACGTTCAGGGCAACTCCATCTGGGACAAGACAACTGACGGCTGCTACGTTACCGACTTCTACGTCAAGACGGGCTCAAGCAGCATGGTCACCCAGGAGTGTGGTGGTGGCAGCCCCGGTGACGGCAACTCAGCCTACAACGGCAAGATCACCCGCAAGGAGATCATCTCCCGCGGTCAGTACTGGGTCTCACGCCACATCCCGTACTCTATGAACAAGGAATACCCGGACCCTGAGGGCCGCAAATACCGCACAGACTGCTCTGGCTTTGTCAGCATGGCTCTCCATGCGACTTCGCCAGGCTTCAACACTGTTAGCCTCCCGGAGATCGCCAAGCCTATCTCATGGAACGACCTCAAGCCTGGTGACCTGGTTGGCACCCTAGGTCCCGGCACTGGCGGTGCGGCCGGCCACGTCACTCTGTTCCATTCATGGGCCGACAGTTCCAAGAAGGAGTACAATACCCTTGAATGTCGCGGCACCTACGGCTGTGTCGCGTATAAGCGCCCTGTTGGTTGGACTGATGGCGATTTCACCRCCAAGCCCTACAGGTACATCCGTGTTGTGGATTAAGTCAGAGATTGGATACGATTCTGGGATTGGACAGTGATGGACCGATTCTTGGATACATGTATAGTACTGTATGAAGAGCAAGGTGATGGGGTAGGAGGAGCGGCCATGAGGAGAATATACCTGAGTCGGCAAAGGGAAGCCTCGCTCTGTCGTTGCGGGTGGACTCCCATGAGGTGGACATCTATTAATCTCTGAGTGTTTTATTTAAGAGTGGACGAGCTACAAGGCTGACGGCGCCAGAGTTATCTTTCTGAGATTTTAGAAGCTAAATTACAAACCACTTTCGTTTATCTGTTCAACTTCAGTGAGGATCACTTATCCGTAATAGCTTGCTTTATATAACTGGCAGTCCTCGTCTCTGTAACCACAACAAACAGCTACACCCAGCCGACGACGCACGCCTGACTGGAGATCAATGTAATTTATCTCGGCAACAAAGTGGCATACAGGTGTCCTGCAAGCGATCATCCAACTGGGTGAAAAGATTAGAAGGCCGGCCTCCTAAACAGGTTTGAACAACCACCAGGCACCAGCAAACTACACTGTCGCTCCCATTTTCCCGACAACCTTGTCGCACAATTCTCCCAAGCTGGCCGCATTCATTACATCCAATGTGGTGAGCTCTACCCCCAATGTCATACGCACCCAGCTACGCAGCTCTACAGCCGCCAGTGAGTCTAAACCGTAGTACGACAAGGGACGTGCCGAGTCTAGCGCATCGGTTAAGCGAAGCTGCTTTGCCAACCGCGCACCCACAACTGTGATAGCTGCGGCCCGCAAGGCTCCACGATCGGGGTCCTGGGATTGCGCCAGAAATAAGAGGCTCTGTATCTCTCTATCTTTGCTTTGATCCCCTCGTAAGCGTGGACCATCCGCTCCGACGACTCGTAAGCCCGTAAAGCGGATATCTCTGAGCAGATCGCTGTCTTCAGGCTGAGGAACAAGTAGACTGGTAATCATTTGGCCTTGACTGGCGAGATTCAGACGGTGAGATGGATCTGGATGCTGTTGAAGGATAGAGTAGTCGAAGATTCGGCGCAGCAAACCCTCATTGATGTTAAGCAGAGTGCTTCCGTCAAACCTGTTCTGTAGATCTTCATTACCCCGAATGACACCGACGTCTTCTATAGGTCCGAGGTCGATGCTAATAGCGGGGAGTCCCAAAGCGCGGCGATATTCTGCGAAGGCGTCCTCGAATGCATTACCACCAGCGTAGTTGGCCTGTCCCTTCTGGCCTATCACGCCAGAGATGGAAGACAGCATGATGAAGAATGAGATCGGCTGTTTCGTTTCGAGAGAAACTGTATGTAGGTTGGATGTGCCCGTTACCTTGCTCGATAAAGCAGCGTGGTAGTCGGCGTGAGACATGGATTCAAACGTCCGATCCTGAGTGTTGTTGGGTTAGTACAGGTCATATAACGAAGCATGGCTCGGGGAGTAATGTCTTACTCTAAATACGGCGGCTCCTTGGATGATCCCACCAACGGGAACCGAGACTTGGTTAAAAGCCCTCCTGACGTCGCTGATACAAGTCACGTCGCCTTGAAGCAAGTCAAGTGAACACCCCAAAGTTCTGATGTTTCGAGCGATGGACTGTATTACCTTGTCTCCATGCCCACTGCGGGACATGACGGCAATGTGCTTAGCCCCGTGGGAGGCCAGATGGATCGCAAGACTACCACAGATCCCTTTCAAACCTCCCACAAAGAAATAACAGTGATCATGGTTAAGAATACTTTGTGCGAAAGTCGTTGCAGGACGGGTCTAGAAAGGTTAGAAACCGACTCAGTTCAAGTCATGTTCGAACTCTTACCGGAACAGCAAGCTCCGTCCCACGATCGTCTGAAATAACGATCTTGCCGACGTGAGTACCTTCTCGAAGAAGTCGGAGTGCCTTGGGTATCTCTTCATAACCCAAAAGTGCGCTTGGTAATAGGGACGGCACATTGCCATCTGCGATGAGCTGAGAAAATTCCGAGAACACACTGCAAATATGAGTACCAACACTGAGTGAAAAGTAAGCCATTACTGGACCAACGGTTCACTTACGATTCGATAGTTTCCTCTGATAAAGCTGTTATATCCAAGCTCTGGAAAGAACAGTTGGGAGCGAGGGATCCCGTGGACAGTAAACGGCCAATATCGGCGCCTCCGTTGGTTATCCGGATAAGCCGTCCGCCAGGGGCAAGTAACCGCGCGTTCTCATAGTCCAGATTGCCATTTGTTGGCTGACTGATAATAATATCCAGTCCATGACCCCTGGTTGCGTCATGTAGCGCACGAGGAAACGCTGTTGGCTCCGACGTGAAGATATGATCTTCCGGGAGTCCAAGCTCCTTAGCCAGAAAATTGCGCTGCTCCAGGTTGCCCACCGTCGCGAAAGTATCGTAACCCCAACGCTGGCAGAGTCGGACGCACGCGATCCCGACATCTGTAAAAGCTGAATGGACCAAGACGCGATCGTCTCCCTGTACATGTGCGAGACGACCGAGGGCGTATAAACCGGTGAGAAATGCGACTGGGAGCGTTGCAGCCTCCGCAAATGGCATAGATTCGGGCAAGGGAAAGGTAGTCTTGCATGAGACGGTGACTCGGTTGGCAAAGCAGCCTCTACCAAACACCGCCACCCGCTGACCGACATAGCGAGTGCTGACGGAGTCGCCTACGCGGACGACCACGCCAGCACCCTCTGAGCCGAGTGCATCCGAGCGCTCAGAGATATGGCCCATAGCCACATCTACATCTCTGAAGTTGCAAGCGGAGGCGAATATCTCGACCTCAATCTCATCCGGTCCCATCACTTGACCTCCGGACCTATCTAGACCTTGCTCTGCGAAATGTAGCGCTTCCAAACTACCAGGTCTGCTTGTAACCAAGCGAATGGTAGACTTTGAACCATGGAGATTGGTTATCACTGGTGACGGGCCTCCTCCGCTGTCTTCCACCTTGCGTTTATTCACTCCAGCATCCGGCCATACCCTGCT